CAGCTAATTGAGAGGTTGGAAAACTAGTGATATTGGAAAATATGGAGGTCCTGGAGATGTTGTATTTTGCAACATCACTATTTTTCAAACCACTCAACTAGAAGTACTTGAATTGTCTTTTATTTCTCCCTGAATGAGCAGTGTGATTCCCTCTAACTGACTATGGCCCAAAATTCTACTATTAAGTTAGTATAGTTGTGTTGTTAAAAAATATGGTGTTTTCAGTAATATGGCATTTTTTTATATAGTTGCGCGCCAAACAGGGCCTAAATTCTTTAAGCAGCATGTTTCGTACAAAAATAGCTTGCACAACTGAAAATTGCTAAGGGGGTGTTGGCGTACTTGTACCATGATTTGATTTCAAAATCAGATCTTGGCAATTTTAACTCAAATTATAACTTGTAAAACAGGGTAGGATTAAGTATAACAGTTGTAGTAATGTGTGTTAAAATTGCCAATACCTGATTTTGATCCAAATCATGGTATGCCAAACACCCCCTAAGGTTCCTGAACAATTTCACGGCAGCTCTTCCCTAATACCTCAACAGGGGATAGGCTGGAAGTTCGGAAATTAAAAGAGACTTTAAAAGTACTCGAGTACAAACCTCTGAGAGAGCTATAGGGGGTTAAAGTGCGTTATGCCAACAGATTAATGGTTGCGGTTTAAGGTCTCTCACAGCAACCGAAACTGCGCCGAGATATCTGGATACTTTTGGAATGAGCAAGTACATGTACGAGTACTAGTCGATTTCAAAAGTATCCGGACACCTTGGCACCCATGTCGCCTGTCTTGACGCCAAGGTGTCCGGATACTTTTGAAATGGGCTGGTACTTGACGGTGAATCTGGCCAAAGAACACATAACCCTAACCCATGACGAAACCGCGCCTTCTAGCTTGCACTCCAATTCTACCGAAGCCCTCCCGGCCCCACCTCATCGCTCGAACCGCATGCGACTCACGGAATTGACGTCTAGATACCCACATCGAAGCATCGAAAATCTGCAGAATGCGCCCACGGCTACGGGTCCCTATTACTCTGATTTCCGCACTGAAGATTAGTCCGGCAAAACCGGTCCTTAATTTCTGCCGGACCTATGCGGCGGGCCCCAAGGGGGCGGGGAAGAAAGATGATAAAAAGGGGAAGAAGAAGAAGAAGAAGGGAGGAGGCGATTTTATCCAACACGACTTAGGGGGTGCACTGCAATTCAGCCTTACGGAGGCCATGCGGTACATTCGAGCGATGGAAGTTGGACGGAACCCTGTCACTGTCAAGTACGATCTCGCCGTCCGACTCAGAACGCCAAAGACATCCCCGATTATCCGGAACAGGATACGACTGCCCACGCCTGTGAAGACTGATAAGAGGGTTTGTGTGATTGCAGAGGGGGTACATGCTGAGGCTGCACGGCAGGCTGGCGCTGCTATCGTCGGGACGGAGGAAGTCTTTGAGCAGGTTGGTGGAAATATTCTTTCTTGTCTTGGCTTGGCCGTTCTACAAGTAGGTTTTCGTGCTGACAATCACCCTATAGATCCGGAACGGGAAATTGGATTTTGAACTCTGCATTGCCCACGAGGATTCCCTTAAAGCTCTCATGGCTACGAAGCTCGCGAAAGTGCTCGGCCCTAGAGGTCTCATGCCGTCCCCCAAGTTTGGCACCGTTGTCAAGAATACTGGGGCTGCCATCAGAGATCTCGTCGGAAAATCTGACTACAAAGAGAGGATGGGTGTGGTTCGATTGGCGATAGGCCAGCTTAGATTTACGGAAGCACAGCTTGCCGAGAACATCAAAACGTTCATTAGTCATCTAAAGAAGGATATTGCGGCGTTGGATAACGTCACGAAATCCATCCATGAAGTGGTTTTGAGTTCAACACACTCCAGCGGATTTTCATTGAATGGCCAGATTGAGCCGAGTGGGGCCCGGGAAAGCAAACAATAAGCAGTCCCTGTCGATCAAAAAAAAGAGGGAAAAAAATCTTTTCTTCCTTTGATCAGACAAACACTCCTTGTTGGTCGATTGTAATTGTAAGGGTTCCGGTGCAGAAGCTCAATGCATGTATAATACAGATTAACTTATGGTCGGGGACATGATAGAAAGGTACACCCCCATTTTTTAGGATCCCCTTTTCACCGGATTTTTTTCTTTTTCTTGTGCGAAGCGCCCCAGGAACTCGAGGCGAAGAACCATGTTCAGACGTTGAAGGGTAACGTACCCATTGCTGTAGTTGTGCTCGGCTTATGCTGGTTTACTGCCTATTTTGTGCTGCGGGACAGGATATAGTACATTTCTCCACCTCTAAACCGTGTTGTTCGGTTTATTACTAAAGCACCGTGGTAGGACAACGAGTCTACACCACCCTCCATAGAGACTTTGCGATTTCGCATCCAGAGTCAAATTCTAGCGATCTCATTGGACCAGAACCCTGTTTGACCCACATCCAGAGTCTTTTCGCAAAGTCCCTATTAACTGGCAGATCCCGCCCGGGGAAGAAGCACTTGAAGTGAGAAGAGTCACGGCTGTCACACCCAGTGTGCAGGAGCACGAGCCCTGGAAGGAAAATTGTTTTTATTCCTGATTTCTCAACTAATGCCAAGCCAAGTACCAAGGAGTGCCCAGAAACATCCACGAAAGTCTAGAAGTGCCGAGAAGCGTTTCCAGAAATTCCATTGAATAGGGAAACTCTAGGCGTCATGTGATCCCCGATCACTACCGGAAACGGATCCTCCCGCTGTGTATTTCGTCACTCGGATTGGATGTCGATTTAGGCTTCCGGAGGGTCGGAGGCTGTGAAATAGTCTACCGTACTCGAGTCTTATTTTGCTGTGGAGCCCTCCGAGAATCTGATCACGCTTTTGACGTCGGGGGGCTTTTCTTTTCTTTTCTTTTTTGCCTCCTCCATTCCCTCCCTTTTACGGTACCAATGGAAGGGATCTTTCCGAAATCCGGAGAAATTAAAGTTATCAGATGAGTTCGGACTATCGGTACTCGAGTACAGCATCATACTGTTATCTTGCTCTACCAGTACCAGTAATACGTAGAAAGGCAGTAATAGGAGGGGGGGGAAGACATTGCCATCGTGATGCAATTTAGTCTAACCTTAACAATAGCTCTCTAGATTCTCTCCACGATAAACTGATTCCCCTTTACATGCTGTATCACATTGTGGCCCACGACGAAGAAGCATCCTTTCGTCAACTTCGTGCGGATATATAGGCGAGGCAGACTTTGCCTAGCCTATTAAATTATTCATACAGGACGCACATGATACCCCTGCCCATATGTTATCTATCGTATCCCCCCAAGAGCCCTCGGCCAAGATAGGATCCAAGACTTTATAAGGAATAAAAGTACAAGGGTTGAACACCATTACCTACGAACTTGCTGTTTGGAACCAATTGCCAAGGCGTACCGCACCTTTTCTTCTTCCCCCTCGTGAGAACTTGCATCATCTCTTGGAACTCTGGCTTGGAGGTTCTTGGAATTCTTGGGGGCGCTTCTGGGTGGACGGATACCCTGGTTATGAGTAATTTTGTCGGTATAGGCCGATATTCTAAAGGGTTTATCAATTTCTACATTCTACCGGTATCGGTCTTAGCTCCTGTGATTTCCCTCGATGGTGTCGGTTTGAGTTGACTAAAAAACTTCCCTAGCGGGGAACTTGAGACCTTGAGCTTGTGTGATACCATTAGGGGGGGGGGGGGCGTTCTGTGCGGTGGGTGGAAGGTAATTCGGACTTGCGTGTGCTGGGCCTTTTCATGCATAAATACGCTCCCCCCCCCCCCCGCCTCTCTCTTCTTTCCCCTCTTTTCCGTGCCGGCTCTGCGAACTTTGTAGACTACTAGCTATGGCTTCAAAAAACTCTGGTTCCCAGAAGCCCCCCTTCTCCAAGCCGCCTTACCAGCTCTCTGCTGATGAGGTCGCCCAGGAGCTCGGAACAAACCTTGAAACAGGACTTTCCCCCTCTCAGGCCAAACAGAACCTTGGCCAGTATGGCGAAAATAAGCTTGAAGGCGGCGAAGGTGTTCCAATGTGGAAGGTGTTCATCAAACAGATCAGCAATGCCATGTGAGTGTCTTGTGTTTTAGTATTGTCTGTCTTTTGATTGAGTTTGACAGCTAACATGTCTTAGGATTCTGTATGTCTTGGACAAACCTCCTCTCATCCCAATGTTTGGGTATTCTGACTAATTATTAGGGTTCTTATCATCGCCATGGCTTTGTCTTATGGGGTCAAGGATTGGATCGAGGGTGGCGTTATAACTGCCGTTATTTTTCTGAATGTGACCATTGGCTTTTTCCAGGAATACAGAGCGTATTTATACCCTTCTCGCCATAGGTGACTGGTAGAGCTAACATTCAATTGCGTTTGTTTAGCGAGAAAACTATGGATTCCCTACGAAGCCTCTCCAGTCCTACTGCCGCTGTTCTACGAGATGGAAATCTCGATCATGTTGCTAGTATTATTGTTGTGCCTGGTGATATTGTTGAGCTTAAAACTGGAGACGTTGTCCCCGCCGATTTGAGACTTTTCGAAGCGATGAATCTTGAGATGGATGAAGCGTTACTCACAGGAGAATCTCTCCCTGTGTTTAAGGAACCCGAGCCTCCGATTGAAGGCGAGGTCGGTGTTGGCGATCGAACAAACATGGCCTTCTCTTCGTCTACCGTTGTAAAAGGCCGTGCCCGTGGCATCGTTACCAGTACTGGAATGGCTACCGAAATTGGTGTTATTGCCGAAACTTTGAAGGGTAAGACCAAGAAGCCAAGCAGGTCAATGTCTCGCAAGAAGCATGGAAATTTTCAGCCTGTGAAGGGGGCAACTCTCAAGACTTGGGATGCTATTGGAAAGTTGCTTGGACTTACTGTTGGAACTCCCCTCCAGAGGAAGCTTGCAAAATTGGCATACTGCCTCTTGCTTTGCGCTGTTGTCCTGGCTATTATTGTGTTTGCGGCAAACAAATTCAGAATTCCTCATGAGGTTGTCATTTACGCAATCTCGCTCGGTATAGTTTTCTGTGTGTCTCACCTTGTAATACCGAGTTCCTAATGTGATTTTTAGGTATTGCTATCATTCCGGAATCCTTGATTGCTGTCTTGACGATCACAATGGCTGTTGGCATGAAGACTATGGTTAAACGCAAGGTTATCGTTCGTAAACTTGATGCGCTTGAGGCATTGGGGGGTGTGAGCAATATTTGCTCCGATAAGACCGGAACTCTCACCCAAGGAAGAATGATTACCAGAAAAGCTTGGATTCCGGGTGTCGGTATCTACACGGTCGATCGAACCGAAGAAGCCGCAAACCCGACTTCTGGTGTCATCCGTTTCGGAGAAGCACGAGCAGCCACATCTGAGCCCATCGACGCTAACAGGACCTTCGAGCGCCAACAGGAGGCCCGTGACCAAGGTCGTTCTGCATTGGCACTTAAATTTGTGGATGAAACTGAGCCAAGAGGGCGCAAGAGAATCGATCCTGAAGACACTCCGAATGAGGAAGATTTCGAGGACGGCGCTCTCCTAGAGATGGTTCCGGAATTGGAAGCATTCCTTCACTCATCCGCTCTTTGCAATTTAGCGACTGTTAGATTTGATAGTACTAAGAAGCAATGGCAAGCCACTGGTGACCCAACTGAGGTAGGAGTTTTCGTGGTATTTATGGGTGGATTTCTGTTGACAATAATTTAGATCGCACTTCAGGTCTTTTGTCATCGCTTCGACTACGGAAAAAAGAAACTCGTTGCAGACGGCTGGAAGGCACTTCAGGAATACCCGTTCGACAGTGAGGTTAAGAGAATGTCCGTTATATTCCAGGAACCCAACAACGGGCGATACTTTATCTTTGCAAAAGGTGCCGTTGAGAGAATTATTGACCTTTGCACAAACGTTGGATTTGGAGACAAGCAGACGCCCATGACTGAAGAAATGAAACAAGAGATTACTAGACAGATGACGACCCTTGCCGACCAGGGTCTGGTAAGTTCTATAATGGGGGTTGGAGATTTTGTGGTAGCTAATCTTGGGGCTTAGCGTGTCCTTGCCATCGCTCGCCGCACTATTGATAGGCCACCGGAAGACTGGAACGAATTCCCTCGCGACGAAGTTGAAGAAAACCTTGTGTTGATGGGCCTTGCTGGACTGTACGACCCACCTCGACTTGAGACCAAGGATGCCGTTAGAAAATGTACGAACGCCGGTATTCAGGTTCATATGTTGACTGGAGACCATCCAAGTACTGCCCGCGTCATTGCCCGTGAAGTTGGAATCATCCCTGCCGATTTCGGGATACTTCCTGCGGATGTTGCACAGAGCATGGTCAAGACTGCAGCAGAGTTTGATGCCTTGACTAACGAAGAGGTTGATCGGCTCCCGGCCCTCCCATTCGTTATCGCACGATGTGCACCAAATACCAAGGTTCGGATGATTGACGCTCTTCACCGACGAGGTCGATATGCAGCGATGACGGGAGATGGCGTCAACGATTCACCAAGTCTTAAGAGAGCTGATGTCGGGATTGCTATGGGTCTTGCAGGTTCAGATGTTGCAAAATCGGCTTCTGATATTGTGCTTACCGATGACAACTTTGAGAGTATCGTTAACGCTGTCGAAGAGGGTAGAAGGATGTTTGACAACATTCAAAAGTTTATCCTCCATCTTTTGGTTTCCAATGTTGGAGAAGTCATGCTTTTGATCATTGGCCTTGCATTCAGGGATCGAGACAACTTCTCAGTGTTCCCACTCGCACCTTTGGCAATCCTCTGGATTAACATGCTGACGAGTTCCTTCCCTGCTTTCGGATTGGGTTTGGAAAAAGCTACTTCCGATATCATGAGACGTCCCCCCCACGATACCAAAGTTGGTGTCTTTACCAAGCAGATTCTGGTGGATATGGTTGTATATGGTACTATTATGGGAGCTTGCTCGCTTTGTACTTTCGTCATCATTGTCTACGGAGTCGGAGACGGAAATCTTGGTGTGAACTGCAACTCCAAATACTCTTCTGAGTGTGATCTTGTTTTCAAGGCTAGAGCTGCTGTCTTTGCGCAGTTGACATGGCTAATCTTGATCTCAGCGTGGGAGTTCAAGAGTATCCGACGAAGCATGTTTAGGTTTGATCCCTATCAGACTGAGCACAGGTTCCCATTCTTCAGAGATGTGAGTACTCCCAAAATCTTTTGATTTTGGATTGCGCTGACTCGCAATAGGTTTACCGAAACAAGTTTTTGTTTTACGCTGTCGCTATCGGCGCAGCCTCGGTTTTTCCCGTTGTCTACATCCCTGGCCTCAACACTGGTGTCTTTAAGCACAAAGGTATTACTTGGGAATGGGCACTCTCCTTTGGCGCTATCCCCGTCTTCATCTGTGGGGTCGAGGCATGGAAGTTCATCAAGCGGAAGTACGGATTGTTCAACAACCGCGAGTCTGACAGAGTCAAGAAGGATGCCTCACTAAGCCTCCGCCAAGGATTCTTCACTATGGCAAAGACTGTGACTCGAACTAGTTCTGCAGGTATATCTCGAAGCACTACTATGGAGAAGCGATCAGTAGCTAGAGGTGACGAAGTGGTTTGAAAAATTTCCCCCTTGAGAGCTACTGCTATGATTTGTGAATCCTTTTCTTTGCGGTGCCGGATTTTCTTTACATTGTTTTTTTTTACGAGTTTTTTTTTTTTGCACTTGCTTGGGTCTTTTCGGCTTCAGGGTTCGCGTTTCCCTTTTGTGGTTTCTTGCTAATGAAGGAGAATAATGGAGGCTAGTACATTATGCAGTATTTGGGTCAGTGCTCTTAGACGAGAGGACCTGATAGGTGATGGCGGTTGTTTTCCTGCTGCAATTGTGCTTTGTGTAGATTTATGTTATATACCTCAGACATAAAGCAGCCCGACGCCGCTATTTACGAAAATGAGAGTGAAGTGGCGCGAATTAACTGATTAGAGGATGTCACTATGCCATGACCATTATCATACTATAATATTATCATACCTCGGTTCAGGAGGCCGCAGCATCACCAGCAATCACTCGTGAGCGAACAAACAAACCTGACGCCTAGTGATCAAGAAACAAAGGCATGAATCAAGCTGCCATCTTAGCCGCCAGCTCCTCCCTAATCAAACCAATCTCTCTACACTTTCTCTGCCTCTCAACTACATCCACCAAGGACAGAAACTCGGTATAGAAGGCCTGTAGGCCCCCCTCCCCTCCTTGGCGCCCGCCGGCCGTCGTCCTAGCGTTCGTGGGGTAGATCACGTACCCGCCATGCTGTAACATGGGTAAATCGAACTTTACCCCAGTCCTCCTCCCGCAGAAAACAGTGTGCTCGACGAAGAAAGGCGGTACATAGACCAATTCCCACGTCTCTTCCCCCCCCCCCCCAGGCCATCATCAGCACAAATCCCCGAAACGCAATCCAAGGGGGAAACATACGGCCATCCCCGAAAATCTCCCCACCAAGCTTGGTCAGCAACTCCACGACGTGCAGCGCAAGCTTCAACCCGTCCCACACAATCTGCGAGAGAGCGACCACGTCCTCGTCCACCCGCGCGCCCGCCAGCATCTTGTCACCGATGTCGTTAACGCTCCGGACCCATCGCGTCTCCAGCTCTTGCAGGGCCTGCGTCATGTGCTTTTGCAGTCGCGCATGCAGGTCCGTCTGTGCGCTTATCGCGTGGACGTAATCGGAGGAGACGGAGATTTTTGCGGGCTCTGACATTTTCGCTTTCAGTCTTGGTTATTTGAGTAGGGAGGGCGGGGGGCGTGGCGGGTTTATATCTATGGGGTTTGGCGGAGGGAGTATGGGGAATCGCCTGATCCCTTGAATGCGGAGAGGCTGGTGTGGTTTCCGGGACCGGCATTGGCAAATTGGGGGGGGGAGGAGGAAGTGTAAAGCAGGCAGGCAGCAGGCAGGCAGGCAAGCGGGTAGATAGGTAGACTAGCCCGTAGACTATCCCGGACCTATCATACTCGAGTAACTCATCTTCCCGGGGGTGTGATGCTGCATTTCGTATGATATGATAGTCTAATTTTCTGGATGGGTGGCGGAATGTGTGACATTATCACTTTTCCACTCCACCCCGCGACATCGCGATGTACCGTAGACTACGAGTAGAAACTCGCGAAGCTCGCCATGTCCGGACCAGGATGTGTTAAGTCCGGGCCAGTGAGGGTGTGGAATGCGGCCTTAGCGGACGCTTCTCATAGGCCAAATGTTAGCATCCAGTACACTACTAGCCAGTCGCAATCTCAAAAATCCTGAGCAATAATTTACGGCACGAGTACGATATCTGACTGGACCGGAATTAAGGAATCCCTGGTCCGGGCTTAGCGAGTTTCGCGAGTTTTTTTTGTTTTTTTACTGGTACTGTACCGTGCTGTACCGGTAGTTCCTGCCGTTTTACTGATGATTCTTGCAGCAATGTACGTACGATCGTTACAGGACGGACGGTGCGGACCCCACAGCGCAGCACAACATCGTACTCGTACCATTTCGATCCACAGAGTTACACCCAAGTTGTGATGCCGTAGTTGCGACAGGGACAAGCACCGCAGCACGACACTGTATAAGAGGTTACGTCATACCTCGTCATCCCTCACGCCGTAACTTAAGGCAGCAAGAGGATCTGTCGCACGTGATACCAGTAATTGGTTGGCGGAATTCTCATTCCCTCTTAAATTTATCATGTGAGACCGTACTTGCATCATAGGAAGACCCGAGTCTATCCAGAGGTGCGGGCGTATCCGGGTCTACCATGTTGGGTCGAGAGGGCGGGGAACTTGTGAGGGCGACAAATATGTATCATATCATACTAGAGACTTTGCGATTTCGCATCCAGAGTCAAATTCTAGCGATCCCATTGGACCAGAACCTTGTTTGACCCACATCCAGAGTCTTTTCGCAGAGTCCCTACTGTAGACCACCGTATGATACAGAACGAGTATCGCATGTTTATACTGAACGGGACCTACCGTACTATGCCCTTGGGCCGTCAGAGATAATAAGATTCGCGACCAGGCACCCCTAAATCCTGTTGCGACGACCACATTCTGTACAGTACAGTACTCGAGTGCTCGTATTGTGATTGGTTGAAAATCAAACGGTCGCTGAGCCGCTGGGTCACTTGAATATTTAAAGGTCCCACCCAACCCACAACCTGGATTAGATAGGTTGCCCGGTCACGAATTTTTACCGTCACGGACCGCCCCAGGGGATATAAATTTAGTCTACTCGAATAAGCTCCCGAGAGACTTTCCGATGGTGTGTGTGGAGTACCGTACCAGTACGAGTATGATACGGTAAGGTAATTGGGCCTGGCGCTGGCTTGGATGTGCTCGTACGGCACCGTACCCGTACCGGTACTTGTGCCCTGTTGTCATAACTTAACTTACCACTAGCCCGCTATGGAAGTATTGATCACCGCTCCATCCCAGTCGGGCGGAGGTATGATATAAGAAAAGCCAGATTCTAGGAAACCCTACTCTAGCACCGTACTCAAGTACAGTACACTAGGATACCATACCGATAATCTACCTTTTTTTGGTTTTGTTTCGTGGCTTTTCAACAAAGCTGGATGGAGTTTGCCGGATCGGCCTATCTTTATTTTTTTTTGGCTTCTGTCTCCTCACTACCACCACTACGGTAAGCAACTCAACTCTTATGAAATCTGGAGTCGGCCATTTCTCCATTCCAACGAAATAAACATTCCGGTAACATTCCTGCTGTAATTCCCATAGCAATTCCAACCATCTCAATAGCTGCCCCACTTTGTCGGATGACAGCTTCAGACAACATCTTATTGCCCCCTATGGGCGAGTGAGATTGCGTGATGTTGAAAAATGATTGATATGGAGGTAATGATCGGTAGTGAGGGTTTACGCAGCGGAGTAGAATCACGCAAGTGGAGATGGGAGGTTTCTCTCAGGTGAAGAGAAAGACCATGATTGATTGCTTAAAGATGACTGAGATGAAGAACTTGAGGTGAGAGGTAAAGCACAGGAAGCTGTTCCCTTGCAAGAGAAGACAGAAGGGAAGAAAAGACAGGGATGAGAAAAGCTTGCATGGCATACGCGTCTTACAGGGGTACAGACATATGCTACTGACGCCTTCATGTATGAGCACATCCCGCACCAAGTGCGGCCATAAACTGCTATTTCCAACACGTGAGGATGCTACCAGCGTGCGTTGCCTTGTCGGGGGGACCGCCTAACTAGAGAGGGCAATGTGAATGGAAATACCGGAGGGCTGAATGAATGTTTTTTTTTAAATTTTTTTAATTACGGTTCCTAACTCTATCCACGGAAATTCTACGGAGGTGTTTGAGGTCCTGATTTTTCTGTGGAACCCGTTCCGGAAAGTGCATGAGCGATTGGGATTGAACTCGGCGCTAGCTGGCTGGAGAAGCACCGTGATACGGACTTATCCTTGAGAGATTGATGGAAAATGGCTGGAAAAAGTGGTGTCCGTGACTTGAGCTAGTGCAGACCTGAAACATAAACTCAATTTTCCGGGCTGCCTCATGGGTGGGTTGGCCAAAACGATTGCCGCTTGAGCAGAGGGAAAACGGGGTCTGGGGTCAGAAATATAGTTGATAATTTAAAGCTTAAATCAAATTTATTGTCATAATAATAATACTTGTATTATGATACAGTACATAAGGTCGAGCCCGGCAACAGGTCATATAGCGTCACCCGGGGAGGAGTGCGCCTGTATTGCCGAAGTCATTAAGGTGTAACATATGGGTGCAGTTTTGGGAAAATAATAAAAATCGTATCATGTGCAAGTTTCCCTGTTTTCCTAAAACTGCACCCGTATACAAGTAATATCGAGGAAAAAATGAAGTAAGTCGCTTCTAAGCCCCTCCTTGGGTTCCTGGGGGAACTGCGCTAGTTAACTGCACCTAGCCCCTAGACTTGCTAGAGCTAGAGCGCACGAAACAGGTGATTTTTTATCGGAGTAAAGAGTTCTATGCTTCTATATGCCCCATCCGGACTTGTTGTTTCGATATTGGCTTGAAGAGATCTCTTGTAGAACTACCCGTGGTAAAAACCGTTCCTATAGACAGCGGGGTATACAAGACTATGAGTGTAACATCTAAGACGATATGGTTGCTAGTGTGCAGCGAAAGATCAAGCTTTCAACCCCTCTAACGACTCCTTCAATCTCTCCCAGCCCTTCGTATCCTCCCAGTTCTGTCTCCCTTGTCCCATAACTCCCCTCACCGTTGTCCTAGCCTTAAATCGCCAGTCTTTCGCAACAGGCTCGCCAGCACCCAGACCCTCGGTCCTCTCCATCTCCCCCAAGCTCTGATACGCATCGACAAGATCTATCGTGGCACCCACTAATTCGTCCCACTCCTCCTCCGTACCGTCAATTATGCCCGGTCTGCTGTTGGTTGTTCGCCAGGCTTTCTCTTCCGCATCGAGAGCGTCTTTAGGCCTTTTCCTCCAAAGCGCTAGCTTAGCATAAATTTTCCAGAGGCGGCCGTCTTTGGTGATCAGAGGGACAACGTCCTTCTCCATTAGTTCGACCACCATCCTATGTAACCCGGGTTTCTTGGGGTCGTAGCCGGTGGGATTATTGCTTTCTAGATCAGAGGTAATGGTGTGCCGCACAAGCATTTCGAGAATGTCCACGTCGATTGCCGTTTCCCCCGCTGAATCCTTTCTTATCTCGATGATTCTCCGCAGAGCAGTAACCACGTCTGGATACGCCGGTGGACTAACGCTAGCGGAGATCAACAGGAGGTTCTCCCATAACCTCCAGGAATCGTTCTTCAAACTAGTGGCCCTTTTCAGAGCTTGCAGGGCACTTCTCTTGTTGTTCTCTTTGTCCACAACCACTTGGCCTTCGATCCCATTCTCGCGGTCTGCCTTTTCGTCTTCCGGGTCTTGGTCGAGGTCGGAATTTCTCCACTCGCTCTGAGCGGGAAGCTCGGTCTTTCGTCTCAGCAATGCGGTTGCAAGATTGCTCCAAGCCTCGGCGTCAGTATCGTCGAGCGAAACGGTCCTGGAAAATGACTCAATCGCCCCCTCCCAATTTTCTAATTCCAACCAGCAACAACCTAGCGCAAACCAACTGGGACCGTTCAGTGGATTCTGCTTAAGCGACTCTATATACATTTCAGCAGACTTCTGGTACTCTCTTTGTGTGAAGTAGTGGCGTCCGAGTGATCGTTTCGCCCTTGCGTAACGGCCTCTACTCACTTCCCACGCTCGTTCGTAGTGATCGGGATCTTGGTCGATATCACCAAGAATACACCATAGGCGAGGCGCATTAGGCGGTGCTGGATCGATCTCTTTCCGGCCACCCCCGCTCTCATCTCCGGATTTGAGAGGATGAAATAGTTGATCCCGGATCACTGCCCGAGCTTTGTCCCCCTTCTCAGTAGCTGCCCAGCACAATGCAACCTCTGCCCACATCTCTAGCCTTTCGTAGATCTCTAGAGCTGTTCTTATTCCACCAACTGATATCCATCTTGAAGCTAACTCTGCCTCTAGTTCCCAGCGGGTTGGGGCTGGCAATTGATGGATGTAAAGAAGGCGTTCTTTTACCGGAGCTACCTCATCTTCTTTGGGTTTCGGCATGAAGGTTGAAACAGCATTATTCGAGCCGGATGAGATATCCGTGCCAGTAGTGTCTGCGATGACTTGGTCAACAACTGCTTGAAGTTGCAGGAGCCCTCTTTCCACTGTCCGAGATTTGTATGCTTCAATGCGACTACGTATTAGCAGGCCCAAAGTGTAGATCTCCCAGTTGACGCTATGTTGCAGAACCCGTTCCGCATACGGTAACATCTCTTCTCTCGTGATACCGTCTGCGGGGTTTGTGTTTTTGATTGTTTCGGTAATCAGCAATAGAATCGCCGCGTCTAGTGGTTGTAATTGGGGCTGGCTTCCTGGATCAAGTGAAGCTAATTCCGCAGACAAGGTGGTTTCTGTCTGGACCTGGGTTGACATTGGAGTAAAAGAAATGGCCTCTAGGATTGTATCGTCATTTAGGTCCAGGGTCTTCGGCTTCGCCGTAACCTCGCTGGGCCCTCCCTCTGCACTCCTTGCTAAGACGACTAGTTGACTTGTATAAGTATTCTGAAACTTGGTTCGCTTTCCCAAGACTCCTGTGATGGCGTACTTCAATCCAGTAACGCTGGCTGCCTCCTCTAGCCCTTTTAACGCATTCGAATCATAGCCGAAATAGGTGTCTACGAGCGCTTTCTCGATCAGATATTTCGCCCAAATATCCGAATCTCGACTAGATATACGATCAGGGAGTTTCTTCATATCCTCGTAGATGATGTTGTGTAGGGTTGCGGTCGCTTCAGACAGGATCTTCTGGTGAAGGAAATTTACTCGAGCCCTCCACCACGGAAGTGTCTCTAGCTTGGAGTCCTTCAGCGCTGACGAGTTCAGTACAATCTTTCCGAAAGCCAAGAGGAGTACGTTTGGGGTTAGGTGGTAGGCAGTTTCTCCATCCACAGACAAAGAGGCGAGAATGGACCTGGAGACTTCTTTGCAGAACTCAGGTTCGCCAGCTAGCCCTTCAGGGAGGAGTACTCTCTCGGGAGAAAACGAGAGCGGGGGCCCGGTGATATTTGACTGAATAAAGGCGCGGACCCCTGCTATCCCCATATACATCAGAGCGAAGCCGGATATTTCTGTGGTAGATAGTCTTTTTTCAAGAAACCCGACATAGTCCTTGGTACTCCGTAGGTATTCAACATCAGGGTCAGTGCATATTGAAAATTCCGCAACTACAGCAGCTTTAAGCGGGCTCCATGGAAGAAGGCGCTCGAAGTTACTCTCGCTAAGTTCCCGCAATAATTCCAGGTTTGGGCCCGCATCGGCTTCTTCCGTATCCGTCGGAGGAGAGTGTTTCGAATCAAGACCACGAACTAACAACCACTCAGCAGTAGTCATTTTTTTTGGTGGTCCTCGAGGTAGGGTGTAGGGAAGGGGATCAAAGGTGGGTGGAGAGGAAATAAGGATTCTTCGTAAGTTTCTGCACATGTCATACTAGTATCACAGAGCAACCTACGGTAGTCGTGAATGGTGGGGCACGGGGTCGCTAAGCCGGGTAACCTTGTTGGCGATTAGATCCTCCCCGCTGGCTGGTTTAAGGGCCCAAATTTTAAGCCTCATCACATCTAACCCCCCTTATGCAAACTAATTCATTCTTCTGGACGATAGTACCGTAGCCGGTCATGAAATATAGATGAATTTTAATTTTATGGAATTTTTTCGATCTGGGCAGAGTGTAGGTTGTTGTTCGTGTACTTGCGAAGGTTGTGGGGATGACTGTCTTTAGTAGGGCACAGAAGAAAATTTTGAAGCTCAGAACGAAGTATCCACCGAACAACCCCACCACCCCGCCTCAAAACCACAAATTGGGACAAAAGAGATTCCCCTATCCGCACTATACGCTCACCCCCATATCACATTGCAAATATGGCACCCCATCGTGAGGACGAGCATGAGGAGGAGGAGGAGGAGGAAGAGATCGATTTCTCTGGTAAGAAATTTTCTTCCACCCGTTCGTCCCGAAATCCAAGACTTGCATGAATTCTGACAAGACCCACTTATATAGATCTCAGAGAGAGGTATGAAGTTCAGCTTGATGAAGGACTTGATACCTTCGTCGTTGTCGATGGATGCCCGAAGATCCCGGCGGACAGCAGACCGAAGCTGATTAAGTTTTTGTGCAAGCGTTTAGCGGAGGTTGGACGTATCAGTCAGGACTCCGTTTTTATGCCTCTCAACGAAGAGACAAACATGACCGAAGGGTAAGCACTACTTGTACACTCCATTACTCGGGTTGAATATTAAGGGTCAATAGGTATGCCTTCGTTGAATACGACACCCCTGACCAAGCCTTGTTAGCTTGCAAGCAGCTTAACGGAATGGCCCTCGATAAAAAGCATACCGTCTCTATAAACAAACTTACTGATATCGAGCACTATGGACGAGAAGGGCGCATCAAGGAAGAGTATGCTGAACCCGAGATTGAGCCTTTCGTCGAGCAAGAACATCTACGCTCTTGGCTCGGTGATGCCAACTCCCGCGACCAGTTTATCATGTACCGCGGTGAAAATGTTGGAGTCTTCTGGAATAAGAAGAAGGATGTACCGGAGTCCGTCGTTGACCGTGCAGGATGGACGGAGTCATTTGTTCAATGGTCACCACAGGGCACTTTCTTAACATCTGTTCACGGGCAGGGCGTTCAGCTATGGGGCGGCCCAAGTTGGAAGAGAATTATGCGTTTCGCCCATCCAATGGTCAACTTAGTAGACTTCTCACCGAACGAAAGATACCTGGTTACATGGTCTAATAAGCCTATCTCCATCCCCGAGAACCCACCACCAAATTTCCCTCTAGGACCTGACGAAGATGGGAAGAGCTTTATCATCTGGGATATCAAGACTGGAAACCTTTTGCGATCCTTCACCTCTGTCGAGGTAACCGGTGAGCGTGATGCCGAATTATTCGAGAAATCCCGTAAGAAAGTTTCGTGGCCGGTATTTAAATGGTCCTCAGACGACAAATATGTTGCTCGCGTTGTGCCTGAGCAGTCCATCCAGATCTTCGAAACCCCTGGCATGCTTTTGCTTGGAAAGAAGGCTATCAAGATCGAGGGTGTTGTCGATTTCGAATGGTCGCCATCTATTCCCACTGTGGAGAGAGGCAAAAAGGAGCCAGAGCAGCTGCTTTGTTACTGGACGCCCGAGATGAACAACCAAACCGCACGTGTGGGCTTGATGAGCATCCCTTCGAAGGAAATCACCCGAACACGAAATCTTGTCAACGTGTCAGACTGTAAGCTCCATTGGCAATCGGAGGGAAAGTACCTTTGCGTCAAAGTTGACCGACACACAAGGACCAAGAAATCCATGTACACCTCCCTGGAATTCTTCCGTGTCAAAGAAAAGAACATTCCTGTTGAGATCGTCGAACTAAAGCTAGTTGTCATCAACTTTGCCTGGGAGCCTAAGGGTGATAGGTTTGTTTTCATTACCGTCGACGAAGCTGTCCAGGGGGCCCAGGTTGCACCCAAGACCTCGGTCCACTTCTACGCACCGGAGAAAATCAAGAACGGCGTCGGCGAATTTTGTTTAGTCAAGACGGTGGAAAAGAAGAACTCAAACGCCATCTACTGGTCACCAAAGGGCCGCTTCAGTCTCATTGCTACAGTTCACTCTCAGCAGAGCTTTGACCTCGAGTTCTGGGATTTCGACTTCGAGGGCGAGAAGCAGAAGCAGGACAAGACGAGCAAGAATAAGGATCTTGCTGCCAACCTCATGCTTATGGGCACATCCGAGCACTACGGTCTGACTGACGTTGAATGGGATCCTACCGGCCGATACGTCGCAACTAGCGTGAGCACGTGGAAACACCTGGTATTTCTCAGCCACCCATACCCCACTTAATGCCCCCTTGCTAACGATTACAGATGGAAAATGGCTATCATCTCTGGGACTTCAAAGGTTCTCTTCTCCGCGAGGAACACATCGATAAGTTCAAGCAGTTCCTATGGCGTCCCCGCCCTCCCACTATGCTCTCCAAGGAGGAGCAGAAGCAAATCCGCAAGAACCTCCGTGAGTACAGCAAACAGTTTGACGAAGAGGACCAATTCGAAGCCGAGGTCGCAAACAAGGAAGTTGTCGAGGCTCGAAAGAGGAAACTTGATGAATGGCGTGCCTGGAGAGCAAGAATCGAGAAGGAGGTCAGGTGGGAGCGTGTCGACCTCGGCCTCCCCGAGGACCCAGACGAGGCTCTTGGAGAAACCGCCGGTGAGGAGGAGGACAAGGTTGTCGAGGAGATTGTCGAGGAGGTTATCTCCGAACACGAGGAGGAGATCGCGTAGGCTTCTCCCCCCTTCCCCCATCCTCGCTTCTCTCCTTTTTCGATATTCTAGGTGAATTGGGAGTTTCAATATTTTGAGAAATTAAAAACAATAGTCTAAACAAGTCTTCTATACTTAATTGATACTGAAGCCATTGGTGGTTCCTTTGCGTATGCTACGCCTGCGTTGTCAAAACATCTCTTATGTAGCAGTCACTCTGAGACCGCTCGAGTGATACCGTGTGAACGTACAGTATATCAAAGTTCCAGATACCGTCTAGCTCGGCATAGGCTATCCAACAGCTAACCAAAACCTACTGAGGCTGTGGTTTTTCTGGAATCAGTGTTTAATTAGCAGCAGGTAAAGTCACTAAGTTAGAGAGGAGACATCCGTCCTATTGTGATTATCAAAAACTGGTGCCAATAATGTGAAGATACTCCACTGGCCAGGGCTAGGAGGACCCGAGATCGTAGTGGCCCCTTTTGGAATCACGATATATGTAAAAGCAATCACGAAGCAGAATTTCAAACCAACAACACCGGACAAGATTGTCTATTGTTCTCCTTCTACCTATCATACACCGGGAGCAAGAAATCATACATCTTATCCCGATGCCTTCCCCAGAGTTATTATCTACCTCACTCCAATCAGCTCTATCCCCTCAGCAACCTGTAAATACTCCAAAATGGCCTTCGTCTTACTGCTTGCTTTTTTTTTCCCTTTCACTCCACCTGTGATACTTGCAAGGCTGTCTGGCCAAGGATTAACCAAAGCTATGTTAGAGCCATCGCCACTGCCCTTGCTCAGCCCAATACGTCCCTGGAACCGCTCCAGAAGGCAACTACAGTGTCCCTACCCTCTCGCCCAAGCGCCCTAATCACCCTACTCACTACTAGAAGGTTGTACCGACTTGGCCCATGTCCCGGCCAACCATGTGAACGCGCAGGATTGGCAACCGCCTCCTATCCGGGATCCTACAGTAGTATAGTTCGAACATTTTCAAGAAACCTTTATCACCGGTCAAAAAATCGCCCCCCCCCCCCAACAGGAGACAACCAGTGCATCGAGTCCATCCTATCTAGGCACAGCTAGGCTTAGAAGGAAACCCGGGAACGCCGAGAGATTGTGGGCGAGGAAATAAAAAACTCTCGACAGCTATAATTTCAACAATACTACCAACGAGGGTGATAACACAGAAACGATTGGAGAGGGTACAAGGAGATCGGGAGAAGAAGGCTATCTTAAACTAGCTAAGGAGGCCGAACTTCATTATTGGAGCCCATTTAATTTCCGTAGTTGTTCCACGAAGCCATATTAAAGCGAGGAGGAAGGCGTACCAGTTGCTCTGGGGCATTCCCAACAGAGACTAGAATGCCCTTTGGAGCACACATGGGAGACTTTCCTGACGGGAACTAAGGACTAATACAGCATCAGCGATCACCTCGTGGGCTGCACTGCTTCTTGCTAAAATCACACTAGGCCGCTAATTTACAACGATAGCCCTGCCCCCTAAATCCCATACGAGTACCTGCACACACGAGGCCAAGTCGAAGCTAAATACCGGTACTTAGTACGGGTATCGCCACCCGAGATGTGCCACTTCAGCCTTGTTAGAGAAGTTAGGAAACCGAACATTCCATATCCGCAAGATCAAGCATTTCTCGCGCGTCCGCCAGACAAAGGCATTGAGGCTATTTTGATGCTCGCAAATAGCTTTCCCGCAGCAACCAGGGGCAGGGTCTCTAGCGCGGACTAGCTGAATACAATACAATACTGTACCACATTTTGCAGCTAAACAGAGCATGGCTAGCCGCAAAGTGTGCTTGGGGCGCTGAGCCAGTGTAGCGCTCTATACGAGTACTCCGTAGGACACGGTATGATACGAGTATTTTTATGCAATCGTAGTAGCCGTGCTAGCGGGACACCGTTCCAGAATGATGAGTACACAGTACTACGCCCGTGTAAGTTTAGCCCCCCTTATACCTGTACAGTAGTAAGAATCAAAGAGAGAAACTAGCACCAAGCCTTCTGAATACACCCCGCCATTCCTCTCTCTACACTATCACGGTGAAACTCGGTGGATCTTTTTTTTGATTTTTGATTTTTTTTTCAGGAAAATGTTCCACTACCTTCACTATCGTGGCCCTGTAAGAAGATGTTTCGCATTATGCGGACTTGCCGGAAAATATTATACGATATCTTATAATACATGAAACCTTATGACAAATACGGTAGATTGTGCCGACAAAAATAGAGTGAATCGGGAGCGGCCAGTCAGTAGAGCCTCTCTCTAGCGCCTCGAGCTATCCCCCTCAGGCACATTGGAGCATCATCCACTCACTGATCGTCGAGTGATATAGAATGAAGGAAACACAGTGGTCTGTGTTGGCTGCATCTTTCCTATTTTTCTTTTTTCAGGGGGGGGCTTTTGTGCCCCATTAATTCTGAGCAAGTGCAAGATCTCACCCGACCTGCCGAGAATATAAGCAAATTTATATACAGTTCAAGAAAGCCACTCGGATAGTCTACCCTCTGCAATTGCACTTGAGTATTATGCTCTAGTTCCTGCACTTGCATGTCTGTTTATCCTAGCGTTGGGAGGAGCGGTCTGGAACCACTCTTAAAGAGTGCTATATGTAGTGGCTCGAGAGTGGCAGGAGTAGGTTAAAGTGACTGCCCGGGCATATGTCGAAACGATAGAATTTCATTTTCTTGATCTTCCAGAGGAACTGGCAGAAAAAGGAGTATGATGCGGGTCCAATGTTTAGGGACCATATAATACTGAGGGCCTCGCCATGGAGCGGCTAGGGGAGAATAATGTGGATGCTCTGAAGAAGGGCTGACCAGGCTCCAATCTACCAACCAGGTCAGATTTCCATCGATATGTTTGGGTACAAGTATCATTCATCTCCAAAATAACATACCATGAAAACTATTCAAATTCAGCTATTAGATACCAGCACTAGCTCAGCACACAAGGTAAAGCGTCTTATAGCGGAAGCCCTTATTGTTAAGTTTAAAATACGGTCATATCCCATTACTTGGCTTTCTTTACTACCCTAACACGCTGTTTTGGGATAGAGCCGGGCGTACGCCTTATTTCAGGCATGTTTGAGAATTCCTGTCTATAAAAATATGGAGGAAATTTCTTCCCGTTCTGGGGTTCGTTAGCGGAAGCTTTGAAATACGAACTTAAAGTATCATAACTGATATTGCTCTCTTCAACATCACGCCTCTGTTGAAGAAGGATTTAAGCGGCTCCTAAGGCCGGAGGATAATATACCAAATGTTAAATAGCTCAACCGCATTTTTTTTAAAGTGCTTTACCATATTTATTCTACAAGGGATATTATTTGGTACAAATTTATTGACGGTCCCGGAGTGATCCATATACTGGTGGTTCGGGTGGGAGGGTTGAGCACCGTTGCCGCGGCCGCCGACGATAAATTTCGACCCCTCAGCTGCGCTGCACGAGTACTGTACCGTACCGCTGCAGAAAACGATTTGTTAGTCAACCAACTATTTTGGGCGCGCGCTAGGGTTACGTGGTACTCGGATTTATCACATCAATTGGCAGACTACCAAAAAGGCACTGGCACTTCAACACCCCATACTAGACAACCATTCACATAACTTATTGTCACTCGACTACGATACTTGTACATTATTTCTCAACGAAAGCCCCTCAATTTATCATACCAACTGAAATCACACATTACCCATATCAGTCCCAGGAACCCCATCACCTCTCAACCAAATAAACCGGCGAGAGCCTACTCCTCCCAGTCATTAACCTCCACGCCCACGCTCCCAGGACGACTAGGATGATGGCAAAGCTGACCACCAGACTGCCTCCGAAAACGATCGCATGCCACTTCCACGCGGTATCCTTATTCAGTTTGATAACCTCCACCACAATCGCCCAGGGCAACACCCAGAACAAGTTTGATATGAGGGATTGGCCAAGGTACCAGCGCGGTCGAGTGGCCAGGAGGATGCTAGCAAGCTGCGTGGAGACGGCGTAGAATATGTAACACCAGTCTATTGTCTGTATAATAAGTAGGGGTCAGTCTGAGAACATTGCATTCAGGGAAGGAGGGAACGGACCCGCCACATGTACTCGGTTATTCCGGCCACAGTGTCGGAGCCGGAGAGCCAGCGGGCAAAGGGCTGGGTGCCCCAGAGGGACATCGTGAAACAAAGGGGAACTTCAATTAGAAGGGCTATGCAGACAGATATGAGGGCGGGTTCCATAATCACTTGAAAGTAATGTGAATTAGTCCTTTTCTTCTACGCCAGAATAACATAAACTCACTGCGGATATCTCCCCTCGAGGCTTTCGGCTTTCGAGTCTCAATTCCAACCTTATGTCGCCAGGCACCCCATGCGTGTCCTACAAAGGTGGAAGACGTAGCCTCGAGCGCTTGAACGGGAACCATTACAAGGCCCCAGCGGATGGTGTTGAACACACCCCAAGCCTACAAATTGTTAGTAAAACAACAAATCTCTTCCCCGTAAGCACCAACATACCGTAGCATAATCAGACCCCATCGCCACAATCCCCGAAATGAGCCACAAATACAGCACATTCCTAACACACGATTCAACAAACGTGTACCACCCCTGCCTTGCCAAAGTTACCAGTGCCAACACACTCGGTTTCCTAGACCCGACTTCGCCGTCCGGTCTATGGATCCACAACTTTCTCGTCTCGTACAAGAAGTAGCATACCCCCGCTAGAGCTCCTGCTGCATCGCAGGAGAGGCGGATGACGGCTTGGGTATTTACGTCTACGTCTGCATGCCCGACGCGGACATTGGAGAGGATGAGGAGGTCGAGAATGATGTTCAGCGCGGTTTTCACCGTGCTGATTAGGAGGGGGACGTCTGGCCTTTTATTGCACAATTAGCGCCTGGGAGGGAGCGAGGAGTTATACACACCTATCCAAAGCCCGAGTGGCACAACTAACCGCGAAATCCACAGCGCCAAACAGACTCCCAAACGCCGAAATCCTAACATACGTGACGCTCTCCTTCCGAACCTCCACAGGCACGAAAGTATCCGTGAACCTCTGCGCCGCACTCGCAATAATCACCGACATCAACAACCCCAGCACGGCCTGAAAGATGATGAGCGTATTCGAGATCCCAATCCTAGAGGTGATTGTCCTGGAAGTGCGGTCCCCGATAATCACAAAGGAGGCACGCGGGAGTCCTTCGTTTATGACTTCGGTTACGGTACTGATGTAGGTCCATGTATCAGTCGTAACAACCATTTTCGAATCTATCTGCGCGATCCATAGCTTTGACAGGGTTGAGTAGAAGGCGGGGAGGATGAAAGTTGAAACGTTGAAGAGGAGGGCGCCGGGGTAGCTAGTGTATCGGATTCAGTCATATTCCATCGTGGCTATGATACTCAGGAGAACCAACCGACTTCTAGTCCACCACTTGGAACTAGGTATAGGTACTTCATACCCTTCATCTCCAACAGGAGAAGTGGTGACCGCTGTCTTAACCATATCGTTCTCCACGCTATCGTTCATTTCAGAATCTAGCAATGCGCGATATCGATGTCGATATGTGCTACTACCTCCACCACCACCACCGATCCAGGATTCCACCATTTTATAACTAAACTCCCCAGCAAAGAGCGTGCGGGGTAATGCACAGACTGTTTGCCCGAGCACGATACGTACAGTAAATTGTAGATATTATGTCGTGGGTTGTGTTGAAGTGGCTTGGAGTGGGAGATTCGGCCTAGTGCACAACACTTCCCCTAAAGTGGCAAAAGTGAAGTTTCGCGGTAACCGGGTCGGTAAAATGGTTACCGCCGGGGGAAGCGAAGCGTGGGTGGCCTTAAACCCTACTGGAACCGGAACTCGCGAGCCTTAGCGACACATGCCACACCGATAGCGCCAAGATTTTGGCGTTCAATTGGGTGTCGCACATGTCCCATTGCACCTGGAACGGGAAGTCTGGGGAAGTCGTTACCTGGTTTGAACATTGCGGGTGACGGGCTGTGACCGGTGAGAAAATGGGGTGCAGAGATGGGAGGGCCCCGTGGAAGGGGCTTTTGTCGATTTGGTGAATGGGGGTGGGAATGCGTGATTTTAGCCTTTTGCGGATTTGGCCATGGGATGGATTACCGCATCATACCGTCTGATATAATACTGTATCTTATTACCCCAAACATCACAGTTCCTCGACAAGACAGTGAGTTTATTGGGGCTGTATGATATGCCAGTGGGAATTTGACCCAGTAGGACATGCAAAACGCGTAACACTAGATAGAGTGCCGGTACACCATTAATGTAGACTTAAGCTTAAGTCGATGCCCCATTCAAATCTCGCGTTTTCTGCACCCCCGTACCGGTATCCCGATCTCATCCTGACACATGTCATCGCCCTCAAGCGGCCAGATGCGCACCTGCTGCATCCTGGCAAGGCCTCACAGTCGCCCGTTGCGCCCTAACAATGCCTGTTGCCATCGTATCATATGATACCACCGTACCGTATATTGTATCCACACTGCCCCCAGCCCTTGTGTCTCGCATCCTGGGAATCTCCTTTCCATGCTATGATATAAACCTCCATCTGCATATCCTGACCCATATCTGCTTCCTGAGTCGAGGTGTCAATAGGCACCTCAAGTGCAGCGGTGCAACCAACCCAACAACCTATTGGCGAGATCAGGTAACTGTGGTCCCGCCCAGTGGGCAGCAGCCAAAGTAATTCCTCCAATAGCAAAAGGGGTGCCAAAATAAATACTCCCTCAGATTAGATGCCTCAATGGTAGATGTTGGGGCTATCTAGCTAGTTAAGAAGGGGATATTTTTGGCCCCTCGCAATATTAGTGGCGTGGATGGATGGTAACATGTTATGCTTGATTCTAGATGTTGCAGGCGTCCGGTAAATCGTTCAGGAGTGTGATGGAGTGTCCCAGAGCCCTAGTGATTTACCGAGAGAATACCCCAGGCGCCTCTTTCCTCTCTTGTCATGAGTGTCTGTGCAGGAACGGAAGCATGCTTGGAGAGACAAAGATAGATGTGCCGATCCGCTGGTTAAGACGTTCTGATCACGTCTTATTTATCCACCTGCCTTCACCGTTGGTTTGGTTGATAGTGAGAGAAGGTCGGCAAGGAGGGGGACCGCACAGAAGAACAAAGTTATTGACCATACCTCGCCTTCCTTTCCTACACAGTTCCAAGCGAATCTCCTCACCCTACCGCCTCCTCGTTTGCCTCCCCCTTAGGGTGTAAGTCATGAATTTTAAGTTCACTTTTTCTATATCGTACCCCTCTTTTGTCGAGTAACATTTTTGGAACGTCCCATCACAAATTTAGCTTCCTTAGTCCTCATTGGACCGCCCTCGGTGTCTATTATCAGGGCCACCGACAGGTACTCGAGCACATTCATTTATTCTCAATCACCTTTTGTGCATCTAGCGCAATAGCGCCCGGCGCCCGGAAATCAGGTACTTACTGCTAGTCATCGAAATAAGTTAAGCCGCCACTGTCCTCACATTATGCTAGCGTCAGATGCCTTACAATTCGCCACCTCCACCAGCTCCATAATCTCCGAGTGCCGAGACAGAAGGTCCCGAGAGGAATTAGTGTTTTCCTGACGTGGTAAAAACCTAGTCTATTGGATGTGTCGAATCCCATTGACCGGTATTAGCAATTCTCTTAGCCCACCAACCGGAACCTATTCCGATCCGACGGGCTGATTTCCACCTACGGACCCACAGTGGATTTTAATGGTTTTTCGGATAGTAAAAGAATGGGGCCGGGTCGGAAGAGATATGATATGATAACAGAAATGACCAGCAAGTTTCACTCGATCGTAGGAAACGTAGGCCATCGGCACCCTTTTCCCCCCTGGAAAAACAGGGTTCGCCGGATTCGTGATAGCACGTCTCTGGTAAGACAGGCTGCGAAGTCGCAAGCAGACAAGAAAAAGATGGAAGAGAGAAAGCAATCAACCGAGGTCGTGGCCGTCCTCCAGAAAGTATTTGTGGTCGCCCCTGCCTTCACTCTAAGAGGAGTGCAATCGCTGGCTACCACGAGAAAGGAAGGAACATAGGAGGTGTTTTGAAAAATAACATAACCACACTTTCGTCCCTACGGTAGCAACTTTGATAACATGGAAGAATAGAGTAGGATGCCGTGAATAAATATATGGAAAAAGGCACCACCTAAGCATTCCATTGTCGAGAAAGGTGGGAGTAAAAGAGATAGGAGTTCGTGCAAGGGCGCAAGAAAATTACCCATCAATCAGTCGGGAGATGTACCGGTACCTACTTGATAACGAGTGATATTCGGTGATGACATTGAAGCAGTGCAAACATAGAAATTTAGAGATCAGTATCAAGAAAAACAAAAAGAATTACCCCACCTAAACTACCTCCATTTTTCTCACTGCCAAAAACAATGCTAGTTCCCCTGAAATGACGCACGCATTTGAGCAATATAGCATTGGGGAGGCGAGAGGGTGTTCGGCTCCTGCGGGGCTGCTGTTAAGCAAAGAGAGTAGTAGAGAGGAGAGCGGCAACGAAACTGAGATTGAGGGAAAGCGCCATGACAGCTGAAATAGGTGGTCTCACCACACATGCCCGGCATTGCCCAAACAGGATTTCCGTGGTCCGCGGGTAGCGGACTGGAAAATTTGACCTGCGGTATGTATCGTACCAGTGCCGACTCTAGGGCTCTACAAGGTGGCTCGGCAGTCTGGGGGCAGTGGGTGCGGTGCCGAGCTTGACAGAGGTGCAAGAACTGGTGCCGAGAATACGGTATTCCACACTCCCAAACTATAGCCAACGGCTTCATCCCCCTCCTCCCAACATCGGTCCCCTACCTGCGGATTCTATGGAACGGGCGCGAAAACGCATCATGACCTAGGAGGTCTCACCACCTGCTGCCACGGGCCGCTTCAAGCCATAGTACAGATCTAAGTCTTGCGTGGTCAGGCCCTCTAAAGGCTCCATCGGACGCCCTCCTTCCGCTATCCCATGAGGCCTCGCCGCAGCGAAAACCTCAATTACTCGCGCCCACCACAATACTCGTACACTACCGTACTGCAAACCCCGCATACCTTACTCACAGCTCCAGCCACACATTACCATGTGATCATAGTGGAGGCGCAACCCACAGCCGTCTACGTCATATGGCTGACTACCACTTTTGCCAGGGGCTGTTCCTCGTTCTATGCAGTCATGAGAAGTCACTCGGGTAGGGTGCTGACCGTTCGTGGAGATACCGCGTCCTATCCGCTAGCCCCCAGTCTGCCTCCAAAGCCGACAAAGGCGCCGGCCAAAAGAGGGGTCACTAAACTCGACACGATCTACCATCCTAAATTCCCGAGACTGAAGGATGATCGCAGATGGTTGGCATTCAAAGCAGATGTCGGCAGGCCACAGTTGATGTCGGGAAGGGAAGTCCCCTCGCAGCCCGAAACAAGGTTCCGACAAGGGAGGCATGCGGTACTCGTATAACGGAGGCGAGCTCAGGTTTGTCTGCCGGCACAGTGGCAGTGTATGACTAATAGTGTGAAGGCAAGAGCTCCCAACAACCCGTAAGCTAATTTGCTGACGTTTGTGGGAACGGTCCCATTGCGCAATGCCAAAGTTTCCACTGCTCCGCAGACGTCAGAGGGTTGAGTTACACGTAAGACTTGGCAGTTTGTCTTTAGTTAAGTACCGTAGGGGGGTATGCCCCGCACGTGGTTGAGCCGCACGACTGGAAACAGTCTGAAATCAACATACCCAGCAAATATATCCACTGCGACTTTTAAGACGACCCATGGTCCGTATCGTCGTCCATTCCATAATCGAGGAGCGTGTCTTGTTGATCCGGTTTCCTGGTGGAGCGGTGGAGGGAAAGGACTCGGGCTGCGAACCAAGAGACAAGTCGGAGCCTAGCGCATGTCATAACGTTGGGCCTAGTCCGTGGACTACTAAAAGCTATGAAGGAGACTGAACGACCTCTAGGGGTCCGCTCACGGCAGTGATATCTCAGCGCAACCGCCTTTGGCCTAGTCGGCGGGTACTAAATCTGACTTCAGGTTTACAAAGCGGTGGGTCCAGTTATTGTTTAGAGGAGCACCAACGTTAAGCTGCTGATTATACTCACGTATGAGGTATATCTAATTGGTATAGGCGATCGTCCGGCTCCCCAGACCCACTACCGGTATGGTAGCTAGGGCCACTCGGCGTCGGGGAGCCAGTGACGAACCTAGTTCGGGAAAGCGGCGTGCACCTAAGTATTATATCGGTGACTTTATGCGCAGGCACCAGGATGGGAGGGTTCAGAGGGGTGTGCAGTGCTCATGGGGATGACGGCCATATTATATTAAAAGCCCGAGTGTTATTACTTGTACTTGCACATCTGTTTTGTTCCACCGGCCGGACCGATTGTATTACTTACTGTTCACCGGTAATGTTGGTGGTGTACGGAACCTTAAGCCGGGGGGGGGGGGATCCTTCCACGACCCCCAACTATGATACCTGTTTGAGGCACCATCCTTCGATCAGTCGAGTGATATCGAATGACGGCCCAGGAGCCAAACTCACGTCTAAACCTCTCTACCTTCTGCAAACAAACGCGTGTGAATTCATAATTCTAGAAACAGTGCCCTATGGCACGGGGCAAAGCGTCCACAATGCCGGAATGCCGCCAAACTAACGTCCCCCCCGCGCAGATACCAGAATGATGACAAGAATAAAGCACATGGACGAGAAAGCAAGCTGCAAAACACGGGTAGAAGTAAGCTCTCGAATGCAAAGCCACCGTTTCGTAAAAACTAATAGACCGAGACGGGTTGTTTATATACAGTGTCCCTCCGGTCGAAAATAATAATGATGGACTTCGGAAAAACGCACACCCCACACAATCAATGCTTCAGACTTAACTGGCTAATTCGCTCGTCTCCTAACTAAAAGCGTTGGCCAGGAATCCTTGTACCGCTTTCAGGGCCTCGTATCTGACCTCCGCATCACTATCACCCATCAATTCCATAACCCTAGACTTAACGCCTTGTTCTTCCCACTTCTTCCTGCCCCCAGGAGCTTCTCTGACCAAAACACCAACATCGTTCGCAGCAACGGCTAGTACAGTCTTATCTGTGCTGCCGCTCAAAACTCGTGAAAGCGCCTTCACAAGCTCCGTGTCATCCATAATCTCCCTTGCATGCCTTTTCCAGAAACCTTCATTGCGATGAGGTGGGGACCAGCGGAGATGACCGGAAATAATCTCAAGTCGGTAGGATGAGAGTGTGGTTTGTGAAGATTGGAAAGAGTCCAAAGCTTCGATTAGGGACGAGAGGTCGGCTGTGAGATCTGGATCGGACGCGGAAGTGAAGCGTGAAGAAAGTTGCTGAAGGTACGGAAGTATGTTCGAGAGAAGGAGCGGCGGTAGATTGGTAGATGGTGATTCGGTAGCAAGATTTGCAAGAGTTGCAAGCGCCAATCGGGTGATCTTCTCCTTCAAGGATGAACGAAGTATTTCAGTTATGGGAGGTATCACGTCATATTTCCTAAGGATATACCATTGCCGATCAGTAGTGCACTCAAATAATATATAGTATTGAACGTACGGATTAATTCCTTCGGCCACCAACTCTTCGAAAGTGAGTTCCCAAATCACAAGTAAAACATGATAAAGCAGCTGCAACCCCACCCCTCCTTGAACTATGCCAGTCCCACCAGTGACGCCAGTGACTCTGTCACTTCCGCCGCCATTTCCGGCGGCCGCCGTCTCCAAGATCCTGACTATAGGAGCCACAGTCTCCTCCTCCATATCCCAGAAGATAGCCCTGGCAAACGTGCTTCTTAGTAGCGAGACATAAGATTGAATCGCTATATCCTGAAGATGTCCATCTGATGATTTGGTGAGGCCTGCGAAAAAATGGTACAACTTTGGAAGGGCGTTGCGGGCATCGGCAGAGGGCTTTACTGAAGATTTCAGATAGGCGGTAAGAAGCGTAGTAAGGACAGATGCGCTGAGGAGAGGGGTTGATTCATCCGTGTGCGACAGCAGCGACAGGAGATGAGCAAATGGCATAGGAAGAGATAAAAGAGAGTCGGTGAACGCGGGAACACCTAACACGACCAGCGCTTGCGGTCAGCCAAACACGATTCACCATCGTAGAGAGCCCATCTCCTTGAGGTTTCGCGATTGAATCTGGGTTGGTTCCAGACAACTAGTAAACGAATGTATCGCACACACCCTCCAAGAGATCACCCATTAACACGAGCATATAAGCCACGACATCCATCCTCTTTCCATCTGTAGCTTTCCTCAATGCCCCCTCGGGGCCCAGGACGAGCGCAGCGTAGCCGTCGACATCCTTTTCAACCACGCTAACCTGCTTCTCCTTCAATACCTTATCGATTGCTTTGATCTTTTTGACATCCGAATCTGTAATCAAGCCAGCGCGGACGTGAGCATCCCAAGCGATAGAACGGCCACGTATATTTAAGAAAAGCTCCGAAAGGTATCTGGGATTATCGAGGGACATTGCGGGCTTTTGAATAACGGAATGTAACGGAGCTAGAAAGTTGAGGCGAGGAGGGGGGCTTTGGAGAGCTATCCTCCGTGTCCGGACTTGGAAGTTACCCGGCTTGAAGTGGGTGAGGGTGCCTGTGCTTACTAACCTGGTTCAATGTCCTCCGTAACTCGTCCCTCTTGTACAGACCCAGAGCTCTACGATCCATACTTTAGGATTCATCCACTTCCTCATACAATACCCCATCTTCAACCATCTATCCCTATCCCAGACGCCTTCTCCGCCATCCGCTTAATCACGCATCACCCAACCAAATATCACACTACACAATGTCGGATGAACCCGTGCTAAAGGCGGACAAGGACTGTGGGACTCCCGCTGCTCTCGGTTTTTCTCAATCCGCTGCTCGAATTCTAACGCGAGGGGTTTATAGTCACTGAGGCACTAGACAAACAGCTTCCGCAGATATTATCGCTCGCCAAGGTTTTGATATTGATGGATTTGATGCTTGGCCCGGATACTGACCAATCTCGGGCTCTAGGCAAATGAAGCAAATCTCCCAGCTGCCATCGAAAAGCTCTTAGCGTTAGAGAAGCAAACCAGACAGGTTTGGTCACTCTATGCATCTCCAAAATCGGTGGTCGTTAACATTTCTTCTAGGCTAACGATTTGGCTTCTACCAACCGCCTCCTCACCACGATCATTACACTATGCAAGGATGCCGGGGACTGGAAGCTTATGAACGAGCATGTCCAGATACTCTCAAAAAAACATGGCCAACTGAAGCCGGCCATAACCAAGATGGTGCAGACCGCGATGGGTTTCCTCGACGAGACACCCGATACCGAGACTAAACTCTCTATTATTGAAACCTTGAGGGCAGTTACTGAGGGCAAGGTACGTACTCGTAGGACTATTATAGCTCTTTAAGTCAAGGCATCCCAACCTAACCTCATCGTTATAGATTTTTGTCGAGGTTGAGCGGGCTCGTATAACCCGCATCCTCTGCCATATCAAGAAGGCTCAGGGTGACCTTGCCGGAGCCACCGATGTATTGTGTGAACTTCAAGTCGAGACCTTCGGGTCTATGGATCGACGAGAGAAGACGGAATTCATTCTTGAGCAAGTCGAGTTCTGTATTGAGCGTGGAGACTTCACTCAGGCGGCAATCCTTTCGCGAAAAATTTCTACAAAATACTTTGCCCAAAAAGAAGTGTCCGATCTGAAATTGAAGTTTTATGATCAGCAAATCCAGCTTGCAAAGCAAGAGGATAAATATCTGGATGTGTGCAAACACTACAAGGCAGTTTACGACACTCCTAGTGTAGTTGAGGACCCCGATAAGTTGAATAGTGTAAGAACCTGAACCCTATTCACCAGGCAAACATTAATCCCGAATAATGATAGGTACTCGAGAGGATCATATACTATATTATCCTAGCACCTTATGATAACGAGCAGTCAGACCTACTGCATCGCATTCATGCGGACCCGAATCTAAGTTTGGTCCAAAAACAATCGAATCTCCTCAAATGCTTTACAGTTCATGAGTTGATGCGCTGGCCCCTTATCGCTGAAAATTACGGGACTGAGTTACGCGCCTCTGATGTTTTTGCAATTGGTGACCCCAGGGCCGAGAAGCGCTGGGATGACCTAAGGAAACGTGTTATCGAACACAATGTAAGAGTTGTTGCCAAGTACTATACTAGGATCAAGATGGACCGATTAAAGGTTCTCCTCGATCTAGACGAGGACGAGGCCGAAACTTATCTGAGCCAGCTGGTAACCCAAAAGACTGTCTATGCAAAAATAGATAGACCTGCGAGAATCATCTCCTTTGCTGAGCCCCGAGACGCGGATGATGTCCTCAATGAATGGAGTGGCAATATGAAGAGTCTTCTGGGGCTATTGGAGAGAATTGATCATCTGATCACAAAGGTAATTCATCGTGGGGCTCCTTTGTACCTGTTCGTTTTATTAACGTTTGTCGTAGGAGGAAATGATGGCCAATATTGCTCCAAAGGTTAAGAGCAAAGGAAAGGCTAAATGAAGTGGATGCAACTAAATTAGTGTATAATAGACATCGCGATAATACACGCAAAATTACTAGCTCCCTGTTATGCCACATTTCCCCGATGAATTTCACAAACCACCCGCAATCCTGTGAGAAACAAACGGCAGTTATTTGTTTGTAGTGCTACTGCGGGTCAATGGCCATGGTTGGTGAATACCGGCACTCCTATGTACGCAGGAGATTACCGTAACCTATGATCAACCAGCGCCCAGGAGGGCCTAGGATCAGCCTTGCTGTGGGTGGGGCGTGTCTGGATGCTTGGAGAGGGGGAGCCACTAGAGGTCGTTTAGTGACTATACACTAGTGTCTCGGTAAAGATCATGCCATGTCAACCTACAACTTACAAACCCAACCATGCCTTGGAATCAAGCAACCGGTAGACGTTGTATGGTGACAAGATGTGAGAGGGTGAAGGTTATTGAGTTTCATGCTAAAGGCAAAAGCTACCCTCAAATCTTAAACGAAATTGGCATTTCGAAAGATGCTGCTCGAAATATTGTCCAGTACTGGTCTGATACCAGTGAACTCAATCCTCCTCCCCGCCTGGGCAAACAGTCAGCACTCAGCACACACAATATACAACACTTGACACACCTCTCAGATTTACATCCTTGAGCCATACTGGCAGAAATCACTCAATGGGCTGGTTTTAATATCAAACCTTGAACAATCAGAAGATATCTATGTCATGCAAACTGTCTTGTTTTTCTTGCCTGCTACAAGCCATAGCTAGGAAGAGAGAGTAGGAAGCAAAGGAAGAGATAGTGTAGAGAGAGAAGGAGATGGAGAAAGGAGGCTTTTCAAAAGCTTGTCTATACGGATGATGTTTAGCTTCAAGTTAGTGCTGGAACAGGTTGACGACAAATAGTATGAAGAAAGCCAGGACCAAAATTTGCCTACAAGGCAGAGAACATACAGCCTACTTTCATTGGAGAACCAATCTCTGTAGGCTTCTGGGCTGCATTTTTATATGGAAGTCATACTCCATTAGTCCCTCTTGGGAAATGGACTGAAGATGAACGAAAGAGCAAGAAGGATTGTCTAGGCTTCAACTCAAAGCAATATGTTTACGAGATTTTGATTCTACATCTCCCCCCTCCTATGAGAGATATGGAGGTCTTGAGGAAGCAATTGAAACTATTGAGGATGGTGCTAGCTACCATACATCAGACTACACAAGACAATTTTGGTTGCAAAATAGAATTAAGCGGATGGACTGGCCATCCCACTCACCTGACCTCAACCCAATTGAGAATGATTGGGCTCTTTTCAAATGCAGGTATTAGAGGATGGTCTGAGAAAGGCAGAGAATACCTAGAAATGAGAAGGAGCTAATTGACCTAGTGCAGGAGGTCTGGGAGGGGTTACCATGGAGGCATGTTTATACCTATATCAATGGTATGCCTGAGCGAATTTCTTCTTGTCTAAGAAGCAATGGGGGACCAACTAGATGGTAAAATGTAATCTAGGTTGTGATGTATCTTATTTAGTCTTATGGGAATTTAATAATAGGAGTGAAGATTTTTAATGGTAGTGGGAGGGGGGGTATCGGTAGCCGCCAAGACTGGTGTATAGTTACTAAACGACCTCTAGTAGAGCTAGTTCCAAACTATTAATCATAACCTATCGTAATTGAGGAATAATGCATTCAGAAAAGAATTGGCAGTCTTGTATTGGAATAGCACGATCCCCCGACACCAAAATATATAGGGCCGATAAGGAAAATGGCAGTCGATAGGTTTTGGGCCTCTGATGAGGCAGACGGGTAATACACATGCTGCAAACTTCCAACAAACGTAGACTCCCCGGGAGGAAAAGTAGCCGATGGTGCTTCCGGTACTGCAGAACCAGTTAGTTCAAGCCCTCTCGCTAGACTATGTCTGGAGCTGCAAATACTCGAGTATTAACGGGGTTGTGGCTTTATTAGAGCTGTTAAAATGCTACCGTAGGTCAAACGTGGATTAGATGCAGTTGATTGACACCGATCGTGTACTCGAGTACGAGTAGGATACTGCACCACACACAAGCGGGTGGATAGAGTGACAGCTTGTGATTGGATGTCCTGCGCCACAATCGGATGGCCCAGTGCCACAGCGTCATTGGGGTCGCGACGACAACACCAAGCACGACAGCCGACTAGCTTAGGCTCGAGAGATTCTCAGTCCCCTCAAACACCCCGAGATCGCCCATTCTTTACGAAGACATGTCTCACAACTCTGCCACTACCGGTTGGGAGCGAGTTGAGGACAAATACTACCGCACCATCCAGCTCTATTCAGCGCTCTGGGATCCCGACTTTGACCTCTCGGATTATATTGTTGTAGGAGCACCTTACGGTGGAGCACTCGGTAGTCCCCCCCCCTCCCCACACCATCAGCCGTTGCAATGCTAAGCTGACAAATTGCTCTCTGCAGCTCTCTACAAAGATGAGACGAGAATTCAAGCTTACCGAAACTCCCAGCAGTCAAAATCGAGCATAGATATATATAGTGCTGCCGGGAGGCTCATCCGCCGGATATCCGTATAGTAACCCGTTATTTCGCAACCCACTGCCACTTCTAGTGCCGGGCTGGGGGAAATTAATGGAGAGATTGCTGATATATATGTGGGGTTCTAGTGGGATAAAGGCTCCATTAAGGGTCTCGGTTGGTCAGAGGATGAGAAGCTATTGGTAGTAACGGAAGATGGAGTAGTCAGGTGTTATTATGATCTTCAAGGAGATTTCACTCAATTCTCTCTGGGCAATGTAGGCCACTCCGAAGTTATGAAAGGCGGAGCCACTAATATATATTTAGGGCGCCGAGGAAGTCGGCGTCAAGGAATGCCGGTTCTACCCTACCGGCTTTGTCGCACTGCTACGGAACAACCGATTCATCTCTGTTTCCCGCTATGATGAGCCGAGGCCACGCCTCTTAGCAGACCCGGTCCCCTTTATCCCGGCCACAGAGATTATCCACTCATGGACGATTCTCCCGCCATCCTACACACTCTCCCGACATGTCGAAGTGTTTGTCTCCACGGGCACGACTATCTTGATTGTGGACGCCACAGAAGTACTGGACCAAATGCTTCAGAACGGGCCATTTGTTCATATTTCCGTTTCACCGAATGGAAAATACGTGACTTTGTGCAGTGTTGAGGGGAAGGTTTGGGTCATCAGGTCCGACTTTCAGGAGAAGTTGAGCGAGTATGACACCGGAACTGGAGGCGAGGAATTACCACGAGCAGTGGAGTGGTGTGGGAACGATTCGGTGGTGTTAGCTTGGGATGAAGAAGTTCATATGATCGGACCCAGAGGCTCGGTGCTGAAGCATTACTACGACAACTTTGTGCACCTGGCGCCTGAGATCGACGGTATTCGCATAATAACTACGGAGAAGTGTGAATTTCTGCAAAAAGTTCCCGGTAATTCACCAGTTCGTGTTGGCGCTCAAATGCTTTGATCTAAATTAGTGATGGCAACAGATGGCACGGAAGATATCTTCAAAATTGGAGCCACGGCACCCGCTTCAATCCTCCTTGACGCCGTCGATCAGTTGGAGAGAAAGTCACCGAAAGCTGATGACAACATCCAACTCATCCGTGCACAGCTCCCTGAGGCAGTGGATGCCTGCATCAAAGCCGCGGGTCATGAGTTCTCTGCCCACTGGCAAAAGCAGTTGCTTAAGGCTGCTAGCTTTGGAAAGAGTGTACTGGAACTCTATAGCTCAGACGAGTTTGTAGAAATGTGTGAAACGCTCAGGGTACTTAACGCTGTGAGGTTTTATGAAGTCGGGTTGACCATAACATATGATCAGTATGAAATCCTAGGCGGTGGTCATGACGGGCCTGGCTGACTCGGGTAGATTTATACAACTTACACCAGAAAAATTAATACAAAGATTAGTCAATAGACAGCAGCACTTGCTGGCATTGAGGGTCTCAGAGTATCTGCGGTTACCGACCGACCGGATATACATCCATTGGGCTTGCATGAAAGTTCGAATGTCAGCAGATGATGAGGATGCCATTTGCCGCATGGTAGTGGCGAAACTCACTGGAAAACGTGGCATATCCTTTGAAGAGATTGCAAGAACCGCGTACGATGAAGGCAGAGGAAGGCTTGCGACCCAGGTATGAGCCTACTTCAGTTATGTAACACACATTCTAACTATATAAAAGCTATTAAACTATGAACCACGGGCCGGTAGACAGGTTCCTCTCCTGCTCAACATGGAGGAAGATGAAATTGCTCTTGACAAGGCAATCGAAAGCGGGGACACCGATCTTGGTAAATATTATCACTACTTTGTGTTTCTCTAGGTCTGACGGGAATAGTCTTTTTTGTCCTTCTTCACCTAAAGAAAAAGTTACCATTAGCGAACTTCTTCCGGATGATCAACAACCGGCCTGTTGCATCATCGCTGATTGAGTCTTCAGCCAGGGAAACGGATCCAGAGCTCTTGAAGGACTTTTACTATCAAGATGATCGCAGGGCCGATGGTGCACATGTTATCCTCCGAGATAGCCTGGCGCAGAAGGACTTATCTCTAAAGATGGAAAAGCTGAAACTCGCCTCAAAACTACTAGCAGATGCGAAAGAACATGCTCTCGAAGCAAAGGCACTTGATGAATCAGCAAAACTCTTACACATGCAAGAGATCTTTGAGAAGGACTTGCAGCAGGAGAGATTTGTCGGCGACTCCATTAATGAGACCATATTCAAACTTATCCGCATGGGATATTCTTCTCGGGCGAACAAAGTGAAATCGGAATTCAAAGTGCCAGAGAAACGGTTCTGGTGGCTCAAATTGCGGGCCTTGGTTGCGAAGAGGGATTGGGGAGAAATTGAGGAGTGGGGCAAAACGAAAAAGAGCCCGATTGGGTGGGAGGTATTGACTCTGCTTCTGGTTTATTTCGTTTCCTTCGTTTCCTTTTTCCAGGAGCACCTTACTTACATCACTCTAGGCGTTTTTCAATGAGTGCCTGGCTGCAGGCAACACCAAGGCGGCATCTATCTTCATACCCAAGTGCACCAACCTACCTCCTGCGGATAGGATGGATATGTGGGTTCGCTGCGGTAATATGGTTAAGGCGGGCGAGGAAGCCTTTAGGGCTAAGGATGCTAATGCACTGGAGCTGTTGAGGTCAAAGGCGGCCGGTGCGGCGGCCTTGGAGATTGATAGGCTCTTGAAGCAGCTCCGTCCGAAATGATAACGGGGTGCTTTGTGGGCGGCGACCGGGCGGGTAGCTGGCTCAATGGCTGATATCATCACACACGTGAATTTCCTTCTTTCCTCTCTTTTACAATTAATGATTATTGCTTGCTAGAAACACACTATACGAGTCCACTCTCGTAGCACACCCAACATCCATGGAACCCTGTAGATTTCACCAAGGCGTAAAGCTACCTATGCATCGCACCCTGGGTTCTAGCAACCACCGGATATAGCATTTCCCCAATCAGACCTATTACAAAGGCCGGTGAAAAATAATCACCGAGCAAAGACCAAAGAATCTCCCCTTCCCCTTCCCCCCCTTCTCCCACCTCAAGTTCTCCGCCCATCACTGGTTGGAAGCTCCGCCTCCACCACCCCGACCTCTCCCTCTGCCTCTACCACCTCTATTCCCTCCGCGGTGATCCCCTCGGTAACCTCCCCTCCCACGATCATTCCCCCCACGCCCGCCATGACCATCTCTGTTCTGCTGTGTCTGCGTCTCCTTCACGAGGTCGATAATTTCGTCGGGGACTCTGAGGTATTTGATCTATGATCCACAACATTAGTCCCCAACGAACAAACCAACCATTCCTCCGCCATTCCAGATCAACGCACGTTATTCCCCCGAACATAACACTCCGCCAGCCTGAAAAACTTGTCACCCTCCTACAACCACGTGCATCCCCAATTAGCCTCAGCCCACTTGTAGTAGGAATGCGGAAGATCAGGGAAGAGTGGGGAACAAACAGGACTAGTCTGCACAACCTCCTTCAAAGTCAAGTTCATCCAAGTGTCGCAGTTGACCAGGTGCCCGTTGAGGGTTTCGCCGTTTTTCAGCTCCACGAGCATTGGGTGGCCTTGGGCTGTATTCAGGAGGGATAAGGGTAGCTAGTGCGGACATTCTGTCAGCGATCGGTCAGCCGGTGTTGGCCCGGGGCGGGGCGGGGGGAGCGGGTACCATCTCGTTTGCTACTATTGATGGTGGAGTGAGGAGATGGGTAAGGTGACAAGGGATGAATAGTGGATAATCCGCGTGATGAATGGGAATGTGATGGTGAACAGTGATGTTGTGTTGCGTTATTTCGAGGGTGAAGGATGAAGGTCGGTTGGAGAGATTACGCTAGGCTGTATTTGGATTAGTGCGGGGTGACGGATTCTTTGAGCCTCATGGGTGCTGGCAGCTGGCAGTTGGCCTCGAAGTTGAAAGGCCTCTCCCACACTTCTCCCTCCAACCCTTCGTTAGTGACACTGCCGATACTCGAGTACTAGACTACCGTAAATTACCGGTAACATTCTCGACCGCGGCAGCCTACCGGTAGCGTACCGGTATGATGGACTAACTTGCAATCTTTGGAACCTCCATTTATTACGGTATTTTGTTTTGTATTGCTTTTCTTTTTCATTCAAAAAAAAAAAAAAAAAAAGAAAAGAAAGAAAGAAAAAAGAAAAGGATCCATGTACGAGTATGGAGAGGGGGGGTTAAGCAGTCACTTTACGTCTTGGATAGCTCAAACAAAAAGCAAACTACCGTACTGTACTCGAGTACAGGTACCGGTACAGCACAGGTATCGTAACCGGAGTATGGGCATTGGCTCTATTCCGGGATGAGTGGGGTTTTTTTTTCCCTTCCGTCCGCAGATTGCCTGTTCCTGCACTCGGGCAAACTTCTCACTCGTCCGTGGGGAATATTCTTCTCAATTTTAATAATGGCCTCCTTTCCAATATCCGCGATTAAATGGGAGAAAAGGGAAAAAGGGAACTGTTACCGATATTATCATAAACCCGAGAATCGTGCGCACGCTGGTTGCGTTTTTTATGATACGCCAAAAACTATGTCTCTCGTAGGCTTACGACACAACCTGGGGCCGTTCGTCTACAGCTATTTTCCCTCTGTAGAGCATTGGGCTATTATTACTGTGACGAGCATATCAAGATTTGGGGGGCACTTCCGGGGCCTGTGTGAACTTCTGGAATGGCAGATTGGAAATTTTCGAAAGATCATATCCATCATAATAATATCATACCTTTTAAGCAGTTATACGAATCCCAGGCGCTCAATGCTGAACCCCCAAGCCCTTCTGCACAAGTGATTCCATAACAGGGGATTCCTAGGCCTGTCAATGGTGTGGGTTGCAGAGCTTTAATCCCTATATTATCAGCTTCTCTACTTGAACGTGCTGGAGCACAATTTGGCGGGAACTCATGAGGGGTTAATAGGGTGAACTCGGGTCACCCATGCCCTCTTGCTCTTTTATTTTTTTTCCGCTATTTTGTAGTTTTTCTGTACAGTACTGTACTGCCGGGAGGTCCGATGAGTGGCCGACGAGTTGTGTCAGGGGACTGTCATACCTACTCGAGTGCTGTGCCAGCACGAGTGCAGTACTGTACATAGAGTCTCCTCACGCAACTATCAGATCGGATCATGATGTTGCGAGTTCAATCGCTTTCAGCTTCACTTTTACCAACGCGATTGAGCCCCATGCAGCATCTGAGCTAAGATCCACCTCGCCATCCTTGTCCCAAGTGTGAATCCGGGCCGTGGCCGAATGCCTTTTTCTTTCCTTTTCTTTTCTTTCGTACGTTTCCCTCTGCCATGCGTGTGGTCAAAGATGCCGTACCGCGGTGTTTCCACTGGTGAGGGGTTCGATCGATCCTCACATTGTAGTGGGACGACGCTGGCACAGTCAGAACAAGCAGGTTAGAAGATCGTTACACCGCGCACGCGAGTGAGGGAAAGCTATGCTGGGGCGATCGGGGTCGGGATCTACTGTGTTCTACGGTATCATACCCCTACGGCACCAGCATCGGGCAACATTCCTACCAGCGGGGGTTGGTGGTAAGTGGGTCTTTTAAGGAAAATATTTTCCGACCCTTCTCTTTGTGTCCGAATCAGCACTGCTCAAGCGACGGGCGGTGGGAGAGGGGGTGATGGAAAACGACTAAGGCTGGTACCGGTATCCAGCACGAAGAAATTCTCGTGAGTATGTAATCGGGGCATTGGGAATTGATTTCCCCCCTCGAGACCCTTACTACAATTCTAACTACTGCACGTCTATTAGCCTCCGTGTGGAAGGTATTCACTCGAGTGCTTCCAGGCAGGTCTGATGAAGCGTCCATGAGGTGGCTTAGGATTCACGTAAGAAATGATATTCTCGGAGGGAATTGGTGAGGGGATGCAGACATTTCCGATGGTGGTGGGGGCGGCAGTTCCCCGATAAATGTCCGCCATGATCTTTGGTAGGAAGCAGAAGAAAAAAAAAAGGGCCCCCAATCTTTTGAATTATTCCCCGTATGGCGTGGTGCTCGTACAGTAATAATACGGTACGGTAATAAGCTCTCGAGATGCAGCTTCTGATGTATCGCCTCTGCTTCTATGATACCAGCCCTACCAGATCCAGTTACCCTCGCTTGAACTTTTTTTTTTTTTCTTTCTTCCCTTCTCGTCCTGTCATCGAATTTTTGACCAATTTTTTCTTCCCCACGTTCATCCCATTCTAGCGGTATGTAAGGGTTTGCGTGTCGTCTCTCTAGTAGTTTATATTCAATGCCGAATCCTCCTTCCTCTTGCTCCTTCTTCTCCTTTCCTCCCCCTTTTTTTAAATCTCTCTTTTGTCTAGGGTTTGGTCTATTCCCTTCTCTGCTCTCCTGATCTTTTTTTTTTTCCATCATATTGTCATAATATCACGATTCCGATATCTAGCGTCCTTCCCCACCTTCCTACAAAGCTCATCTAAACAGGCCCCTCCATTGGAGCTCTCTCTCCTTCCCCCCTCTATCCCGGCTGCCACTACCCCACCATCACATACCTCCTCTTTCCTAAAGGAAAAATATTGTCTCGGGGGTGGGGTTTATTTCATTCTATTTTATTTTAGAAAAGGAAAAAAAGAGACTCAGACCGGACGAGCTCGTACCTGCCTCTCCCCCTCTCCCTTCAGAAGTAAAACAACGACGAAAACAGGTTGGCAATGACAGGATCTGAAGATGGCCAGGCCAGGACTGCGGTTGCGCCTTTCCCACCGGTAGCCGCCCAGTTTGTTGGACGAGATGGCGAAATGTTAGGGCATGAGCGTCTCATGACCCTAGAATTGGAGGACGGGAGTGCCTACCAAGGGTATTCTTTCGGGGCCGAGAAGAGTATTTCCGGGGAATTAGTCTTCCAGACTGGTATCTATCTTGCCCCTTTTTTGAAATCGAGGTTTCCACGACTATGGGATCTAACTTGGACCATCTCAGGTATGGTGGGATACCCGGAGTCTGTAACGGACCCTTCGTATCGTGGACAGATATTGGTTATAACATTCCCCCTGGTAGGAAACTACGGTATGCCATGGATTCCCTCCGCAAGCGGCTCACGGCACTTGGTTGATAATAATTGCTAGGTGTTCCGGATAGGAAGGCACAAGATGAGTTGCTCGGCTCTCTTCCGTCGTACTTCGAGTCGAGGCAAGTTCACATTGCGGGATTGATCGCGGCTTCGTATTCAGGAGAAGACTACAGCCATTACCTAGCGAAGAGCTCTCTGGGAACATGGTTCAAGGAACAGGGAGTCCCGGCCATCTATGGTGTCGACACTCGGGCGCTCACCAAGAAGATTCGGACGCAGGGGAGCATGCTTGGAAAGCTGTTGCTGCAGAAGACCGGCAGCGTTGGGAAGATGTTGTCGAACGGTCTTGGCTCCTTAATTGGCGCCAAGCCCCCCATAGACCACGACTGGAGGCAGAATTTTGAATCCCAGGAATGGGTAGACCCTAATGCCAAAAATCTTGTGGCTGAAGGCTAGTGACTGATCCTTCGAGCTCCTGAGCAATTGCTGTCTAACCCGAGTTGAGCAGTGTCCATCCGGAAGCCCCAAATCTTTTCACCTCCTGCGGATAGGGCTCTCAAGAGGCCGGACGGGAAGCCAATTCGGATTGTATGTGTCGATGTTGGTATGAAATTCAATCAGCTCAGGTGCCTCCTCTCCCGTGGTATCGAGGTAGAGGTTGTGCCATGGGACTACGATTTTCTAAAGGAGGAGGGAAACTATGACGGTCTATTCATCAGTAACGGGCCTGGCGACCCGGCCACCCTAAAGACTACCGTAGACAGACTTCGAACGGCAATTGAAACTATCAAGACCCCCATCTTCGGTATCTGTCTAGGACACCAACTTCTCGCCCGAGCAGCCGGCGCAGAGACTACTAAGATGAAATTTGGTAACCGTGGGCACAACATCCCGTGCACCAACTTACGCTCTGGGCGATGCTACATCACCTCCCAGAATCACGGCTTCGCGGTAAACGCTAAGAGTCTGAAGGATGGATGGCAGGAACTATTTGTTAATGCCAACGATGGCTCGAACGAGGGTATATGGCATACACAGAAACCGCTTTTCAGTGTTCAGTTCCACCCCGAGAGCACACCCGGACCCAAGGATACCGAATGGCTTTTTGATGTCTTCATAAGTGCTATTCAGAAGACACAGGGCCCTAACGGGAAAGCTGCGCTGAGCCGGCCAGTTGAGATTCCCGGTGGGCTCATTGAGGATAACGAGAACGCAAACCCGAAGGCCAAGGTCAAGAAGGTGTTGGTATTGGGAAGTGGAGGTCTCAGTATCGGACAAGCTGGAGAGTTTGATTACTCTGGGAGTCAGGCGAGTACACTATTTTCGATGGCCGTCTGATAGGGGCTAATAGAACTGCGTTGTTTAGGCTATCAAAGCGCTTAAGGAGGAGGGCATCTACACTATCCTTATTAATCCTAATATCGCAACGATCCAAACATCGAAGGGTTTGGCAGACAAGGTGTATTTTTTGCCCGTGACTGCTGAGTTCGTCCGAAAGGTCATCCAGTATGAGCGCCCGGACTCCATCTATGTCACTTTCGGCGGCCAAACAGCTCTTCAAGTTGGTATTCAGCTGAAGGATGAGTTTGAAGGATTAGGTGTGAAGGTTTTGGGTACACCTATCGAGACCATCATCACGACCGAGGACCGAGAGCTTTTTGCCCGAGCAATGGAAGAAATTGGAGAAAAGTGTGCTAAGTCTGCCTCTGCATCCTCCGTCGAGGAGGCTATGACTGTGGTGAAGGATATTGGGTTCCCTGTCATTGTCCGTGCTGCCTATGCCCTTGGTGGGCTAGGTAGTGGTTTTGCCTACAATGAGGATCAGCTCCGGGATCTGTGCAATAAGGCCTTTGCTGCCAGTCCGCAGGTTTTGATTGAGAAGAGTATGAAGGGGTGGAAGGAGATTGAGTATGAGGTTGTCAGAGATTGCCGTGACAATTGTATTACCGTGTGTAATATGGAGGTGGAGTATCCCCTGCTTGAGGTGTGGTTTTACAAAGTTGGAAGTGATTGCTCATACTGCACTGTAGAACTTCGATCCCCTTGGCATCCATACTGGTGACTCGATTGTCGTTGCCCCCTCTCAGACTCTTTCTGATGAGGATTATAACATGCTTAGAACGACGGCGGTAAACGTCATTCGTCACCTGGGAGTTGTCGGAGAATGCAATATTCAATACGCCTTGAATCCATTCTCGAAGGAATATTGCATTATCGAAGTAAATGCTCGTCTATCTAGATCCTCGGCATTGGCATCGAAGGCCACTGGTTACCCCCTCGCATTCATTGCGGCAAAGTTGGGTCTTGGGATTCCTTTGAATGAAATCTCAAACTCTGTCACAAAGGTCACTTGTGCTTGCTTCGAGCCTTCCCTTGATTATGTGGTGGTAAAGATCCCTCGTTGGGACTTGAAGAAGTTCACTCGTGTATCCACCCTTCTTAGCTCCTCCATGAAGAGTGTCGGGGAAGTTATGAGTATTGGTCGAACGTTCGAGGAGGCGATCCAGAAAGCAATCCGCGCCATTGACTACCACAATCTTGGTTTCAATCAAACAAAAGCGTTGATGAGTATCGATCAGGAGTTGCAGACCCCTTCTGATCAGAGATTGTTTGCGATTGCCAACGCTATGCACTCTGGGTATACCGTCGAGAGGATCTGGGAGCTCACCCAGATTGACAAGTGGTTCTTAAATAAGCTCATGGGGCTTACCAATTTCGGGAGATTGATGTGCAAGTACAACGCTTCTAGCATTCCTACCCCCCTCTTTAGGCAGGCGAAGCAGTTGGGATTCTCTGATAGGCAATTGGCAGAGTTTTGGGGTTCCAATGAGGTTTCTGTGAGGAGATTAAGGGTTGAGGAGGGGATTATGCCCACTGTAAAGCAGATTGATACTGGTAGGTTACTTGGGAAATCCTCCGCAAGGAGTTACACTAATTTGATTTAGTTGCGGCCGAATTTCCTGCCTTCACTAACTACCTTTACCTCACCTACAACGGTGTTGAGCATGATGTGGAATTCGAGGATAAGGGTGTCATGGTCCTTGGGTCCGGCGTTTATAGAATTGGATCTTCCGTTGAGTTCGATTGGTGCGCAGTCCGTGCGGTTAGGACTCTCCGTGAGAAGGGGGTCAAGACCATCATGGTCAACTACAACCCGGAGACTGTTAGCACCGATTATGATGAAGCCGACAAACTCTTCTTCGAAAACATTAACCTGGAGACAATTCTCGACATTTACCAGCTTGAACAATCCAGCGGTGTAATCATCGCTATGGGTGGCCAGACACCAAACAACATTGCTCTCCCTCTTCACCGCCTAAACGTCAAGATCCTGGGAACATCACCGGAAATGATCGACAGTGCGGAAAACCGATATAAATTTTCCCGTCTGCTTGATAGAATCGAGGTCGATCAGCCAGCATGGAAGGAGCTGACAAGCATTGAAGAAGCTGAAGAGTTTTGCGACAAAGTCACTTATCCTGTCTTGGTCCGTCCCTCATACGTCCTTTCGGGTGCCGCCATGAACACTGTCTACTCCAAGGATGACCTTGCCTCGTACCTCAGACAAGCAGCCGACGTTTCTCGAGAGCATCCTGTTGTCATCACTAAATATATCGAGAATGCAAAGGAGATCGAGATGGATGCAGTAGCTAAGGATGGCAAAATGCTGATGCACTTTATCTCTGAGCACGTCGAGAATGCTGGTGTCCATTCTGGCGACGCTACTCTCATCATTCCCCCTCAAGATTTGGATCCCGAGACTGTACGCAGAATCGAAGAGGCTACTGGGAAGATCGGAAATGCCCTCAACGTTACTGGTCCGTTTAACATTCAATTCATCGCTAAGGATAACGAGATTAAGGTGATTGAGTGCAATGTCCGAGCTTCCCGGTCGTTCCCATTCGTATCGAAGGTTATGGGTGTCGATCTTATCGAGATGGCTACAAAAGCAATCTTGGGCTTCCCGGTTGATGCTTATCCTAAAATAGATATCCCAAAGGACTATGTTGGAATTAAGGTTCCCCACTTCAGTTTCTCTCGCCTGTCTGGAGCTGATCCTGTTCTTGGTGTTGAGATGGCGTCTACCGGAGAGGTTGCTTGCTTTGGCCGCGACAAATCTGAGGCCTATATCAAGGCACTTATGTCCACTGGTTTCCGCCTCCCTAAGAAGAACATATTGCTATCCATTGGTTCTTTCAAGGAGAAGATGGAGATGCTCCCTTCAGTGAAGAAGCTTTACCAGCTGGGCTACAAACTCTTCGCAACAGCTGGTACTGCGGATTTCATCCAAGAGCACGGGATACCCGTACAATACCTTGAGGTTTTGGGCGAGCAAGATGAGACCAACGGGCAGAAAACTGAGTACTCTCTCACTCAGCATTTAGCAAACAATCTTATCGACCTTTACATCAATCTACCTTCCAATAACCGATTCCGCAGGCCCGCTTCTTACATATCTCGAGGCTATCAGACCAGACGTATGGCCGTTGACTACCATACCCCATTGGTCACCAACGTTAAGAACGCGAAACTCTTGATTGAAGCACTTTCACGCAATCACAAGTTGAAAATCGATGGCCTTGATTACCAGACAAGTCACCGCACCGTCACTCTTCCGGGCCTTATCAACATTGCCGCTTTCGTCCCTGGCTTAGCTAAGGAGGGGAGCAAGGACTTCGAACTGGTCACTCATGAATCCGTTGCCTCCGGTTTCTCCATGATCCGCGTTCTTCCATTGGGCATCGAGGACAGTCTCACAGATGCTAAGGCTCTTGAGGCGGCATTAGCTAACAGTAAATTGGCACACTGTGACTTCAACTATTCTGTAGCAGCAACTTCCACCAATTCACAACAATTGAATCCTCTCACCTCTCGGGTGGGATCGCTCTTCATACCCTTCAACCACCTCTCTGGCAACATCAATAAGGTTGCTACGGTGACATCTCACTTTGCGGTATGGCCAGCGCTTAAACCTATCATGACTGACGCAAAAACTACGGATCTGGCTTCGATACTCCTGCTTGCAAGTCTACACAATCGTAACGTACATGTCACCAGCGTCACAACTAAGGACGATATCAAGTTGATCGCGTTGAGCAAGGAGAAGGGACTAAAGGTCACTTGCGATGTTGCTGTTTACGCACTATTCCTATCTCAGAATGACTATCCTACCTGCCCCGCTCTCCCAACCACCGAAGACCAAAAGGCTCTCTGGGACAACCTTGCCATTATCGACTGTTTCTCTGTCGGTAGTTTGCCTTTCCAGCTTGCTCATGACATGAGACAGGATGGCAGCGTAGCCTTCGGTATCGCAGACACACTTCCACTTCTGATCACCGCTGTTTGTAACGGGCGATTGACAATCGATGATCTTAAGATCAGACTGCACGATAACCCCAAGACTATCTTCGACCTTCACGACCAGCCAACCTGCTCCGTCGAGATTGAGATGGATAGATCTTATAAGGTACAACTAGGCCATGTCTGGTCTCCCCTTGTTGGCCGCACACTTAAGGGGACCGTGCAGAGGGTCACTTTTAAGGGCAAGACTGTCGCCTTGGATGGACATATTAGCAGCGATGGGTCCTACGGTACTGCCGCCTCCGTTGCCAACCCCGCTGCCACAACTTCCGTAAAATCCCCCCAATTGCGACCTGAGAGTTCGCATGGCCGCCAGAACCTTTTGAGTCCAAGACTGGTTGGCCGTACTCTGTCATCAGCCCTGGATTCCCTACCTGCTCTCCAAACCCCATCAAGCCCTCTCGCCAACCATTCTGAGACACCGTCCCACCTTCAGCTATCCTCACCAATGATCTCAGCATCGCTTTCGGAGCTGCTTTCTCGAGATTCCATGTTCAAGCGTCGCCACATCTTATCAGTCAATCAGTTTAGCCGCGCAGACTTGCATCACCTCTTCACGGTTGCGCAAGAGATGAGACTCGCGGTGGAGAGATGGGGTGTGATTGACCTTCTCCGGGGAAGACTGCTATGCACAATGTTCTTCGAGCCGTCTACCAGGACCTCAGCATCGTTCGATGCAGCTATGCAGCGGCTGGGTGGAAGGACCGTGGCTATCTCCGCTGCTCACTCGAGTTTGAAGAAGGGAGAAACTCTCAAGGACACAATACGAACTTTGGCTTGCTATGGGGACGCCGTTGTCCTGAGACATCCCGCGGAAGACAGTGCTGCTGAGGCGGCGAGATTCTCGCCAGTCCCCATCATCAACGGAGGTATCTTTCCGCTGATCGCTTGGATCGTTTGAACGACACTAACAACTAAATAGGAAATGGAAGTCTCGAACACCCGACTCAAGCATTCCTCGATTTGTTCACTATCCGTGAGGAGCTGGGAACTGTCAATGGGCTGACCATCACCTTTGTTGGCGATCTCAAATTCGGCCGCACGGTTCACTCTCTCGCCAAGCTATTGCAGCACTATCATGTTCGCATCAACTTTGCCTCCCCCTCACAACTCTCAATGCCAACCGCCGTCCGTGATTCTCTCAAGAAGGCTGGAATGGAGGTGAAAGAGTACCACGAACTCACACCGGACCTTGTTGCCAGCTCAGACGTACTTTATTGTACTCGCGTCCAAAAGGAGAGATTCGTGGATTTGAACGAGTTTGAAAAGTTGAAGGATAGCTTCATTGTCGACCACTCGGTTCTGAAGAATGCGAAGAGTCACATGGTTGTCATGCACCCATTGCCTAGGAACGCCGAGATTGGTGAGGAGGTGGACTATGACCAGAGGGCAGCGTACTTTAGACAGGTGCGGATAGCTCACTCTCCCCAATTCCAGTTGGATGGTGCTAATGGGGCGCTAGATGAGATATGGACTTTACTGCAGGATGGCTTTGCTAGCTTTGGTTCTCACTTGATTGCTCTCGGGTTATTGTTTATGAATTTCGACGCTGGTTATTCGACGAGGTCTCTAAAAAGTTTTTTTTTTCCTTCTTCACATTTTTCCTCATTACGGTTAGGCGTTTGTAAGATAATATCATACCTTATCAATAGCTATGCGTTTGGGGGAGAGCATTTCTCTTGCTCTTCTGGACATCACCCGAATACTGGTAGATAGAATCCTGAAAAAGGCGATACCACAGATCGACAAAGTACTCAAAGAAGCTTCACACAACCGTTGTAAAGGCTCCCAGAATAATACTTACACAGAACAAAAAGAGCAACAAAAAAGCAGTCTCAAAGCAAATCGTCGACTTGGAAACCGGAAAGAATGCCCAACTCCAAGACACCATTTATTGCAGTCCCCCAGCAGTCCACATGATCCGTAGTACGGCCCGGGTGACGGCTCAGAGACCAATCTAGACTAAACACCACCACCTATGGTACCCATAGTCAGCCCAGCCCATCACGGCGTAGGGGAATCACCTCCGGGGAAGGGAACAAACCGGACCGCTCACATCCCCCAAGCGCAAACCCACCCTCACTGTTCGCGCGGTCCTTCTCCTCTACCCGCGGCTTTGCTTTCATGTTTGCCGCGAGCAAGCCTGCGCCGGCTAAGGCCAGAAACGTTACCAGAGTGTTTTTAGTCCTAGAAGAGAGGCGGAAAGGCGGGAGTTAGTCCGACTCGAGAACTTGTAGGGCGAAAGAGCGGGGAAGTGGAGAGTGCAGAAGGGAGAGCAAACGTGAACAATCTGACGGGCATAATTATCTTCGCTATTACGGTATTATAGTACGAGTACTCGAGTACAGTATGATAGACGCGGTAAGGTAGTATGATATAAATCCGACAGCAGCGTATAATACGTACTGGTACAGTACCGTACTGTACAGTACCGCTATGATACCGCCAAGTTACAGTACCGAGAGGAAAGAATGGAGAGGTTATCTACCAGAAAAGAAATAAAGTTCCAGTGGCGTCTTTATACGAGTACTCGTACGGTCCTCCTGTACGCGTACAGTGCTGTATCCTTCCCCCCCACAACCTCGGAAATTCACACGGTAGTGTACTCGTACAGTGCCGGTATGATACCGTATCGTTACCGTTCGCACTCGCACACCACACGCGACACATTGTCCGAATCGGGTCTGGTCTGGCTCTAGACCGCGGGATGCATGCTGCTGTATCATGATCGGCTGGCTGGCTGGCTGATTGGTTGGTTGGCTTGTGACACTCGTGATAAGTGATTGGAGAAGAGGGAGGGGGACGAGAAAACGTTACCCGGCGCTTTCCGTGCTTTATCAGTGGGAGGATCCTGGGGGGTGGATATACCGGTAGTGTTGTACGTACGAGTACCGGTACTTGCACATACTTGTACACAATCACCACAGCTAGGACGGATGGATGGAAGATTGGCCCACGGAATCACCCTTCCTCCTTTCCTTCTTGTGAGGCCGGCGGGGTTGTTCCACTGCTGCAATACCGGTACCAGTAACTTTTGCTTCGGTTTTCTTCGTAACTCAGGGAGAGAGAAGGGGCAGGCCGTATTGACATTCAGAGTACCGGTATGGCGCCTGCGCGGGTACCAGTACTTCGTACGATACAAAGCCTGCTCAAACCCTGTACCGTGATCTGCTCTCGGAGTCTAGTGCTGTACGAGTACCCCCCTTGCCGAACGTTGCGCACATCATTGATCCCGATCCTCCCTCCTTCTGCACCCCACTATCGGTGACTAGCGCACCGTTAATCAATCCCAGGCAATCATCACCTCGCCAGCTCCTACATTTCCCGCTAGAGCCACCGTCATGCCGTACCGGTATCTCACCTTTCAGCGAATCGAGTCAGAGCAAGTGTGTGTACCGGTACCGGTAGTACGAGCAGCGGCGTATGGACTGACTTGCTTAGGAAGAGAGGAGAGGGGGGGGGTGTCGAGCCGAGAAATCCCTTTATAAACCCAACCGGGTACTGAACGAGGAAAGGACAGGCATCGGCATCGATGAAGAAATCTGCTGTGGCGGCGGCTCGTGAATGGCACCGGCAAAGGCGAAGGGTGAACCAAACCCTGAGGGCGATCATTTCCCCCCCAATCCATGATAGCGCTGTCTGTCCACGATAGTGCTCACGTCCTGATTACACTCACAATGCATCAACGCTCGCGAAAGAAACCAAACATAGGAATGATATCACAAATAATTAATGATACAAACAGACCCCATCAAGGCAACGCTAAGAAGATTGAAACAATCAGGCGAGGCATAAAAAACCTTCTCTCCCTCCAGTAGAGAAAAAACCAAAAAGGAACTTGAACTCAATCCCTTTACTTTTCCCCTTTTTAACCAATCCGCCCCGTCCCATTCTTCGACCGTTCATCATCACTAGAAAATCATGCTTGGACAATTCCCTAGGTATTTTTTGTATCCGAAAGCTGCTCCGCCTAGGAACAACACAAGAAGAAAAGAAAGAAAGAAAGAAAAGAAAAGCAGATAGCTAAAAGGAAATAATTATAAGCCACCAAAGGCCTCTATCCACTCGTGTCTAAAACCCTCCAAACCCAGTAGCCTGCGGCGCAATCCCATTGGCGTACGGCTGTTGTGGCATGGGACCACCCGGTCCGGCGGTGAGCATAAGACGGTTTCCCAGAATCGGGGTAGTGTCTTCGACCTTTTGCTGGGTAGCCTCCTTGATCTTACGCTCCTCATTGTCCTTCTCGAGAGCAGAAATCTTCTTGGTTTGCTGTCTCATGGCATTGATCATGAAAGGCTGTTCTAGTCAGCACATTTCACGAGAAGATCAAGTTTTCGAATACAACTCACCATTGTATAGTCACTCAGACCATGACGCCACGAGATCTCCATGACAACATCAAGCTGGATAAGGTCATAGCAGGCATAAAGCATACCAACATAGCATTCCCGGCTACCAATATCGACAAACTGGAAACGTCAATCAGTGGGAAGACCCCAAAGATAGAATATTTTGTACTCACGTAACGAAGCAACTCTTCTGCCACATCTTCCTTTCCGGACACAGCAGCAGTCTCAATAGCATCCTTGAAGAGCCTGTCCTGCTTTGATAGGGCAATAGATTGGTTCCAGCGCTTCTGTTTACGGTAGATATTTGCAGCAATCTGTCTAAAGAAGACAAGTCTACTAAAATGTCAGAAACTATCACCAAACAAAAGAATCATAGAAGCTCACTCGTGTTGCTCAAGGCGCTGAGCAAGTTCAATCGGGTCATAGTTGTCATAATTCTCGACCGAATCACGGAGTGTCTTGTAATCTTCCTCCTCGATCAACAAATCGTTAATAGCGTCGTTAACAATCTTGTTATTTTGAGACTGAACGTTGAGCAAAAACGGCTTGATAAGAGGAATATTGTCCGACTTCCCAAACATTCGCACAACACTGGAAAAGGTGAGCTCAATGTTACCGATAGCGGAAGGGAGTTGCCCTACCGAGAGACATCAATGCGAGGTGTGAGAACAGCCAGCAAATCAGTAAGCAGTGATGGTTGCTCCTGTAGGTAAAAGTTCAAGGCGCGGTAATAAATTTCTAGGTTGGCGACCTTGACGACAATATCCTTGAATGACTGGTGCTCCCACGAATCTGCTGCTCTCTCCATCATTGCCAAAGCAGCGTTATCCCACTCGTCATAGCTAAAAAAGAGAGTGCATTAGTTATGTTCCGCATAGAGAAAGTCGCAGTACGTACTGGCAATACAAAAAGATGAGCTCGGGCCAAAGATGAGCTTGCTCGCAGGCACGAATCATTTTCGGAATGTTGATGCGACCCCAGAACAGCTTAAGATGTTCCATTACACGATCGGGATGGTATTTTGAAAGGGCAATACCCAACTCAGTGAACATACCCTACGGTTAAATTAGCCAAATTATGCCTTCATGTCTCGATAAGATTGTCCAAAACCCACCATATGGGCTCTTTCCAAACCCAATCCAGCCTCGAGTAGGCTGATCAACTCGTCAAAGTATCCGTTACGCTCGTATTGCTTGACAAGATCTTGCAGCTCCTCTGCGTGAACGATCAGGTTGAGACCGCAAATCTGTGCAAGGCGAAATTCCTTCTTGGAAACACAAGCCTCGTTGACTTGCTTCCATACTTTTGTGCTATTGGCTTTACGGGCGCACTCGACAGCATTTTGGTACTCTTCCAAAAATACGAGAGTAGTCTAAGATCCATTAGCAACGGGGCTCACTAATTTGGGGGAATATAAACTTACAGCCAATTTGGCCCAGTTGGAAATGCTTGAGAAGAAGACTTTGGCGGCCTGGTGAAGCCCCTCTTCGTATGACTTGTCACCGCACTCCTCGATATTGGCAACGTTGGAGCTATTTAGGAACTCCTCCAGTTCAGGTAATTTATGAACCCTAGCGTAACACAGAACCAAGCTACTGTCAACTGCCGGTTCTCTCAAGGTCTGTCTGCACATCTGAAGATATTTGATGAGATCCTCAAACTTTCCAGCGTGAGTAGCCATCTCAATAACCTCCGCATGGTTGTTGGGATCCTTGGCGCGGATATACGATGCGATGGAATCGGTAATACGAAGGCCATCCAACTGAGCTTTACCGAGACGGCTCCATACCTCGGGCAAGTCAACACGATCAGCATAGCCAAAGGCGCGCTCAATGCTAACTATGTTTTCAATGAGAACATTGATAGCGTCACTATGTGCATTGATCTTCTTGTAGACCTCAAATGCCTCCTCGTTGAGCCCATTCTGGATGGCAATATGAGCTACATCGGGGCCGTCGTAGTTTGTGAGACGGTGAATGTAGTCCATTACGCGGGCCTTATCCGCTTTAACTGCCGTGAGGATAAGCAGATTCTGCAGGCTGCTGTTATCGCTGAACGTGGATGGTTCAAGAATAATCTTCTCAAGAAGCTCGATCAGCTCGGTCGGGAGGTCATTGCTCAAGAAGCACTGCACGGCCACTGAAACATCTTCGGGGTCAGTGGATTCGGGGACGGCAGTTGCAACAACTTGGTCTACTAGAGAACGGCGGTGGATGTTGTTAGGGCTCAAGACAAAACCCCACAGTTCGGAATCACGGCGTGCTACAAGGTACCGGGCCTGCTGCTTGAACATCGAGTTCTCATTAGCAACCCTAACCAATTCAACATCATTCTGACCCTTCTGGTATGCAATGAACGCCAAGTATGGGTCTCTCTTCTCGCAGTATTTTCCGACTACCAAAGTATCGTACTGGTCGTTCTCCTTCAAGAATTTCTCCGGGTTGTTGTTACTATCGATGTATATCTTCGCAAGAGCATTGTAGACAGCTGGCTGTTGGTTCCCGGCAGCCAAGGTATCTTCCAAGAAGGGCAACAAAAGCTTTAGGCGGTTCCTGCGCTCAACTTCGGCAACAAGTTCGTCGATAGGAATTACTGAGCTCTGGACAGACTTCAACAAGCTCTTAATAATGGGCTCCTCGCAATCAACATCCAAGAGTCCTCCAACCACCGCCGGAGTTCTGGCCGGATTAACTCTCTGGACGTAGACCTCGATAGATTTGAATTGTTGGTTCTGATATAGATATAGCACCAGCTCGTGGATAAAGTTGAACCGATCGCAAACCACAATCAATGGAAGTTGCTCAGTCAGCTTTGCCTCCTTAAGGAAATTCTTGACCTTCTCGGGGTTGTAGAAATTGCTATCACGGCAGATACGCTCTACTTCACTCATCTGGCCGCAAATAGTAGCCGCTTGAATGTACTTGAAGTGCACGTCCGGATCTTCGCTCAAATTGACGATACTGCCAAGGTAGTAGTAGAGACCCTCGAATGTTTTGAAGCTCTCGAAAAGTTCAATCAAGCGATTGGCACCTAAAAGGTCAGAGTATTTGGTCGCAATTTGAATCACAACTTGGAGATTTTGACGGATATTAATCCTCAGCATCTCCCGCATGCAGTCCAAGGATTGCTCCAAGGACATCCTCCCAAAATACTCAACAATGAATTCCGGAGCAAGCCCAGCACTGTTGTTGCAGAGAACCCGTTTAACCGCAGCAGGATCATCGTAATGTTCCAAAGCCTATGAAGAAAATGAATAGTGAGCAAACAGCCGATGGATACTCAGGAAAACGGTAAAAAATGGGATATCATACCCGTTGAAATAGGCCTGCGTTCTCGCACAACTTTGCAATCTTTTCACGATCATAGTACGAGAACATATTATTCAACAGAATAGCATCTGCAACCTGGGGCGCATTTAGAAGGTTCATTTCCAACAAACGGGTCTGTTGGGCCGCGTGCTCTGGCTTGTTTCCCTCCAAGGCCGTTAATAAGAAAGCCGTGGCCTGTTGGATCATATTCTGCGACAAGAAAACGTCCACCACCCGGTCAATGTCAACCAAGGAGCCACCCTCCTGGCTGGCAAGCTGAGTCGCAAACTCGGCGCCCTTCTCTGGGTTGATCCGGACGATATGGGTCAACAAAGCTGTGTAGTCCGGGCTGTACCCGACCTTTTGTGCATATGGTACGATCTTGTCGAATTGCCCAGTCTCGGCAAATGACGCAACAACTTTCTGAGGAACGTTGGCCCGCAAATAGACACTCAAGGCGAGATTGACATCATGGACCCTAACGGCATCTCCCAGCTCCTCCGTGCATTCCAATTTGTTTTCCTTCAACCATTTCTCCAGCAGATGTTTTCGGTTTTGTGCAAGAACGGGCTTGACCAATTCGATAGTTTCGTGCTTGTTCAATGTTGTCTTGTCTAATAGCATACCAAAGTATTGGAGGATTACCGAAAGCTGTCCGGGCGGTGCCGGAACGGACTTAAACTGTTCGATGGTCGCCGGAGTACGCAGGAACCCACGCGGAGAATTTGCGGCAACTTTAGCGGCCTCCACAAAATTCTTTTGGTCCATGAGTGTCTGAAATTGCTTCTGATATAGCTCATCAGCGCCGGCAAGGCCAGCCCGCGAAGCAAGTTTGATGGCGAGAGTCGAGTTCGCCGGATTTTCTCGCAGATATGGGATGATTTGGTTCTCATCGACACTCACACAGAGAACTTGACCCTTGCGGTTTACACCAATAATACCGGAACTAGCCTCATGGGGGGCCGTGATGAAAATAGTTTCACTCGAAATGCGGTTCATGAAAATGCACGCTCCGGTTTCAAGATCGTACAGATGGATGAAACCGTATTTGGTAACCAAATATATGATAGAGAACCTTGGTGAGATCTGCATTGCAACGGGAAAATCGTTGACGGCCTCCGCTGGGAAATAGACATCGACAGCCTTTTTCTGGAACACTGGGTTGGCAGCGACATGGTCTACCTCAACTACATGGAGTTTAGCTCCTTGGCCTGTCCGGACAGCAAATGTGAATAATTTTGTGTCGGACGAAGCCCCCTCAAGTCGGATTGAGGCGAATGCAGCGGCGTGACCTTCGATGGCCTGGCTGATTCCTCTATCCTTGGAGTACAGTTGCATGTTGCCAACAACACGCCCCTGTGATTGAGAAATGCCAACAACAACCATCCATTTCTCATCCGCATTGACGCGGTAGTTAATAATTTGGCAGCCCTAATTTTCACAAGTCAAAACTGATCTCTAGCCTTTCCACAGCCATGCTTACCGAAAGATTCATGTGTCGGTCGAAGATTTTGACAGGAGCCGCTTGGCTGGGATCCATAACATCCCAATGGTAAACGCTATTATCTGTAACAAGACCCAAGCTCCTCTCGCTAATCCACTTCCAAAAGACAACATCCTCATTCATTGTATGCGACTTCAGCTTCTCTTTTGCTTCCAAGTTGAAAATCTGAAGGGTGCGTTGGGCCTTCAAGGCGATAATCTGTTTGTTCCAGTGCATAATAGCACTATCCGCCTTGATCGTCCTCCGTGTGACCTGATTGCCATTATGAAGGTCGATTATTACGACTTGTGCCGCTGCCTCATCACTCTTTTCACGAACGCAGATGAAGTGGTCGCTCTCCAAGGTCTGGGATAACGGTTAGAAAATATAGCTCAGAACGACGGCCGAAGCAAAACTGAATAGTAAAACCTACGGTGGTATTGAAGCCTATTGAGGCTTGCTGTTTTCAAACCGTCAGTGAACAATTCATTCGGGGATGCTACAGCTGCTTTAGTGGTCCATACTTGAATTTCGAGCTGTGGGAGCTATAGATACAATATTATCAGTAGGGATTACCAGATGGTGGCTCAAACTTAAAGCGCAACTCACAGATAAAAGTTCGGTAAAGGTGATTGGTAAAGGGGCCATGTTTGCTCCGAGCTTTGAGCGCTAGGGGCTCACCCACGTTGAGTAAAAAGGAGGTAAAGAGATAGATAAAAATTACGAGGAGCAGAGCAAAAAGCTAAGAAATCCGAAAACGAACCGAAAGCAAAGTAAAGAGTGCAGAGAGGGAGGCTACGCGAGGATTGAGAGAAGGTTGGATGGAAAGTGGGGGTGCAAGTAGATGAGATGGAAAATAGTGGGTTGAGGTGGAGGAGATGATGCCTTTTCTCGTTGGTGCTGCCCGTGAATTACAGAGAGGTGTCGTTTGGTTCGCTAGACCTTACTGTATAGGGCTCCCTTTTACGCTGTGGCCGCGAACCTCACAGCCCTAGCGAAAAGGCCGCGTCCTGTTGAGCCTCACCCACGCTTCACGCTTCACCTTTCAATACCTTTATTCTCTCAAAACTAGGAATAGGGGATCGACAAAATCGTTAATTACCCTCCAAAGAGCCTTTTAGCCATAAATTTCCGTGATCTAGGGACAAAAGGTGCCGGTATGCGCTCATGCCCTAACGTTATGATACCGGTATGATAAGTTAATACTTGGGTATGATACAGGAATGTTATCAACACGAACGGGCTAGAGGAGTTTGAGCCCGGCTGTCACTCACTGTACGGTACGGTCCCGTACATCCCCCTCGCCCTTAAAAAAAGACTCTGAAGACGAATATTCTCAGCTTCAGGGTTCCCCAGCCAAAGGACGTGGTTGAGCGAGCAATGACAATCGCCGTCTTCATTGGTTCCGGCGACCATGGACCCCTGGGCAAATAATGCTATCCCGCCCAAAATTTGTCCCAAGTCACTTCGGCTCGAGCAATGTGAATGGGATACCGATATCCTATCTACTCTCTGTTACACGGATTAAGTCAGATCAGGTATCTAATTGGTACAGTATCCATCTCCATCGCGTCTAAACCGCTCTCCCTGCTCCGTACGATAAGATATAAATAATTATGAGAAAAATCAGAATGGCTAAAAATAATATAAGCTCTGATAGATCCCGACTAATACCGGTATGAGGAAACAACGGACCCGGGAAAACCTCAGACTCTCGAAATTTGGGGATAAGGGATCCAAGGTGACTTCTGCTGGGCCACCAGCCCATAATAATAAAAGAGGGCCCGATTTTGCAGCATGTGACCTATGTTATGTTTGTCACTGAAATTATAGCTCAAAAGCTAGCAGAAAATTTGAAATGTTTATGACTTCTCGGTGGAAGAAGGCAGTGTTCATTATACATCCCTTGGTGTGTTCCAGAATAATGCACCCAGCTACCGCAACTCCGGATAACCGATACCGGGGGTGAATCATAGCCTCAAGTTACAAGACCGGCAAGCGATACTTTGCACCCGAGCCTTTTATGCCAGGTAAGTATTCGCCTTGTTCTGACCTCCCCATATACTTTGTGAGCGCCATAAGCCATCGTTGACGTTAAATCTTCTAACTTCTCCTTAGATCCTTCATCCTTGGTCCATTCTACCCTACCCCCCCTTTGTTTTTTTGCCCCAGGGCCTCTTCCGTATATTTCTGACAGCTGTCGCTAGTCATGTTAGCGTGCTTAGTGATTTTACAATGAGTTAAGGTACCGCACCGTGCTTTTGAAAAACTAACTATTGATGATGGGAATAGTTCGAGTGATAGTCGGTGAGGCCAGCCTTCTATATCGTTCTCCGGAACCGTAGGATCCAACACCGCAGAGTGCTTAAGGCCAAGGGAGGAAGAAAGGGGGGGGGGGTAGAGAAATTGAGAGTATTTTAAGTATTGATCTTATTATCTCCAACTTGCGATCTGCCTCTAGAAGCAAGAGGGTACAGTACGCTGGCAAGGGCTCAAAGCGACAACGATTTCTAATATTCACGGTTGGAACAACAATTGTATGGAGAATCGCCGTTGGGAAGGAGAACCACCACCGATAAACCGTGAGTTGGTGAGACCTTCAAAAACACATAAATCGAATCCAGCCCAATCCCCGAAAATCTCTGGTGTGCATCGACATCACAACGACTGAGCTGCCATTCCGGTATGATATTGTATCATACCCCACATAATGTTATTACACCACATACCCCACAACCTAAACTTATAATTGTAACCTACCTGCTTCACTTCCCCCTACGCGATGAACCCTTAGGGAGTTGCGAGTACCTCACCCCCAGCTGCAACCATCACATTAGGGCATTCCTCATTGGGCCCATCAGATATCATACGGCAAGTGTGATAATTATGATGCCAGTATCATAATAAATAAGTAATCACCCCCCCTCAACACCAGCGTTATCATACTTGTAGAAGTATGATACCGGTATCCCTCCCAATAGGCCATCGGTCAAATCCCCTGTTACCCTCCCCTCCCAGAAAAACTATATAACCTCCCCATCCCTCCCCTTCTTTTTTCCTTTCCTTTCCTTCTTCATACTTACCTTGTGACAGACTCGGACGTTCATTGATATCCGGGACTCGGAGAACTCCACCTTCATTGCACACCGAGGGTAGAGCCTCTGCCAAAGGCCTTCGGGCCTTCTGGGTTGCTCAATTTTTGATTTATTCAATCCGTTTATCGTCTTTATCATAACTTGATATTATTGATATTGGCTCTGTTTTGTTTTTCTTTTCCGTTGGGGTCTGGGCTTTGTCGAGGCTTTGAAGGAAGGGTGAATAAATGGGGGGGGTTTTTGTGTTTCTGAGAGGGGGAAACACGTGTTGTGGAGCCCTGTGATGGGTCAGTTTCGTAAGGGGGGTGGATCGAGCTCTGCAGACTTGTTTTTGTTTTGATTTCTTTGTACCGTGGACATACCGGTGCGCAAGCGGGGATGTGTTCTGTATAGTAGATTGTAAAAAGTAGGGGGCTTTTATGTGCGTTGTGGAGGAAGTTTTCCTTTTGATACCGTATTAGTTTCTGAAGTGTGTAGAAGACGTGTAGTTTGTGAGGTCGAATTGGGCGCGTTCATAGGATGTGAGCTCTGGTTACAGTATCATAATTAGCGAATGATATGTGTAGGAAAAACAATATGTACATGAGCCATGCATATTCGGCCCTCCAGCACGAATTTTAAAGCCTTTCGGGGAAGGATCTAGGCGTAGATAGGGAGAAAGATACACAGAAGAGGAAATCTCTTGCTTTGAGCCCGGCCAACCTTATTGCTCGTCATGGAGTGTGCTGCTCAAGCATAATATACAGTACATCGCAACCATATTCTTCCATCGGTTGTCTAACTAACTCCCATCCTTCCATCCTCCGAGAAGAGATCCCTCAAAACCGCATCCTCACAAGCCCCCACATCCGGCGGTTTCATCCCATACGTAGCTTCGTAAACAAAGATACTCAGATTACCGAAAAAAGGCCTCAGCAACTCAGATCTTATATCGCCCCCGCTCTTTTCCAATTCCCTAACCTGATCTCCGGCCAACCATGGCCTCCGCCGATTCTCCACCATTGTGACATGTGAAGTGGAAGAAGGCAGCTCGCTTGCAACTTGATCGACGAGAGCGGTCGGATTCCAGTCGTTCGGGCGGTAAACTGCTTCTATCGTGTCCGTTACGAATAGCCATTCGTGCAATTGAAACTCGTCAGGAGCGATGACTAATAGGGTGTCCAAGAGTTTGCAAGCCTGTAGAATAGAGGAGTCTGTGTATATGTCGTTCTCTTCGTCTGGGAAGAGAGATGATAGAGCGGATTGTAATTCGGTGTTGATGAGCGGCCAAAGAGAGGAAAAATGTACCGGAGAAGTCCTGAGAGCTAGTGCCCGGAAGACGAGGTAGATATCACCCCTTGTAGCCGAAGATGGTGAAGTGACTGCCGTGGCAGATAACAATTCGACTAGCTTTTCTTCTAGCTCAGGGAGATTAACGACGAAAGAGTCTACTTCCGCCGCGAATATTAAGAACGCAATTCTTCTTAGGTTGAGTTGGGTCTTTTTATCAGCCTCCTGTCGTGCCGAGGTGGCGCCCACGCCGAAAAGAACACCCGCTGTTGTAGGCGGAGTGATTCTCCCCAAAAGCTCCGCCATGCGTTCTCGCTCACTGACGAGGAATTGCCGAGCTAACGGAACCCAGTTGCTTTTGACGAGTGAAATTGGTGATGAGAAGAATTTGGGATCAAGAAAAGCATCAGAAAGTTCTTTTTTCCAGGCTTTTTGATTATTAGGCAATCGTGTGAGTTGGTATAAAAGGTCTAATACCCCTCCTGTGACATTGTGTGGAAATGATTTGGACCTGAAGGTTGGACCTATTACATTGGTCGAGATTGCAATGGAAGCAGCGACCACCCTATCTGGCTCGACGAGGACCTTGCGGAGTTCTGGCACGGTAGATACCAACACGGCTACAATGTCAATCGGGGGGGGTTTCCCCCTACTAGCCCGATCTCCCTTATTATCTGCGTCGTTTTCCTTTTCCCTCTCCCTCTCCCTATCTTTATCTCCTCCGGCGACTGGCGCCGGAGTTTCCAGCACATTCTGGCCAATCGGCTTGACCGTAAATGCTGCAGTTAGTAGCCTTATGAAAAGATCCTGCGCAAAGCGTCAACCGCAGTCCGAAAACAATTGATAGAGGAACTAGCAATGGAAGCCTACCCCTAGTTCCTTTCTCATTCGCCTCTGTTCTCCAAAGTTGGTGTTGTCTACCTTTTCTCCAAGGATAGCCGTGAAGCTTAGCAGACTCGGTAATGTCTGACGGTGCGGGAATGGGTTGGCAAGAACATCTTTCAAGAAGACCATGCAATCTGCCCAGATTTCGTCCATAGCATCATCCTCTAAACTGCGGGCGTATTCTACTAAGAAGACCACAACATCCAGGTCTTGAAGTTCAGAAGCGAGCGCCGATTTACGGTTCGGTTCTAGCGCGGCCGGATTTGTTCTTGAGTAGATGGCATTAAAAATAGCGGGAATGGTGTGTTTAGGTCTTGATCCATCAAGTACATTGATAAGTCTGAATATACTCCCAGTTTTCTTGACATCGCTCGCTGGTGTCAATTTGGCTGGCCAGAGTTCAATCAACGTCTCTAAACATTCAAGAGTTTCTGCGCCAAAGAGATGCTCTAGAATCCTGCGAGCACGCCCTCTCATCCGTATACTGATGTATTGCCAACTCTCCTTGCTGCCGGGGTCCAGCTCACTTTCCCCAGTGATAGCGTTAGAATCACCCCAACTCCAGATTGCATAGCAGCTCTTCACGGTATCTTTGAAACAAAGGAGCACCGTGAGACGGTTGTTTGCCGTTGAGCTTCTATGCTGTGGACTTTCGAGTGCAAAAACACCGCTAACCATATTACCGAAGAATGTACTAGCTGTTGGCGCATCGGGGCTTTTAGTATTGACCCCAGCACTCTTTATCTCTTCGTTAACAAGTTTGTCATGAGCTGCTGCCAGTATCTGTTCAAGGCCATGTAGAAGAGCAACCAAGGCGCCTTCTGGACTATTAACTGGTGAAGCTGGGCCATTGTGCTCACCCTGTCTGAAGACCTGCTTTAATGCATGAAAGGTCTGCCTTATTTGTTCGCATAGGCACTCAACTAGTGGCATCAAAATCTGAAATATAACGTTCTCCAGTAAGGGTAAACACTCAGTCAAGAAATTGACCCAACTGTCCAATACCGGTCGACTACTCGAGCTGGAAAATCCACCGACAAGGCATTTAAGAAGTTGCTGTGGCGGCGCTATCGTCGCTTTCTCTACCTCAATGGATATTGGTGCCCGTCCTCCCTTAATACTTCCGGCATCCTTGTTGAGTTGCCCCAACTGGCTTGCAGGTCTCATCAAAGAAAGCTTCAACGCTGCAAATAATACGTCCAATAATGAAACCTGCACATATGTGTCCGTAACGTCTAGAGCTGAAATGAGCCGGGCCGTAAGAACATTCTCGAGCTCCATGTCCACAAGGGGTTTCACAAAAGGGCTCAGGAGCAGTTGGTGTAGCACTTTCAACGCTGTCCTCTGGAGGCGAGATACTCGCTCGACATCTATTTTCTCTTTGGCATCACCCTCAATGGCTCTCACAGCAACCTTGACAAAAAATGTTTGGAGAGTCATATCATCTTCCCCGTATCCGGCTGGCGAGAGCGAAAGCGTTAGCTACACAAGACTTGATTTTATTGGGGAACGGTCCCTTACCTTCCACGAGGGCCTTAGCCCGAGCTCCGTCAGCCCCAATAACCAATTCACTCGCTAGCGCGGCTAATACTGTGTTTGTGGAATACTGCAAGATGTTTGACAGCGTCTGGAAGTAGTAGGTAGCTACCTCCAGATCGTCGTTTTCCCCGAACAGCTGTCTTTCAACCGGTGCGCCTTTGGCATCTCTATGGCAAGGATCTCTCAGGAAACCAAATCCGAGAAGTTTTGTAATGAACACACTGAACAACCTTCAAAAATGAGTTATTAGATATTCTCTAAGGTGAACCCGGCGCAACGTACCTATGAACGGTCCCAAGATTCTGAAGCCAGCCGCGAGCAAAAACAGCCACCTCCAATCCATCATCCCCCAGCGCATCCAGAAATAAGAACAATGGTCTTGTTAAGACCATTTGTAGCCCACTTGCACCACTAGGATGATTGCTACTGTGCATCCAGAGCACACTGAATTTCCGCCCATGCTCCGCGTTCCTTGCGGAATAGACACCACCAACATCACCTTCGGTCATCACAGTTGCAATTGCAGCTTCTATTTTTCTATCCGCTAGGACCATCTGAAGGTTCCAAATTGCCTTTACCGCTTCCACATGAAATTTAGGTCTATCAGGTGACAAATAGCCCCAGATATTTTTAACAATAGGCAGGATCAGGGACCCGATGTCATGCGGTGATATGTAACTCTTAGTGTACAAAGAAGCCACTACATTGGCGATCCCTTGTAATGCGGCAAAAGGCACGGCTGGATTGGACAGAACGGCGAGGAAAGATTGGGCGAGCTGTATTGATTCCTTCCAGTATTGGAGCTGGGGGGTTTTCTGTATGACGTTGACCAGTAAATGGCACCGTACCCTTATGTCTTCATCGTTTTCGGGGCCCGTTAGGGCGCTTTGAGCTGCCTTGGCAGCTTCCTGAAGAACCCATCGACCTACATTCCGGATGGGGAATGGCGGTCCCACCACAGATCCTCCACTATATCTATAAAACTTCTGTATTCCATCCAAAATCATTGCGTTGTCTGCATGTTCTGGTTCTGAAGCACCTTGTGCCGGTATTGGTTTGAAGACTCTCTCAGGCACCATTTGCCATAGATCCTCAGCGATTCTGAAACCCTTTGCCTGCAATGCCCTTCCAAGTCCCCCATTCGAGGCCTTTCCCAGTTCTACGAGCACTGCTAGTACCAATAAGGGAGTATGTAGTACCACCATCTCTTCCTCATTCACATTGAAAGTTCGGATAACAAAACGCACGCTCTCCAATATCTCTTCTGCTTCCGTCCCTTCCCGGGCCGAAAATGCCTGTGTAACCTTTTCCAATATTTGCCCCCAAATGAGCGATGCTTCAACCCCATCAAAAAACATTCGGGCGCTCTTGAGGACCTCTGCATAGAGTTCCTTATTCGGTGCCGATTTCTCATATTGCCTTACACTTTCAACCACGGGCAAAAACAGTTTTGGGATAACCAAAGAGCCGACCTCCCAGCGATCCATTAAAGAAAGGCAAATCCTGTACGGCTTTGCCCGCTCAGCAGAACTAACCCCCACCGGCTGATCGAGCATCTTCTCTAACCCTCCAATCAAGGCATTGAGACCACATTCCCCAAAGTAATTGTTCTTGCGCAGCTCTTGCCCTTCCGGTCCGAGATACCAGGCCCAGAGGCGGCGATTGAGTGACATATCTCTCCGTAAAACTACCCCGGCTGCCGAGGTCACCAGAAGTTCAAGATCAGGTTTGCTCACTCGCTCTTGCAGGATTTTTGAGCAAAGCGGCAGGGACCCTACTAGTAAGTCTAGGAAACCTCGTTGAACCAAGATCTGCTCATCGTTCAGGCCCGCACAGAAGGCCCTTATTAAAAGCCCAGGCTCGGGGCTAACTAGCGCTTCAGCATCACTTCCTTCTGACCCTAAATTACCTCCCCTTCTTTCGAAATCTAGCTTCGGGAGTCTCCTTCCCAAGAAAGCCAGTGCCCCCTGCCGCCTGCCTGGGCTTGTAATAGTCGCTAATAAAAAGCACTGCCAGAAATATGCATCATCACAAACCCCATTTCGAACTTCGTCTATCAAGGCTAGTGTCCGATCAAAGTATTCACCACCTTCCTCGTCAATACCGGGAAGTAAGGCTAATACTAAACCTTTTAGAGCCGGCCGTAAAGCGGTTGAAAGCGGAAGGTAGAATCTCTCTAGAAGCGTAAGGTAATGGGGTTTCAAGGTCAGGGATGCGTATGAAAGGACCGGTGTTAGACCGGGTGTCCATAGAGTCAGGTCTGCCGCAAGTCCCTCACGCCCAATCATGGAGAATATGTGGGAATAAACTTCAATAGTCTTCTGATGAACTCCGGAGGGAAGTTGTGGATTCAGACATTGTGCCAGTCGTTTCGCTATGAGGGCTTTTGACGGTATTAAAGGTAGTGAGGGGTGAGATTGGAGTGCCTATTTCTTTTATTTTAAACGGGTTAGCACGGCTCTGCTAACTTTAACAGAACCCACCAGAGAGGTAAGGATTATCAGTAACCTTAAGAAGTCGGCCAAGAAACGAGATATAATCAGCCCATTCTTGTAGACTGTAGCTCTCGAATAGAGCAAGTGCACGATCGATAGTTGTAGAATACCGTTTGTATTTTGGGTCTTTTCTTGTAACTTCTGTAGGCAAGCTCTGTTAACTGATAGTCTGTGCGAGTATCCAGCTTGGTGGTAATTCGTACCGTCGTCATTTCGAAACCTTAACCTTGGCTGAGGAGATGAGCGGCCAGAGCTTAAGGGGGAAGGAATTCTAGAGCCAGGATCGAGAGACATTGGGCTTGAAGTTGAAAATTGGATTATTTTGGCAGCCGATTGCTACAGCATCGTACTCGAGCAGCTTCGGCAGAGCTTGCGAGAAACGGCTCCTGAACTCGCAACAGGGTAACCTAAGTCTTAAACAAGGTTACCCTACTTCCATTCTAGACCCTCTTTAGTACGAGTATGCTGGGTTTCTGCCTGACCCGAAAGCCGCAAGGGTCTCATAGCAAACCACTACAACGAATTCACCAAACAAACCACGAAGCGAATTTTTCTGCCAATACCCAAAGATAAACAGCTCCACCCGCTACTCTCTGCATTCCCCTTTTTTAATTCTTTTGACCTATCCTTGACACCAGCCTAGATGTTATCCGGGCACCAAACCCTGGCCCGGAAGTTTCCATTTTTATGTTCTCATTCCCGAAAGGCTTCCGCTTTCGGAACTACTCCAAGCTACCACACTATTCGCACAGGTGGAGGAGTGCGGCGGATACGGTGGGTATTTCTTCGCTTCCTATGCCCTATACTCTCATGAATTCTAAAGGCAATGCAGTGGTGGGAATTTCAATTGGACTTCCGGGTCCTTGGGCCGTCAAAAACTGCTCGGCAATGCTGCTCCGATTGTCAGTTCTTCTCTAGGGCCACCACATTTGGGGAATCATTGTCTACCCCCGGGCGTTGCAGTTTCTGTTCTTGGGTTCACCGAACGATCAAACAAACAGAGTTTCTCAACCTCGACCTCCTTGCTCGCTCAGGCAGGGCATAAGGAGTTGTCTGACAGCAGAGATAATACTACTTTCGAGGATGGGGGGGGAAGACAAGGTCGAGAAGATACAGGAGGTCCAGTTTCCAAACACCATACTGAAGTTGCTGATCACAGCGGACGGGTATTAAAGGTCAGCACAAAAACAGAGTCCTTGGACATTTGGAAGATGCTTCGCGAGTTTGCGAAATTGTTACGAAGCGGGGCCAAGGAGGAAATCAAGGTGGAAAAAAATAGCCCAATATCGGCAGAGCCCGCTGTGGAAAAAGGTAGCCCAATAGCGGCAGAGCCCGTTGTGGAAAAAAATAGCCCAATATCGGCGGAGCTCGTTGTGGAAAAACATAACCCAATATCGGCAGAGCCCGTTGTGGAAAAGGAATTGAAGGATGCACCCCGGGAAATCCTAGACGAGTCACCTTTCGTCTTGCAAAGTAACTACGCAGATGACATTGTCGAGGAACTGGAACAACCGGAGGCCCCCGAGAATAATTCCCACGAACAGGAGCAGTTTGTTGAGCAAAGCTCTTACTCATTCCCTGGACTTGATCTACCGGCAGAAGAGCAAGGGTCTTCTCCCAACAACGCGTCAACCATGGGTGTCCCTGAGTTTAGTCATCAGGCTGAAGAGAGGGCTTCAGAAGTTACAGAGCCTGAGACTAGTGGTTTTCAGTCTCGAGAAATTTTCGGATCGGGTGATAGCTCACCCCGCCGAGTATCTGGAAAAAAACAAATCGAGATTGATACCCATTTAACCACCGTTAAGACTCCTGTACCAGAAAAGAGAGCAGGCAGGGCGAGCGCGGCAAGAGCTACTGAGCGCAAGAGAGTTGTTAGCACTGAAAAAGCTGAGACAGTCGCTGAAGTTGAAGCTACGCCAAAGCCGAAGACCAGCAAATCTTTAGTTGAGTTCGCTGAGCCACTTAGTTGGACAAAGTTGCCATACGTTCCGTTAACCTACCATATATCCGAGCAAACATTGCTTAGGAAATTCTCCCTGAGAGAAAGTAGCCCATTGAGGTATTGGCGTTACGATTTATATATGGGTAGCTCAGGGGAGAAGATCAATGTCCATTACTGTAAAACGATTGAGGAGTTCGATCGTGTGGCTAAACTATTTCTCAACGATAAGATTCTCGGCTTTGATTTGGAATGGGTGCCTGCGAACTTTTCGACTTCAAAATCTGCAAAGTGAGTTCGCCACGGATCCGAGACTCCTCAGAGATTTGGTACTGACTACTCTATAGGGTCAATGCATCGTTGATGCAGTTAGCAAATGAAAGCGATATCGCATTATTCCATATTGCCAGAGTCCCAGGTTTGTTGCTATGCAAAATTCATCTATCATGGCTAATTGTGTTCACAGGCCAGGTTCCCGATTTTGAATTGATACCGCCAAATCTTAGAAGTGTGCTAGAGTCAGAAAATATCATGAAGACAGGCGTATGTGTGACAGGTATCTTCACCTTTGTACTTCTTTGTAGTTCCGCCAATTCAACTCTAACCATATTCCATTAATTAGGTGATGCCAAGAGAGTCTCTAAATTCCTTGGTGTCCACCCTGCCGGAATTTTCGAGCTGTCTGATTTGTGGAATCTTGTCCATGACGTGAGAACCATGGCAGGTTCCATTACTCGACGTTTGATCGCTCTTTCTAGATTAACCGAGGAATGCCTCTATCTTCCCTTAGACAAGAGTGCCTCAAGGATAAGCAATTGGGCGGTTGAGTTAAATAACAGACAAATACAGTGTAAGTTTTCAAAAAAAAAAAGGACATGGGCCTGTCTACAGTGGCTGAGAAGTTGACTCTAATTCTTTAGATGCGGCGAATGATGCTTATGCGGCACTCCGCGTCTTTGACGCATTAGAGGCGATGAGACATGGTCTTAGTCCTATTCCCAAATTTCCAGGATGCCGAATCATACCCCCACAGGATCCGCCCTCCGACAGCGACTATCCCATCATTGAGGAGGAGGTGGTGGAAGAATACGATTACAAGCTAAAACGCATCAGCCTCGATGGACCTGAGGTTGAAATGGCTAGTTCGTGGGCAGCCTCGTTTTTGGGGGCGCTTGTCGAAAGTGGTATAGAGGCGAAGGCTCAACATTCCCAGCTAAAAACTTATTCGCTGTGGCATAATGGGAAGCACTCCGTGGAGGAGATTGCGGAACTCTGTCGGAACCCGCCATTGAAAGAGACGACAGTAGTCATGCACATTTTGGAGGCTATTCAGCTTGGGAATCTTCCTTATGACGATGGAAGATTGGCAGAGTTGAGAAACCATATCCCGAAGCCATTCACGAATGGCAAGTACCATTGGGTGTTCGCTTTGCCCGACAAGAATGGTGGGAACGAGAATATCTACCTTTCATAACCCACGATCATTTCCCCCTGCCGCAATGAATATATATATATACAAAGAAACCTCCCTATCCCAGTTCTCTTTTCGTTTTCCAATTAATCTTTCTCAATGTAAATTGCCCGATTTTGTGAATCCTGGATATATGATAGAGACCATGCTTTACCATCCTTTGCACATGTCTATCATAGGTAGCTTCATATATCGGTAAGACCACCTAGGTGCATCTCTTGGTACCTTGTTGAATGATGCGCGCCATTAAACTTTCAAGATTTGCAAAGGAATCGACGAAGGAGAAAAAAGGAGAGCAGTTTGATATTAATTGCTTTATTGCACAATTACCGTAATTCAAGATCCATGCTCTGATTGAGCAGCCCGATTGTCTCCAAATAGTTACTGAATACTTGCTCCGTGACCGGTGTCCTATCTTTTCCCACAACCAGTTTCCGACTGATCCAAAGAAAACGCTCAAGTCAGTCACAGGTAATAAGCGCGAACATATACATATCGTGGGATCGACTCTTGTTCGATTCCCAATAGGGGGCCAACTTTTTCCGACTGTGTAGCTGCCAATATGCTACCTTGCATAAATTCTTTACAATAGAATGTTCCATCCCCCTCCTTCTCGCCGCTGTCCTTAAAAACTGGACCGTGTTGTCGATCCGCTGTTGTGAAAATCGATTAGGATCCGAATGTCGAAAAGCTTTCCGTAGTTTTTCTCGAATCGAATATCGTGCAGGAGAGGAATATTGAACGGCGGCCAGCCCGGCCTTATAAAGGGCTCGGTAAGCGTGAATAGTAGTGGTGTGATCGGGAAACATTTGTCGCTCTTATGCCGTTTTCTGTCGACTGTTTCGAAAGCCTTTGTATGGATAAAAGTGTGTGGTGATGTTATTTCTAGGATCGGGCGATACCGACACGAGGGTTGTGTTGTGCCCCGGCTCTATGGTAGTTTTGCATGCGCTTGCACCTAACTAGTGCTACCAGTATCATAATATTATTGTATGTGGTGGAGTTTGGTCCACTTTATTCCCTAAATTACCCGGCCTGCCATATCATTGTCGTGATGCTGTTTGGGTGAATAGCTTACGTAACAAGGACTGCGAAACATCCGTTGATTTGGCTGCTCCCGCGCTCGTTTATTGAGAAACCCTCCTTCGATCTCCAACAACAGCCACCCTTCATCTGCCCCCTTCCACATTTCCCAACCACTGTTCTTGACCATCCCTACTCCGGCTCCCCTCTATCTGCTGACATTTCTTTTAGAACCTCAGCCTCTATAGAGATTCTAGACACCCTTGCGTAAAATGACAGAGTACGTGTAGTCTTTCTGCTCCTACTTCGATTGAGCTGCCCTCGATAGACTATTGACAATTTTGATATAGACCAGCGCGCCAGCAGTATGGTGTTACACCGCCGATATCCGTTGCGACACCTACTGACAAGGAAGTTGAGCGCAATCAAGCTCTTATCGAAGAGTTGAAAAAGCAGGGCAGCTTCGAGGGAGCGGAAGAGAGTCAGAAGCGGTTTGTGCCTTCACTTTGAGCGCCAATCAGTCTCATTGGTTAATTGGGGTTGTGTGTGTGTGTGATAGTGTCATGGTTCTGAATACCCTACAGAATCTTACCGAAAGCTTTGTGAAGAAAGTTTGTGCCAATAAAGGCATGCCCGAACACATTATTAAAAATTCAGGGGGGAAGATCTTCACTTATGGGAGCTACCGCTTGGGTGTATACGCGCCGGGTGAGTACTCGCAATTTTATTTTTTTATACTCCTAGCGATTCGCTCTTTGTGAGCTAAACATTTCCACTTTGTCACAGGTTCTGATATCGATACTCTTCTCGTTACTCCGGCGCACATTACGCGGCATGACTTCTTCGCAACCCTTCCTGCCATGCTCCAGGAATTGGTTCCCCCGCCGGAAGATCTTTCAATGGTTCCCGACGCCTTCGTCCCAATTATAAAATTCAAATTACAATCCATCTCTATCGATTTGATCTTTGCGAGGCTTGCCAATGTTAACTCGGTTCCGAAGGATATGGCGCTCAGTGACAAGGAGCTTCTAAGGGGGTGTGACGAAGTTAATCTTCGCTGTTTAAATGGCACTCGAGTAACTGACGAAATATTAACTCTTGTTCCTAAGCCCGGCGTCTTTAGGATGGCTTTGAGGGGGATAAAGCTCTGGGCACAACGTAAATATCGCTCTCCAGAAGCTGTTCCTTTGCTGACTTGGTGTTAAGGGCGTGCTATCTATGCCAATGTTATGGGATTTCCTGGTGGTGTGGCTTGGGCTATGCTTGTTGCTAGGATCTGTCAACTTTACCCCATGGCTGTTAGCTCAGTTGTCATAAGCAAGTTCTTCAAGATTTTGGCTAATTGGACTTGGCCTCAACCAGTCCTTTTGAAGGGTATTGAAGATGGTCCACTGAGTGTTCGGGTTTGGAATCCTAAGGTAAGCTATATTGGGTCGAATCGGAGTGCCCTTAAATGCTAATGCGTCCAAGATCTATCCCTCGGATCGCGGACACCTAATGCCCATCATTACCCCGGCGTATCCAAGTATGTGCGCTACCCACAACATAACCAAATCCACCAAATCAATTATCATTCGAGAAATGAAACACGCTGCTGAGATCATGGACGGAATCATGGTTGGAAACTTGAGCTGGGACAGGCTCTTTGAGCGACATTCATTCTTTACAAATGGCTATCGGTACTACTTGAGTGTAGTCGCTGCTGCTAAAGACAAAGATACATTACTTGGATGGTAGGCTGTTTCCCCCATTTTTTACCCTCAAGTGTCTCACTATGGGTAGGTCCGGCCTTGTGGAGTCTAAGCTTCGTCACTTAGTCATGAAGCTCGAAATTCTTGAAACCATCAAGCTTGCACACCCCTTCAACAAAGGATTTGATAACGTTCACTTTTGTGAGACCGAGGAGGAAGCTATCCGTATTGCTAACGGTGAGATAAAAGCTATTGATAACCAAACGGGCGTCAAGACAGTAGTCACAGATCTCAAAGCAGAGCAGAATGGGAATGCCGAGAGGAAAGAAGACGAATCCAAGTTTAAAGTTTACACCACAACTTATTATGTTGGGTTGGAGATTAACACCGGTAATTACTTTTTATTGTCCCAAAATTCGTCTTTACTTACCCACCCAGAAATTTCGAAGCACATCGACATATCCTGGGCGAGTCAAGAGTTCTTCGAAACCTGTAAAACCTGGCCATCCTATAACGAGGATGAACACTCTATCCATATAAATCTCACGCGCAAGTAAGCATATTCCAAGCTCTTTTTTTTTTCTTTTTCATCTTGGATTTGGGGACCATCTCGACTTACGAGATATTGACATCAGCTTTGAGCTCCCGGGAAACGTTTTCCAACCTGGCGAGACTAGGCCAGTGAAAAAAACCAAAAAGAAAATCATCAAGAGGAAGGCTGGCACTGCAAATGGCGGGTCGGCCGCAAAAAAGAGATCAGCGGATGAGGTACGTAAGGGTTCTACATGTTGTCCTAAACGGGAGGAGGTAAGGTGCAAAAAAGGGGCAAGAACACAAGAGGAACCCCACTGGCAGACTCCTAATTAGCGCCATCGGCGAGAAAAAAGAGTGTTCTGAGAGTAGTTGACCCCCTCAAGGCTACAGAATATGAAAATTGTGTGAAAAATGGAAGAAAAAAGCATGAGAACAAATGAAAGGAAAAGGAGGAACAAGAAAAAAAAAAGATGAGAGAAAGAGGAAAAAATCTCAGCAAAAATGGATCAGTTTGCAAAACCTCCTCCCCGACTATGGACCAAGAGATGAATAGCAGTAATGCTCTGAATAGAGCAACGAATTGGCTAATTGCATGTCACCACCCGATTCATGGCGGTTCCATCTCATAGGCTTCGATCAACGATGACACTAAACGTGCAAGGCAGACTTCTGTCCACCAACAACCTGCACAGGCATAGTCCCTTCGGGGATATTTAGAGTGGGGCTATCGTGCGAATTACCTCTCCTTTCCTTCACCCTTCTCTCACATCTGTTCCTGTACTTGGGCCAGGTTTTCTTCCAAAGTTGGCTCAAGATATTTCTGCGTGATGATCTAGAGTGCCCTGAGTGTCTATGGGTTCACGGATTCTGATAATTCTCTCTTACCGTTTAGATGCGATAGGTATCGATCCCCCGAACAAAAGCGTGTTCTCTCCTTTTTTTTTTCTCTTTCGCCTTTCATTGCCCTTTTTTTTCACCCGGATATCAATTGGGATCTGTCACCTAAGCCTATGGCTACATTCGACTTCTACTCGCGCTCGCATGTGTTGGGATTTGTTTTGTGATCAACGCACCCGAGTACTCATTCATGGTCGCTGGCCTGCTTCCCCTTCCTGCTTCTTTCAAAGGCCACTAACAAAATCACAACCACCATCACGAAAAAAAGCAACATTTCTTGATGGAATGTCCCGTCCAACTGGGGGGGGTTTTTTTTTCTCTTCTACTCATCACAGTGGATTAATCTATGCCAACCGTACATTGTTCTCCGGCAGCTGTTCAACATTAAGGACCAACAACATCCATCTTTTCAGTTCCATAGAATTTTGAATCGGAGATGGATTGATCAGTACGGGACTATAGGCAGCCACTAGAGGACTTAGCTGCGCAACTCAAAGAACGCTCTTATGATTTGGTAGTCTGCATAAGGCTGGGATTTTTACATCTTGGATTTTCTTTCGTGTAATGCATAGTCTAGCCTTCCGTTGTATCGCAGCAACTATTCTAATGCCGTTGTTGTTCATCCGCAGAGCTTTAATTCCTTTTGTCACTTGGCTCATTAGTATATCACTTGCTTGGGTGGTCTTTCCTTTGACTTTGATTTTTTTTTTCGCGATTCTAAAATAAAGTTTAGCGTTTGGGATTGTATAGTATAAGTATTTGTAGTACGAAGCAATCTTTTCCCCCAGAATTGGTCCGCAATTTGAGCCTTCATTCGCAAGGCACTAAGCTATTCGGTGACACTCGAGTGATACATGAATTACAGAATCCACTCAAGATATGTGTGCTCCGGTTTCAGAAGGCGGTGTGAACAGATGACCAGATCTTGCACCGGAAGATATTATCCATTCTACTAGTAGGTTCTCTCCTGGACATGGAAGGAAAACCTCGCTGAGTCTTGGCTTATTGAAGCCCGCAGTATAATAAGTTAAGTTAATATTTTCTTGTTTAAAATTCTGACTAAGCAGGTTGATACATATATCATTGGAACCCTGGGGATGCCCCACTGAGCTTGCACTGTACGAGTGCTCGAGTACGTGCACACCCAAGAATCTCTAGACTGCCGTTAAACCACAAACTAATCTCAAAGCTCCCCCATCATAATTCCAGCACCCCAAACAACCATAGCTTCTCAATCTCGCCCCTTATGGCGGTGAGTCAATCCCCTTAAGATTCCAAAGATTCCCTCATCCCGGTTACCCATGGATAACACTTACATCGCCTCCAGAACCTTGGTATAACCACCGTCGGGGAAGCCAAAGAGATCCGCGGCATGAACCTCATCGCTGCCCACTCGCACATTCGTGGCCTCGGAATCGATACAGAGACTCTTGAGCCACGGGCGACCTCCCAGGGCCTCGTGGGTCAAGCCCGTGCGCGCAAGGCCGCGGCAATCATTCTGAAGATGGTGCAGGAGGGTAAGATCGCCGGCAGGGCCGTGTTGATGGCTGGACCGCCGAGCACGGGGAAGACGGCGATCGCAATGGCTATGACGCAAAGTCTCGGGCCGGACGTACCGTTCACGATGTTATCGAGTTCGGAGATCTTCTCTCTAGACATGAGCAAGACCGAGGCCCTCACACAAGCTTTCAGGCAGAGTATCGGTGTTAGGATTAAGGAAGAGAGCGAAGTTATTGAGGGGGAGGTCGTAGAGATTCAGATTGATAGATCTGTTACTGGAGTATTTCATCCATCTTCTATTCTGCCTGTTGGAGGCACTCTTCTGCAGATACAATTGCTAACACGCCAAAAGGGTCACAAACAAGGAAAGCTCACCATGAAAACCACTGACATGGAAACAATGTACGACCTGGGCGCCAAGATGATCGACGGCCTCACAAAGGAGAAAGTAATGGCCGGCGACATCATAAGCATCGACAAGTCCTCCGGGAAAATCACCAAGCTCGGCCGCTCATTCACCAGATCTCGCGATTACGACGCCATGGGCCCTGACACAAAATTCGTCCAGTGCCCCGAGGGCGAGATCCAGACACGCAAGGAATCGATCCACACCGTCTCTCTGCACGAGATCGACGTCATCAACTCCCGCACCCAGGGCTTCCTCGCGCTCTTCTCCGGTGACACTGGTGAGATCCGCAGCGAGGTTCGTGATCAGATTAATATCAAGGTTGGGGAGTGGAAGGAAGAAGGCAAGGCTGAGATCGTGCCTGGTGTGCTGTTCATTGACGAGGTGCATATGCTGGATATCGAGTGCTTCTCGTATATCAATAGAGCATTGGAAAGCGAACTTTCGCCGATTGTTATCATGGCGAGCAATCGTGGGAATACCAGGATCCGTGGGACGAACTACAAGAGCCCGCATGGCCTTCCATTGGACTTTTTGGACAGGGTGGTTATCATGCCGACGTATCCTTATGGACCCGAAGAGATTAAGGAGATTCTTGCTATCAGGTACACACCCACCCCACCGGCCGCCGGCCAATCACATTTCCATGTATCTGCTAACGGGTCGCTCACAGAGCTCAAGAAGAAGAAATAACCCTTTCCCCTGACGCCCTTGCCCTCCTCACCAAGATAGGTCAGGAAACCGGCCTCCGCTACAGCTCCCACCTAATCACGACTGCAAGCCTTATCGCCGCGAAGAGGAAATCAAGTGTGGTCGAAGTAAGTGACGTCGAACGAAGCTACAAGCTCTTCTTCAATCAGGAACGAAGCTCTCAATACCTGCAGGAGTACGAAAAGAAATTTATCAGCGAGGACGGCAGCGTCACATTCGCTGGCGGTGCTGCTACAGCCGGCGGGGGGGATAGGATGGAAATCTCATAAAGGAGAGATGGGTTTCATATTATCAAAGCTATTTTCTTCTTGCTCTTGCCACACGAAAAGCGATTGGGGGGAATGTTTGATAATGACTATGCCCTGTATTTTTAACATAGTAATCTCAATCCACGAGAATAGATCCCAGTTCTTCCTCTTAAAATAATAGTACCGAATATGCGATCTTTTATTATTTTTATTTTTCTGTCCTGATTCTCTCTACCGGTATCTCACACTGTCCTAATTTTTTTTTTCCTCCTTCAAAGTTCCGATGATGTGTAGTCGGAGGGGTAGGGTATATGTACTTGTATAGTGTCTACAAACTGGGAAAGAAAGTGTGAGGGAAGAAAAAAATGAGGCTGCACCTATAAAAGAGCCTTTGGTATATGCACATGCAAGTCTATTTTCCACCATCCACAATCCTCTTTATTTCCCCTGCGATCCTGCCAAAAAAACCGACACCATCATAGACCATGCCAGTGTAACCCATAACAATCTTAGCGCCGCGTTTTCTCGCCTCTTGGACGTCTTGTCCACTGGTGATCCCTCCGGAGGCAAAGACAACAGCGTTTTCACCAAGTTCCTTAGAATACCCCTCCACAAGCTCCAACATCTTGGGCAGTAGTATCGGTCCGGAGAGTCCTCCAATCTCTTTATGAAACACCCTCTTCTCCTCCTCGGATACCTGCGGTGAGGCGAGCACATTCAGCGGCCTCTTGACGGTGGTGTTTGCTACAATAACGCCTGTGACGCCGGCAAACTTGATGGCGGCGGATACGTCCTTGATATCCTCTACACCATCGCTATCAGGGGAAACTTTGACAACGACCTTCGGCTTGACCTTCCTGTCAGCCTTCTGCGCCGTGAGCACCACCGCGGTCAGTAATTCTTGCAGACTCTCGCGCTTCTGCAAGGACCTCAAGCCGGGGGTGTTGGGGGAGGAAACGTTAACAACGAGGATGTCAGCGTACCTCCCCAGCTTCTCGACGCAGGTGATGTAATCCCTCTTAACAGCTTCCATGTCTGTTTCAGCCGTGGCCTTGTTCTTCCCGATCTGCACGGCGAGCAAGCGGTTCGGCCAGAGGCTTGCGGGGATCTCGGTGCTGTCCAGGACTTCGCGCTCTGTTAACCCGTGCTTGAGTGCGTATCTACGCACCCGACTGCGTAGGCGGACAGCGGCAGTGTCAGCACCGACAGAGTTGAAGCCATAGCGGTTGATGATGGAGTTGGAGGTGGGCAGACGGAACATGCGCGGCTTCGGATTGCCGTCCTGTGGCAGGGGCGTTATGCAGCCGATCTCGAGCAGGGAGATTGCCGGGGAGATGTTGAAGAGCGGGTCTATGCATTCCGCGTGCTTGTCCAGGCCGGCAGAGATCGCGAGGGGGGTTTTGAGATTGTGGCCGAATAGCTAGGATGGTACTTCATCGTCAGCTGTTGTGGACGGCAGAGGGGCTCGTGGTTGGAAAGGGAATAACCTCTACACCTAGCTCTCCGCTCTCAAGATACTCGTGCGTCCCCCGCTCCCGTAGACCAAAGCCCAAATCGTACAGTACCCTCAAAGCCTTCAATCCAACCTCATGTGCCTTCTCGGCTCCTGGCCCCTTCCCGCCAGCTTCTGTGGGGATATCATCGCCACTGTAAAGCCATCGTAGGAGCGGCACGACCTGATACCTGTGTATGGCGGAGCGAGTGTCGGTAAAGTAAAGATATCTACCCATCCAACCCGTCCTCAGCCAAAGGAGTTCAAACCAATTGCGCCAAAAAAGGGGAGGGGGACACGAGTAACGAACGAGAACCCAATCGCGCCAACAATTATACCGCCAACCACGCCATTGCGAGCCTTGTTCCCCGGACGGTTTAGATTGTACGCTTTTGTGGAAACACTTCTTGTTCTCGTGTGGGATCGGTGAGGGAGGGTTCCGGTGGTGGGGATCAGTGGTACGCGGAAGCTGGGGCAGGTGATCCGGGTGATTAGGGAGGCTGAAGGAGAGGGCCGGATTGAAGGCATTGTGGAAGTTGTTGAGCGGGGGGGGGACTAGACCTGGGCTTCTAAGCTCCACCCCGCAACGGCTTCGCGGTGGGTTGAAGATGGGATGACGGGGTAGGAGGTGGGTGGGTCAGTTACCCGGACAGGAATCGCATTCTGGCGAGGGGCTGGCTCTACGAAGAGCGAGCATCGTACGGCACTGGTATCATACCGGCACCGAAGCGGTATGGTGCCTTGCGCTTAAAAGGGACACCTCGCTAGATGCAACTCATGATATGGTGCCATTTAAATTTACTTAAAAATGTCCACCTGGGTCCATGCAACATGTAACACTCAACCGCCCTAGAAATTAATCCTAACAACTAAAAGCAGCTGCATTTGCTCCATACTTTCTGCAGAATCTAGAATGAGACCATATGATTAACACAATTTAGCTTCTAATATACAATAATCCAAATACACTTATATGGAAATACCATACAAGGACTAGTTCAATCATGGAAGCTTATCACAGTTGAGTTGTATATGTATCTGTAGAGCATGAGGAACTTGTGTATGGAAAGTACAAGTCCTATAGGTATATTACTATGGGTAGTAATACAGACTTGGAGTTGAGCCAGATTTGTTCTTCACAGTATTTGTTCTTGATATAATGATACCAAGTAAAATTAGATCCTACAAAGATAACAATATAATTAAGAAAACAATAGAAGAAAATCATGGAAGAAAGTGGTCCCTGCACCTTGGGAGTATTATGAATCAGGAAGAGGGTTAGTATGATAGAACTTTACGGATTAAAGTTAATACAAGTAGGGTTAATTTCTAGGGCGGTTGAGTGTTACATGTTGCATGGACCCAGGTGGACGTTTTTAAGTGAATGGCACCATAGTAATTTAGACCACTATGATAGTGCGTGTGACTGGCCACATTGGCCAACTCCAGTCACCCCACAGCCAACGGCCATCCACCCCGCCCCGACCCCGCCTGGGACGGTACCAAGGCCGTCCGGTCCGTCCAACGACGAGACGTGTCTCGTCTTTGTCGTCCTCCCCCCTCCTTCGAGGCCGGACGACTGGAAGCACTGGTATCGAGGCAGGTTATCGGGGCGTTAGCACAGATCCCGGATGAGGCACAAAGGGCGTTTGAGCCTGCGAGAAGACAAGTTGACGGTTGCGGACTCCAGCTTCCCGAGATTCTCCACATGCTCATCAAGTCTTCATCGGGTTTGAAGCGGGGAATTATCTGCATCGACGCCTTAGATGAGGTTCCTACAAAGCACCGGACCCGACTCTGGGACACTCCGCAGCCCGTTGTCCGGGAGTGTCCAAACGCCCGGCTTTTCCTGGCTGGGAGGCCTCACACTCGGGATGAGGTACGGAAATATTTCCCCGAAACCGTCGAGACGTTGCTGATGAGTCCCGTCAGGCATGGTATTGGGTTGTGCCTTGTGGTGAGGTTAGACGGAGACCCGGAGTTGGATCCTAGAAAGGGTCTTGGGAATGTATGTATTATCCTGGGATGTTGAATTCCACGAGTTAGGCTAACAGTGATCTCTAGACCTCTCCCTATTTGCACCAATATGGACACAATCCTCGCGGAGGCGGCCATCCGACAGAGGAGACAATCACTTCATACGATGACCAAGGGGCTTGGTTTACAGGACGCATACAACACGACATTGGATCGGATAAGACTGCGGGACCGAGTGGACTCGAGGCTTGGGATGCAAGTCCTAATGTGAACTTCCCACTCTGAGTGACCCTTGAAATCGGAGGAGTTGTGCCATGTGCTAGGGGTAGAATTAGGAGCGGAAGGCTTTAATATCTACAATGTACCTTCGGTGCGACCGAACCTTAGGATCCGCCAATATTGACCAAAAGGCATAACGGTCCGTCTTCTGCATCTCACACTTCAAGAGTATCTTGGAGGGAGTCCCACCCTTTTCGTACCTGCTCACTCGATGATGGCCGAATTTGCCTCACCTATTTGAACTATCGGTCCATCCGGGCACTGCCGCCAAGCCTCGATATGGCCCTGGCGATAACACCCTTTCTTGAATATGCTACATGTTTCTGGGGAACCCATGCAGCTAGGGGGGTGACTGGGCCAGTGGAATTCCTCGCGTTGTGATTCCTTGACGGATACGAGAGCCATGTACCTGCCACTATTCTCCGGCGAGGGAAGATAAGGCGTGAGTAGTACATTGGGGAGGATTTTAGGAGATTTAGTGGACTACACTGCATCGCATATCTGGGGATTGGGAAAATTGCGATTGCCATGCTGGAGATGCAATGATGGGACATGAATGGGTGTGATTCTGGGGGTGACACACCGTTAGTTTGGGCTCTGATATATGAAAACGATAGCATGGGAGAGCTGTTTCTGGAGCGGGAAGGTGTCGGACTCGGCGCTGTTGTTCAAGATGGTCGCACGGTATTCTCGTTTGCTACTGGGTCGGAGAACCAAGGCATCGCCAAGCTACTTCTAGAACGCAAGGATGTCAACCCCGACTCATCGGACGACAATGGCCAAACACCCCTACCATTCGCTACCGATCGGAAGAATGAAGGTATGGTCAAGCTACTTCTGGAACACGGCAATGTCAACCCCGATTCATCAGATAATAATGGCCAAACACCCCGATACCTTGCTGCTTGGAGAGGACATGAAGGTGCAGTGAAGCTGCTTCTGGAACGTGAGGATGTCAATACCGATTCATCGGATTACGATGACGGAACACCATTTTTCCTATTTCTAGTGTTTTTAGTGTACCACCGATGTATGGATTGTAATTACTTCACGCCACCCATTGCGTCTGGGGGTGATTGATATTTTAGTTCTAGTTGGATTTGGCGTATCTTGTAATCCCGTTCGTACGATACCTATGCCTCCTCTTTCACTTCCACCATATATTGAGTTTTCCTCCCGTAGTGTTCCTAGAGTATCGCTAGAAGTATTGGTTATCAACAATAAGTCCAGTATATCCAAAGCTCACTACAAGATCAGCAGCCCCTCAGGCATCCCCCTAACTTGCCCCACCATCCATTTTTCCACCCATCTACCCTCGCTCAACAACCTTCAACACTCCACCCGAATTTTGGTCATGGTCACTCCCATATTTTATAGCGTCCACCGACATTAGAAACACGGTAAAACGCAGGGGGATAGTCACCTTGCCCCCCGCGCCTCGGAACTTATTTGTACAGTACAAGTACATTCATTCCCCACGAGCTTACCATCTTTTATCCGCATAACGGGCCAACGGCGAAATATGTTCTTGTGGGCAAGTTTGGAGAAGCGGAGGAGCGGTGCTCGCGTCGAGACTGGCTGGATAAGAGTTGTAGTCAACAAAGTTGGACACATTCAGGGTAAGGAGGGGCTAATGATTGATGCTTCACGTGGGCTGCGGGATACGGTAGTCTACAAGGTTAGTCTAAAGGACATGTAGTGGATGGCAATGGGGGATTGCTTTTGATCTGTTATCGTATGTAGGAGGGGAGGGGAGGCGGGGTTGATTCAATACCCGTCCTCTTCGGATTTAATCCACTTGCCGACCTAATCATCCCTTCTTGCGAAGCTCCATCGGAAATTCGTTCCATCTTCTCCAGATCGACTTTTTCTTCTTTCTCCCCCCTTAACATACTGCGCCACACTCGCCGTTACATGACCGCTTGAGGTGTGGAGAGGCCGGAAGCAGTTCTGTTGTCGTATCATATAGGAAAGGTGCATAGCAATTTCCTAGAGGCGTATTTTAGGATTAGCAAGGCCCCCTCCCCCACTCGGGGTCCTCGAGGGTCGGTGTTTGTTCACTGTAGTGTTTTCGCTCATTCAAGTGTTTTGCATGCATGATAGTACGACATAAATAATATAATAGAAGGCTCGTTAAATTGGATAGCCTCGGAAAAGGTTGGTCTCCTCGGATGGGTGGATTTGGGATTGATCGTATAGTCTAATACAGTATAATAGGTTTAACGGGAGCTTGAAGTCTCTAGATACATAACGTCCTCCCTTGTTTTCCATTGCACTTGTAAGCCCCCCCCCCCCCCACCCCTCTCTTGACGGCAGCTGGAGCGATCTTCTCGCACCTGCTCCGCTCATCGATTTACCATACTGTGGTTTATAAAGAGCCTTTTTTCCCCCTCAAAACGGATATTAGGACCCTGCATGGGGACAGGCGGTTTTTGACTGGCTAATACGCATTATCCAGCGAAGTGTCACCAAGACTTCTTCCTGTCTAGTGACTGCGGGCAGCAGTGTAGCGTTCGGATGCTGCTTATTAGGATCCCATCGTTGCTTCACTAAAGGGCTGTTATGGGAATGAGGTTTGACTTTAATAGCAGATGTTCATAGTATGATACACCAGGACACTGGGGCCGTGGCTGCGCGTGGCCTGAGAGGGAAAGAAAAGGTGCCTGAGTGCCCATTTGCAAAGGAGTGAGTCCACATCCCCGAGCAAGAAATGGAAGAGAAACAAGGGACAGAAAACGAAAGAAAGGTTAGGCTCGGTGGTATGTGAGGGAGAGTAACAGGGGAGCGAGAGGTCGGGAAGTAATAGGGGAGTGGCGGCCGATAGTTGAGTAAGGTGAGTTTGCGATGGTGAAGTTGGGAGGAGAGCGGGGAGGTGAGAAAGAATTAGAAGCAGTCTAACGGTAAAATAGGCAGAAAAAGGTTGGTAGTGAGGGGAATTAATCTCGGAAAGACACTATTTTGCATGATACGGCGGATAATCACTAAATCTAGCAAGCCAGTACGAGTGATATTGAGTGATGATTGCACGTCCCACGTCTGACATTTTCCTCTTATCTAGCTTAGGAATTTACAAAGAATGTACAGCATAAGAAATTAATTAGGGTTAAATGTAGACTTCCGGCCTCCCGGGAATAAAGATATCACCGTTGTCATCAAATTTTGAATTCTATCATCACAAACCCCCTTATTTTCCTTAATCAGAACAGGCCCAGGATGTCCTCGTTTGCTTTCTTCTGTTGTTGTGGTCGTGGAGGCGCTGCTTGAGGACTGAGATTTAATCCTTCAAATCCATCTAATACTCCACTGTTTGCATTTCCATTTGCGGGCACTGCAGACTCCGTGCCGAATAAACTGAGAAGGTCGTCCAGATTGTTACCCGTACCGCTGGTAGGTGATGCCGGTGAAGCCACACGGGGGGAGCCTGTAACAAGCGATTCTAGACCTCCTGGCGGAGGTGTTTGAGTAGATGCGCTTGCGGGTGCTGCCCCATCGAAATCAATATCAAGTAGATTTTCCATGTTTTGCCCTTTGGCGGCTGCAGAAGCTTGTATGGGGTTTTCGCGGGCGTTCTGTAGTTGCTCCCTGTAGAGGTGGTCAGCGCCAGGATAGACTAGTAGAGTATGAGATCTCACTCTATAGCTCTCTTTTGAACAGCGTCGGCTCCAAATCTTCCTTGCCCAACAAAAGTTGCTGCAGGTTTGTGATAAACGGAGGCCAAAGTCGATATCTCCCCGAGCAATTCCTCGAGAAGCCCGGTCGGTAGCGATTGGATTATGGAGGTAATGGGCGGTTTGTCAGAAAGAACGATGTTCTGCGATAGGGTTAGTAATGATAAATTTATGCCATTGGTGATAATGCACCAGGCTCACCTTAGCCACTTCAGGGTCTTTGGAGAGCAACCGCCAGTAGACATATGCTCGATCCCGGATATCCGGATTGTCGCATTCTGATGTTGCGCTTTGAAGAATTTGTTGTACGACTGCTTGGGATTGTGGTTTTTTCAAGAAGAGCTTTACACCCGCTGTTAATAGTTGCAGTTGTACCTGAGTATATTCATCCTTGAAGCCTTCCATAAAAGTTTGCAGTAACTCATCGGCGTTGTTTATTTTTTCGGCATATTCACCAATGACCCAGATCAGCGATCCTCTAGCGTTTGGCTCATCGAGCTCATCTAAACTTTCACAAAGCTTAGGGATAATCCCCTCATATCCGGGATATTTTCGGAATATATCCTTTTGCATGTTAGCTGGACGGATACTTTGAGACACTGGTAAGGACGGTAAAACTTACCTTGATAACGACAATTGCCTCTTGGACAACATAGTTCACTTTGGTGTTGATCAGTTCTAGCAGCACATTAACGCATTTGCTTGCAGCACCATCTATCTTGATTGCGCACTGCCCAATAGCTCGTACCGCCCGCCGCACGAAGTCCATATCTACCTCAAGTGCGTATTCTTTTAATTCTGAGAGAAGTTGGTCGACATTCTTTTCATTGGCAATCCGAATCATGATTTCGAGTTTCTCTAGCTTAACGTAGGGTGGGTCATTGTATTTACAGAAGAAGACCCGCATTTCTTTTGTAAGTATATCTGGTTGTTTTTGAAGGAGGAGGTTGATGTTTCGTAGAGCAACGTATTGTACCTCTGGTTGAGAAGATACGAGAGTAACTAGATGGTATTAGCTAAAACTCCTAACTCCCAATGCGTGATTGTCCCACCAAGAGGAGGTGCCATTTTCCGAAGATACTGGCGACACAGCTCTGCGCTGATCACTTTCATGTGTAAAAACACCACCTTTACAGCAGCAAGTACCACACTGGGGTTCACGTGCTGAAACTGCGGTACAACTCTTTCACAGATATGTTCGGCTTCCCTCACATCCGCCGCCTTGTACTCGGCAAGAGTGGTAAGAATGGTTATTCTACCCCATCTGTTTTGTTTATTTTTTTTTCTCCCATTAGTTTGTAGGGGATACAAGCAGGAATAAAACGCATCATGGAAACCTTACTCTGTGCACTCGTTCAAGGCCATCAGCAGTTTTTTAAGAATTGCAGGTGTGACAGCCAGGGCTTCCGTCTCCGGAGCAGCTTCATTGATCTCTGCAAGGGCTGTCACAGAATTTGCAACCACCTGGCGGGTAAGGTTCAGCAAGCGTTGGAATCACTACCTAAGGAGGCTTCTCACCATGGGATTTGAATCACCAATCATCTCCTGGAGCGTTGTAAGAAATCCGTTCTCCAAACATAATGATGGACTAAGATCAAAAAGCTTCGCTACGCAGATAGCCGCCGTTTTTCTTACGTACGGACTCTCGTCCTGTCGCCGGATATCGTTAGTCTAACTTTCTTATTCTAACGTGACGTATAATAGTTACTTACCTTTAGCGTTTTCCGCAGTGGCTCCTCCATATAGTCAACAATTTTGTCAACGCGAATACAGCCCATGGTCCTGATAGCCAACGCTCGTATCAATGGATTTGGGTCCTCCGAATCCTGCAATCCTAGGAATTAGAACCCCCTAATGTAGACTCCGTAAGTTTGACAAACCTGCACAAATGTGTTGACGGCGAGAATGCAGAGGTCTGGATGTGTCTTTGCGTAGTTCCTAGGATATGATATTAGAACCCCGTGCACACATGGACTTTTCGGTGGAGGGACGCGAACATCAGGTAGAGGTAGACGAGCTTCTTCTGATCGAGATCGCCGGTTGCCTAGACGTGGCGTTAATAGTACACTCTCGCAAGAAGGGTTATGGGAACCGCACCATATTTTTGATAATGTCGGGAAACAGAGCGGACACATCTTTCCCCAATGTCATGGCAGCAATAGTGTTCCTGATTGCATCCTTCCTGTGAACGAGCCATCTCAGCAAATGGCTACCAGAAACTAGAGGAAAAAAATGAAGCCCCCAACTAACCTCTCATGGGCGAACTGTGAATTCAAACCGGTCCTCAACTCAAAGGTTTCTCCCTTTCGTGGAGCGACCGGGAACATGCTCCTGATTCTGTTGGCCGCCATGGCGGTGTTGGGTGGAGGAGTTTGGTGCGGGTAGAACTAACGTTACTAGTATTGATGGTAATAATGGCCCCGGAGGATATCGATTTGACCGTGCTAAGACTTGGGAGGTCCTGAAGCATGTGCGTGTTGGATCGGGGGTGAGTGGGGTGAAGCGGGAGTGTGCGATAAGTCAAAGTATGGTTGTGGTCAGCCCCCATCTGAAACGTGGACTTGACAGGGACGGGTACAGTACGATACCGTAATGTAGCAACCAGAGCTCGTTATCCCCGCCACGGCCTGTCGGGCTGCAGGGTAACATCTTGAAACTGCTCACTTTGGAATTTTTAATCTATGGTATGATACCATCACTTAATTAAATGCCACCGACATGATCCCACAACCAGAGGATAACCTCAATTAACCATCTCTGAGCTAACAATAGAATCTATTATGGTGAGTTGTATCTTTTCATTTCATGGCATCGCTCGAAAATTAATTGTACCCAGGCCTCATTCGAGTTTCCAAATTTGCGAAAGCTATTCGCTGCTTCACGGAGCGAACAGGAAGAAAGTGCCTACAGCAGAACTGCGGTTGGTCAACCCTAGGACACTACCCCCAACGGGAAATACAAACTGATATATCACGGAGAGAACCAAGTTTTATAATCTGCTATTCTTCGTAACCTCTATCGCCGCCTTCAGCTATGCTGCACAAAGGCTCGCACCCACGAAAGTATTGAATCGGTAAATCGCGTCTCAATGTTATTATAACGGGGGAGCCGCTCTGCGTTGTAGAGAAAAACATGTTATGCTATAAGCTACACAATAATGCACTTGCCCCGCAGAACTTAGACCGGTCCAAATGTCCATAATCCCTCATCCAGCATAAATATCAGGCAAACGATCATACAGGAACCCGAGCGGATTGTAAAATGAAACAGGATAAGCACTAGACAGGTCTTGATCATTAATAGTGACAGGCTACCAGTGTCGGAAAAGAAAGAGGGGTATAATAAACGAATGGTGTATTAGTAGATAGCATCAATCAGAATCGCTTTGGTCATCGAGGAAAGCGAGATCTTCCATTCCACGAATTTGCTGCACTCAAAATCAGAATTCGGATATCGGAAGAGAAAGGAGTAAAGTGAACCTTCTTCTCTGTGGTTGGCGCACTTGGAGCGCTCCTAGTTGACCTGGTATTTACTCTACCATTGTCCATTTTCGCCCATCCGGCCCCTTCTTGGACAGCCTCAACTTCGGCCCGCAGCTCTCGCTCTTCCTTGATCTTTTTGGCTTTTTCATTGGAGTATCTGGGTGTCATGCCTACACCTGTGAGCAGGCCTGTGAGATGTTTGATTTTCTCTTTAGGAGTTTCAAACTTCGCTAATTCTTTTGACCAGAATTTGCGGATCTGGTGGAGAGTTAGAGTGTTTTGACAGACAATCAAGTAGATAGTACGTACCCCACACTTGAGCAACCATTGTTGAAGCGTTTTTATCTTTTCCTCGTCAGGGCTTAGGTTACTATCTGCCTTGGACTATTCAATGTTAGCAAAGTAGCTACCAACTTCCTTCACACATTACCTACCGATCCCTTCTTCGATCTCTCCTTTGAGCGTGACTTGGATACTTTGGCTCTCCCTTGTTTTTTGCTGCTGCCTGCGCTCGGATTTTGAGGTCTCGACTTCTTTAGTGGTGTCGGGTCCAATACCAGAGACATTTCACTGTCATTCCCAGAGGCTTCATCAACAGGGGCTCCGTCTGCTGAAAGTTTGGCTCCACCATTTTCAGCATTTCCTTCCTTTACCGCTACCTCATGCATTTTCTTAGCCTTCTTGGGAGTAGTAGATTTTGTAGAACTCTTTGTTCTTTTTGTTATCTTCTTAGGGGATGTATCCAACTCGGACAATTCGCTCTCGCTTGCCTGCTTAGCTGTGTCTCCCTTGGAAGTCTTCGCTACTACCTCTACTACCTCTTCATGGAGATCTTTATCTCCATCTTCAAGTATAGAAGGTTTTGCTATTGCTTTGCGGGAGACGCTCTTAGGAGAGGTTACACCTTTTGCCTTTTTTGCTCGTTTCTTGGGATATTCGGTCGCACCGTCGCCGGGCCCGTCCTCCACCTTTTTCACTTCTGAGGCTCGCTTCTTAGTGGGTTTCTTTGCGGCCTTGACTGGTGATTGGTTTTCTGGGGTGGGTTCTCTCCGTGAGATTGGCGGCTCTGCGGCTTCCGCCAAAGCGTTTTGTTTACTCTAGGAGACGCGTTAATTATAGCTCAGAGACTGTGAGCACAACAGTGGTGGGGCGATAAACATACTGCCTCGTCCTCAATGATCGACTTAGATTCTGCTTTCCAAAACGAGTCCTGCTTCAAGAAGCCATCCCCTAGGCTGAGCTCATCTTCAACGCGGGCTCTGATATATTTGATGGTTGTTCTAGAAGGGTCTTCAACAAACTGTTTCTGGACAGCGTTGCGAAGAGCAGTGGTTATGACTCTGGCATCTGGGGCTGAGTCGATAGAGCTAAGGTCGCCGTCGCTATCCATAGTGAAGTTTTTTTTCTTTTTTTTTCTCCCTGGTGGTGTAGAACTCGTTCTACGAGATTGAGAACCTCGAGACAACTTTGTCGAAGAGGATCGGGAATCCGCACAAGCGATGTTTCACGCCAAGAGTTTTTCCCAACAAGGCTAGACCAGGGAGCCACAGGGCAAAGTGTGGTGTTGGGATTTCAGCCGCACTCTCCAGTGCATTTGAGGCTCTTATCAGTACGAGTAGCTCGACCCATGATTCTCGTACGGTAAAGAGCCGCACAAGCGAGGGGCATCACTTGGGTGTTGCACCGAAAATTCTCCCACGCTTTATTTGCCCCGCCAACTGAAGAAACACAAGCAACTATCGGTATTGAAACTACTACTTGCATACCTTTTCTCGTCTCGGTAGTCCACATATCCATTACTCTCTCAATGCTGTCCCCACGGCTCTATATACTCAACGTCGCTAAAGACCCCGCGGAAGCGAGTCGGATATCACAAGAGTCTGCAAAACGTGCGCACACTTGTACACCCAATATCTTATCCAGCATCAACTGACACTACAATACAATATTACAGGAATTCAGGATAAGGAACTCAAGCTCTTGGATCTTGTTCAGTCTCTCGAGGAATACTTGACAGACGATGACAAAACTACTAGAGCAAAAGCCATTGGATACCTCTCTTCTGTCTTGGGATATTTAGACCCTAAGGTATTATCGCGGCAGCAAGGTTTCAACCCCTTTCCTCTGAAAATCTTCCCTACCCGACATCATTATGTCAATCTAATATGTCTCAAAGTGGCTGCGATTGCGCAGTTTCTATGCGATCGTCTAGAGGACGAAACTGGTCTTAAGGAGACATCTCAGGGCCTCTTCGCCCTTCAAAAGTCTTCAAGGTTCGGAAAGGAGGAGGCTACCCTGGTTTCTTCTGCGTACGGGTCCTTATAGCACTGGGCGTAGTGAGCTTATGAAGTAATAGACTGACATGTGCAAAAGTATGTGCAAAGTAGATCTGCAGAAACACCCGCAGGGAACCCGTTTTGCGGCTCTAACCTTGATTGACGGTTTAATGGCGAACCAGCGTGATGGTGTGTACGGTGATCCTTAGGGCTGAGAATCAGTGTTCTGACAGCCTGCTTACAGCATTAAGGGCCATGGGTGGAAAATTCGTCACCGGCTTTGCTGAATTGGTCGGCGGTGAAAAGGATCCACGAAATCTGATGATTGTCTTCTCTATTGTCAAGGCGATACTCGTTGAATTCGACATCGTGCCACACATTGAAGTTAGTGATGGGTTTACCGGTCAAAGTCCCTCGAGCTAATTCTTATCCTAGATACTTTTTGATGTGGTCTATTGCTACTTCCCGATAACATTTAAGCCACCGCCAGACGACCCATACGGAATAACAGCGCAAGACCTCAAGCTCCGACTGAGGGAATGTATTGCTTCGACAAAGTACTTTGCAGGACACGTGTTTCCTCAGCTTATCGAGAAATTGGATTCAACTTCCTTGAGTGTTAAGGTTGGTACCACGCGCTCTATATCAGCCCCATTGACGTGTGGCTTACGACCTGTTTAATCCTGTAGAAAGATGTTCTTCAAACCATAACTGCTTGTGCTCTCTCATATGGCCCACAAACAATTTCAACACATTCTACGCAGTTATGGGATGCTGTTAAATTCGAGGTCCTTAATTCCACGGAAGAGGATGAATTGGCAACCGAAGCTCTATCAGCCATTCGGGCTATTGCGGAGGCGCTCTCATTTGGATTGAAATTCTCAGTTCCCACAACCTCCCCGCTGGCGAGATATCTTGGCGGAATAGTCAAAGAGTGTCTGAAACTTCTACAAGAACCCCAGCAAAAGCAAGCCAGGCCCGCTGGGAAAATTCTCTCTAAATCAGCAACAGCCACTGCAGTAGCACACACCTTCATAGTAGAAAAGACTATGCCGGCACTACTCTTAATACACGGTGATGCTGATAGTTTAGCCAAGCAACGGGCGCTCATGGAGATCTTGAACTTGTTGTTTCAGTCTACCCTTCAAATATTTGGAACATGGGGAGATTTAACAGCAGAACAGGTACTTCCAAACCCCTTTACAGAGTACACCGACAAGTTATTTGAAATTTATTCGCAAGCGCTTATGGGCAGCTTGCGAGAGGAATTGGGCTTGAGGATCACGGCTTTGAGGGGGTTGGTTTTACTATGCAAGACTCGAAGGTTATTTCAAGAGAACGAAATAGGTATGGTGGTGCAATACCTTGATCAGGTTTTATTAGAGGTCGAAGAGAAGGAGGAAATGAAAGAATTGGCACTCCAGGGACTAAAGGATATCTCAAAGATAAAGCCAAACCTCATTATGGACATAACATTCCCTGAATTTATGGCACAGCTTCCCGATTCTGAAAAGGAGGTGGATCCATCAAAGCCATATATCGCGACGCTGGAAGCACTGGCCAAATTAAGCTTAGGAAGATCTGTATTCCAAGTTCTCTTAACCCGGCTTTTGAACAAGCTTGACATTGTTCTCAGAGGTACCGTCCAAACACACCGGTTCACTCAAACCGTCAAAGCTGATCTTGTGAAAAGGAAAATCTGGCCCAATGTATCCCCAGGCAATCCTTTCTACGCTTTTGTATGTTTTACAGAAAAGGCCAGAGAGTTGTCAGGAAGATATAAAGACGTACTTCGCTCGACTTGCCGTCCCTCTGCTCACAAAAACAATAATTCCCACAGTTGATAATTCCAGCGAATTTGAAGACTTCCGGATATTGACGGACGATTCCATTCTGGATGTTACCGGCCGTCTGCTTAACATTATTATTGGATCATTGGGTCTCGAGGAACAGATAAATGTTTCACGGCAGTTAATCAATATTTTCGTTCTCGGCATTCCGAGTGACTATATGCCCAAAACGCACGCCGAGATTGTTGCTCGCGATTTTAGACCCTTGCAGCAAGCTGCAAACAAAGAGCAAGCAGGGTGCACTATTTTGTTCACTTATGCATTAGCTGGTTTAAGGCGGGAGGTTTGACCCACTTTTTCTAGTATTTCAGAAAACTGCCACTAACTATTGTATCATCCTGCCATAGCTAGCGTTAACGACCCTGTCTATCCCGGATCTCATTCAGCAGAATGTTGAGCTTGCTACCCAAACAGCTCATTCCACTCGGAAAATGGCATACCTATATCTCGTTGCTCTATTGGCAAACAAATGGATGAAAAAGCCAGGCGATTCCGATCTCCTTCAAAAAATTACGGCTGATCTCTTGGAATCAGTTTCCAGCTCCGTATTAAGCTCCCGGGAATACGACAACCTAGTTGGGCAAAAACTGCAGACTGTTCTTTGGATTACGAAGGCCATAGTAGTTCGAGGCGACAGGTATGGGATGGAGGTCACTGAGAAAGTAGTAGCATTGCTTGGGGACAAAAACTATGGACCGACAGCGAGCAAAGGGTTTTCGGCATTGCTCGGCAACGATGAGTTTATCACTAAAGACAATTACGCCATCATCAGGCCCCTGACAAAACAAAAGATTTTCACTTTTTGTGTGCCGAAAATTGTGGAAGGCTTTCGCGTTGCTGATTCAAGTATTCTCAAAAGCCCATTCACTAAAACCTTGCACTTTAGATCACTTAGCTGACCTCTTTCCGTAGCTACAAAACCCAACTACCTTGTTGCACTTTCCAACATCCTAAGGAATATTCCCTCCGCGGTTATCCTTCCGGAGCTTGGAAGGCTTCTTCCTCTCCTTCTCCAATCATTGGACCTTCCTGACCCCAGTGTCAAATCAGCTACCATTGAAACCTTACTCATTACCGTCAAGGAGTCTGCCGACGCGATGAAGGAGCACATATCATCTCTGAGTACAAGGCTATTAAATGCCTGTATGAACCGTGAAGAAAACCCGCCAAGGATTAGATCAGCGGCACTGCGGTGCTTGGGGACTTTTCCTGGAGCTCTTAGGACCGATTTGTTGCTTCCGTACAAGAGACAGGTAATTCGAAGTTTGGCGATGGCTCTCGACGATCCGAAGCGGAACGTTAGGAAGGAGGTAGGTTTGGTTCTATCATAAAATCGGTTTACCGAAAAACTAACGTCTATGGCTTGTAGGCGGTCGACTGTCGAGCGAAGTGGTATTCTTTAGACGAGCCGGAAGATTAGGATAGATTTGAATTTTGCTAGAATTCCTTCGTCTTCTTTTAGTATGATAGACAATATGGCGTTACCTGGGTGTTAACTTAGGTCTCAGGGAAGGCTCTCTCAACCCTCATAACATAGTTGTCATATCATACATCATATAGCATTTCTTTAAGCTTGAATTTTTGCTATACGGCTGGGGCTTGGGGCTTTAAGGCGCTCTGTGTATCATATTTAATAGTTGGAGGACGTTAACCTAATACGAGTGAGTGTATGTGACTCTTGGCATATTCACAGCGCGCGTTTCCTTAGCTTACCGTATGTGTGTGTACTGTACCATACAGTATCACTATTTTTGTTTCTCTGGCGGAAAGTTCCGGGATGCTACGGTACGGTGTTTCGATGAGGAATACCGGTATTCGGGTGATCCGCGACTTTTAGGGTTTGGGCCAGGGTTCCGTTCTAGTCGTATAGCTGCGTGTACGAAGGACTAAGAGTATCGTGATGACAGCTGCCACGTATCATAAGTATTTTTCAGAACGCGCCTGGTGTTCAGGACACTCTTGCGAACCTTCAGACTTAGTGCTCTCTCAATATTAGCAGCTGCGTTCTGAGCCATTCAACATCGTAACGATCCCCACGTCTCTTCTTGCATTTCCCCCTCTTACCTCCTCTCCTTCTTATCTGAACTTGATACCCGAAGCTGAGGAAAAGGATCTCATCTGCCTAGTGCATTCCTCCGACCTCTAGAAATACCTCCCCCTTTCCTTCCTGACCTCGACCCCTCCCCCTAGCCATCCGCTATGCAGTCCATGCTTACCAAGGTATGGTTCGCTCTTTGAACCTCTAGTAGGGGGAATGAAATCACTTATTCTACAAAATAGTTCGAATCTAAATCTTCACGAGCGAAAGGCATTGCATTCCATCCTAAACGGTTGCTCTCCCTGCCGTCTCTCTTTCCGGATTTTTTTTTTGATGTTATGTCGTTTACTAATTCCGTGAAATTGAAATTAATTTAGGCCATGGATCCTTGTCTCACTTCACACCTCTACCATCCAACTTTGGGATTACCGTATGGGAACACTGATAGATCGGTTCGAGGAGCATGACGGACCTGTTCGGGGAATCGATTTCCATCGTACTCAGCCGCTGTTCGTGTCGGGGGGTGATGATTACAAGATTAAAGTCTGGTCCTATCAGACCCGCCGTTGCTTGTTTACCTTGAATGGACATCTCGATTATGTTCGGACCGTATTTTTCCATCATGAACTTCCCTGGATTCTGTCCTCCTCGGATGATCAAACGATTCGCATATGGAATTGGCAGAATCGGTCGTTAAGTATGGAGCTCTATGCTTTTTGGGTTGAGCTTGCGATCTTTTGTGGATTCTTGACTGATAGTGTCTAACTTAGTTTGCACAATGACTGGCCATAATCATTACACTATGTGCGCCCAGTTCCACCCCAAGGAGGATCTAATAGTCAGCGCTTCCCTAGATCAGAGCGTCCGTGTGTGGGATATCTCGGGGTTACGGAAGAAGCATTCGGCACCTACATCAATGACATTTGAAGATCAGATGGCCCGCGCAAATGCTAACCAGGCAGACATGTTTGGGAATACGGATGCAGTGGTGAAGTTTGTGCTGGAGGGTCACGACCGGGGTGTCAATTGGGTCTCCTTCCATCCTACCTTGCCGTTAATCATCTCAGCTGGCGATGACAGGAATGTAAAATTGTGGAGAATGAGTGGTAGGTGACGAATTGCGTAATTTTGGGTTTACCGAGAGCGCAAGAAGCTAAAATGCTACTTGTGCAGAAACCAAGGCTTGGGAAGTCGACACCTGTAGAGGCCACTTTCAAAATTCGTCAGCTTGTCTCTTCCATCCTCACCAGGATTTGATCCTATCGGTAGGGGAGGACAAGACGATTCGAGTTTGGGATCTGAATAAGAGGACTGCGGTGCAGTCTTTCAAACGGGAAAATGATAGATTCTGGGTCATTGCCGCTCACCCGGAGATTAATTTATTTGCTGCCGGTCACGATAACGGTGTGATGGTCTTCAAGCTAGAACGGGAGAGACCAGCATATGCGATCCACCAAAACAACCTCTTCTTCATCAACAAGGAGAAACACGTGCGGTCTTTTGATTTCACGCAAAATATTCAGAGCCCGTCTATGTTGTCCTTGAAGAAATTGGGCGCACCGTGGGTTCCACCAAGAACATTGTCTTACAATCCCGCTGAACGTTCGATTTTGGTCACGTCTCCCACGGACGGAGGAATCTATGAGCTTATCAATTTGCCAAAGGATGCTTCTGGCGCCGTTGAGCCGACTGACACTAAGCGAGGCACCGGAAACTCCGCGGTGTTCGTTGCCCGAAATCGTTTCGCAATCTTTAATTCAAGTTCGCAAACCATTGACATTAAAGATCTCTCGAACTCTACTACCAAGACGATCAAAACACCCACCAACATCAATGATATATTCTTTGGCGGCACTGGTTGTCTATTGCTCTGCGCACCCTCGACTGTCATTCTCTACGATATCCAACAGAAGAAGACTGTTTCTGAATTGGCTGTATCTGGCGTTAAATACGTCGTGTGGTCAAACGATGGGCTCCACGTGGCGTTACTTTCAAAGCACAATGTTACTATTGTTACGAAAACTCTTGAACAGGTTTCTTCTCTCCATGAGACCATCCGCATCAAGAGCGCGACCTGGGATGATGTCGGCGTGCTCTTATATTCCACTCTGAACCATATCAAATATACTCTATTGAATGGGTGCGCTATCTTGCTTCCTTCCCAGATTTATATGAACATGCGCCTAACGATGGTATTGTAGTGATAATGGGATCATTCGTACTTTGGATGAGACTATATACCTTACTAAAGTTAAGGGGAGAAGTTTATTCTGCCTTGACCGCCAGGCAAAACCGAAGCTTTTGGACATTGATCCTACCGAATATAGATTCAAGCTTGCTCTAGTCAAGAGAAATTATGACGAGATGCTTTCTATAATTAAGACTTCCAACCTTGTTGGACAAAGCATTATCTCCTATCTCCAGAAAAAGGGATATCCAGAGGTGGGTGATAAATTATGATACGTTCTCGAGTTGGGGCAGCGCTGATCTCCCCAGATTGCCCTCCAATTCGTACAGGACCCTCAGACTAGATTCGAGCTGGCTATTGAATGTGGAAATCTTGAGGTTGCGGTTGAAATGGCCAAGGAGCTGGATCGTCCGAAGCTCTGGACCAGGCTTAGCGCAGAGGCTCTAAGCCAAGGTAACCACCAGGTTGTCGAGATGGCCTACCAGAAACTCCGGAGCTTTGACAAACTTTCATTCTTGTACCTTGTCACCGGAGATACAGAGAAGCTCAACAGAATGGCAAAGATCGCCGAGCACCGCAATGACTATACCGCCAGGTTTCAAAATGCTATCTATCTCGGGGACGTGGAGACTAGGATCCAAATGCTAAAGGAGGTCGATCTATGTAGGAATTTCTTCTTTGCCTACTGCTCTGATGCGCTGACTTTTGTTCGCCGCAGATCCTCTTGCGTATGTGACCGCTAAAGCCCATGGACTTAATGAGGAATGCGAGGCGATCCTCGAAGCTAGTGGTTTAACGGAGGAGGACATTAGGATTCCTGAGATTAGCATACCAGTCTCGACCCCCAGAAATATAGTTCCAACGCATCAAACGAACTGGCCTCTTCGGGCTGCTTCTCAGTCGTTCTTCGAGAAGGCTTTGTTGGGTCAAGTTGAGTCAATGGCGATCGAGGATGAAACACCTTCTGGAACGAACGGCTTTGGTATGGATGAGGATGCTGATGATGGCAAAAGGTATAACGGAGATCTCTTGGATGTAGAGGGGGAAGAAGATGCTGCAGGATGGGATGTGGGAGATGACGATCTCAATCTGGAGCAAGCCGATGAACTTGCTGTTGAAACCGATGGCGCTGGTGTTGGTATGAGTGAGGCAGAGTTATGGGCGAGGAATTCACCAATTGCTGCCGATCATGTAGCGGCGGGATCATTTGAAACCGCCATGCAACTTTTAAATCGCCAAGTCGGTGCCGTAAATTTTGAACCTCTGAAGCCGAGGTTCATGGAGATTTACCAGGCTAGCAAGACTTACCTGCCCGCAACCGTTGGCCTCCCTCCACTGGTTAACTATGTCAGGCGCACTGTTGAGGAGACAGATTCCAGGAAAATTTTACCTGCCATTCCTAGAGATTTGGAAAGTGTACGCACCAATGATCTCCAGAAGGGATTCGCTGCAATGAAGGCCAATAACCTAGAGGAAGGGGTAAAAATATTTAGGGGCGTGTTGCATAACCTTATATTAACCACTGTGCAGAGCAAGTCAGAGATTGAAGAGGTTGGTCTCTCATTCCTGTGTATCGTACTCCACTAACTCAATCTCGGCTGATAGGCAAAAAAGATTATCCGCACTGCTACGGAGTACATCATTGCTATGTCAATTGAATTGGAGCGTAGGACTATCGCAACCGATGAATCCCAGACCAAGCGTAACCTAGAGTTGTCAGCATACTTTACCAAGCCCACCCTTGAGCTTCCTCACAGACAGATTGCTCTCATGTCTGCGATGAAGCTAGCATACACAAAGAAGAACCATATCCTCGCTGCACACTTTGCATCCCGGGTATTGGCTAATAGCAGCCAAGGGAAGAATGCTGAAAATGTAGGGTCTCACCAGGGGCGAGTGACATGTTGTGATTGGACCACCGCTAACGATATGAAGGCGCGTAAAATCAAGACCGTATCGGAGCGTAGTGGACAAGACGCCATTGAGATTGAGTATGATCAGTTTGCGGAATTTGACATTTGCGCGGCTTCCTACACCCCTATATATAGTGGACAGCCATTTGTACAGGATCCATTTACGGGGGCAAAGTACCATCCGAGGTACAAGAGAAGTATTTGCAGGGTTAGTCAAGTTACAGAGATTGGAGCGCCAGCATCAGGGCTCAGGCTATTGGCACAATAGATATCTCGGCTGTCATGGTTGGGTAGGTTGGGCTGGGTTAGAGTGGTTGGGGCGGATTGGGCGCGGGATATAAAAAGAAAGTTTGGTCTTGTCGTATTTTTCTTCTCCTTGATTTAACTATCGGCAATGTTTAATAGGTGAACTGGACGATTGTGGTTTATCTGTTTCCTACTATTTTTTCTACTTCACTGTTAACAAAGGGATTTTTTTTTTCTTTCACCTTTTTCTCTCGACGACTTTTGATGTAATCCTCGGCCTCAACCTCCTCGACGATATTTACGGCTAAAAATAAAGTGTCTTGCGTTTTGTGTACAAGTGTCATGTTTGGGGAGGCAAATGTAGAGAAGCGTATAAAAACGATTGAAATTGAGTGGGGCCAGAGCTAGCAGGTGCTATGGGGTCGATTGTGCCCAACGCCAATTCAGTGAGTAGTCTCACAGAATCCACTGTCCCCCTCTCTTCGTCCATTGGTGTAACGAGGACGCCGGGGCGACCATTCCAGCCCAGCCCGGTCCAATCCAATCACGAAGTCAATTGCCGGTCCCAAAACCTTCCCCGTCTGTCCCCCTGTCTCGGCGTCTCCATCCATCAAGCCCATGCCTCGCCCTGCCGAAAAGGTGCAGATTCAGAAACCCTGATACATCCCCCTTATTTTTTTTTTATGTACAGTATTTCTTTGTTTGTTTCCCTTTCGGCTCCCCACGGAAAGCTGCAGGATGGACTGTCGGTGTGTAGGATACAAGTCGGACATATCGACTAACTTATCATACCAGTCGCTAAATATGCCAAGGATATGAGGGACTATGGTACTGTACAGTGCGATGGAATGAGGAGGTATTCCGTATGCATGCGATGAACAACATGGAGAATCCGTCCCGGCCTGCGGCATGGAGTGAAGTGTAGCGCGGTATCCGGGTGCTAGGTGTCATAGTTAGGACTACTCTATTCACGTCGGGCCGACAAGCCGATCCCGTTACCAAAGCATAGTAGTGTACTGTACTCGAGTACAGTACAGTATAGTACAGTGCAGTATAATTCTGCCATCGTAACACAAACGCGGTAAAATCTGCTAGGCCATCCCCTGGGACTGTGTGCCCATTCACGGCAGCTTGCTCCTTACCACAGTATAGTACCGTACACTGTTGTGCCGACGGTGCCTATCATACACCGCCTCGCACGAGCTGATGGGCGGGAGTTCTGCTAGCGTCGAGGTGTTTCTCAATAGGACTGCTATTGCACACAACCAAAATCTGGCAATTTTTCTTAGGTCCGGCAGGTATGCAATGGTAATTCTTTTTAACAAGGCCTCGACACTACGAGTACGGGTAGCGGCTCATGTATGGAATCTCCGGTTGCGGGGGTAATAGGAGGGTGTAGGACTGCCTTCTGCCCAGGTGCGAATTTGCGGTGCAGTGTTCTGCTGTATCATGTCCGGAAGGTGGTAATTGTAGTAGGGTGAAACGGCTTTGAGGGTTATGGTGGGTACCTGCCTTATCATTTATCTAGTGGGCTGATTGGAGGGGCGAAGGCAGGAAGGAGGGGAGGGAGGGAGGGAGTTAGATGGCAGGGGCGAGAGGGGGTACCAATGGGGAAGTTTTTTTTTTTCCTTCTCACTTGCAGATTGATCATTTCTGGTTTTTTGAATGGCGGGAGAGGGCGGATGCACAGGAAGGGGGGGGGGGGTCTTGGTATGGTAGTGTGATAGGGAATGTCCGCTGTGTTGGCTGAGTGGAGGATGTGGGCTTTGATAACCTAACGATTGGTAAGATTTAGAATGGCGAGTTTTTAGGTTACTAGAGTCGACTTCATTGAAGATTGATACTCTACGAGGAGGTTCGATTGTTAAAACAGGGTCTCGGTGACACCAAAAAGGGCTCATTTTAAACACTCCTAGCTTGCCTGAAGGTAGTATATAATTCATGAAATCAATACTATAGTGCAGGTAATTCCCTAGAATTTCTAGGTAAAAATTGGGGGAAATTTCACACTCCACTAAGGGGGTCGAGAGCTCAGGGTCTGGATTGGATGGTCTTGTAATGTGCTCTTTGTATGGGAAACATATAAAATTAGGAGCACCTTTTGCCTGCTATTATTACTGGTATTGAATTATGAGCACTAACTAGTGGAGCTGGTAGCGTATGCATAAGAATGTCTAGATGGCTCTAAAGGCCCTGAGGGATTTTGGGGGGGTTTTTTTGGTGTAAAATGGGCGGGGGGGGGGCAAGATCGTACATGGTACACTAGTGTATAACACCCGACATAACACTCGGGGGGAAGCAGGCAAATTACTTACAGTACTGTACAGTATCCTCGGCACTTTACCAGTTATCATACCCGAGTACTGCACGAGCACATTGTTCATCAGCAGCTGTCTTGTTGACATTTGGTGGTCGCTACTGCACAAGCATCATGCTGTGGGTTGACAGCAGATGATGTACGGTAGATACCATGGGATATTAAAAGATCCATATATGATTCTCGGGAGGGTCATGCCATAGAAGCACTGTAACTTACTGTGCGTGGTAGTGAGGATTCCACAGAGCATCTGGCCGACTATCGTGACTTAACCACGCGAACATGTCTAGATAGCCACCCGGGACACCGCACAATACTCGTATGATATACTGCATGCAACTCTATACAAGTGAAATATTCCACACTTGTGCTGTACCGGTAGTCCCGGCGGTGTAGCTCCCAGATCATTGAATTAACCCCCAGCTTCCGAGCATGCATCTGCCAAAAATAACTTGACAGTCGCCCTGATACGGCGCTAATATACTACGGTACAGTACACCGACAAGCAATCCTTCAAAGTTCAAATCCTCTTCTAAAGCGTCACATCGAACCGGCGTGACCGCCATGTCATACAGAAATCACATTCAGAAAAGCTCCATCCCTGGTACGAGCCTACCCCCCCCCCCCCTTCCACTCTAGCAAAACCAGCCAAGTCAGTTTCATTCTTACAGCATATCATCCACTTTCTACTGTATCATACTATGGCACCGCACTGTATCTGCACTCACCGCGTGCCCTGTTAACCCCGCTTCCGTTGGACTCTGGCTCGTGCAATGTCAAACGCCCTCCCCATTGTCTGATCCAAGAGATCCTTCGATTCGCCTGTTAAGACATCCTAGTAGCATTGCGGAGTGAAGTGCATATTGCCTTTTTTTTCTTTTTTTTTCTTTTTCTCGTTTAGCCCAACTTTATTTTGTTATCTCAGATTGGAAGAAGGGTGGGGATATCGTGCTTGTTTTCCCTGGATTGGCTTGTGTTTGATTGGCTGGGGGGATGGCGAGGCGAGTGAGAAGGGTTCTGGCATTTCGGTCGGTGAATGCCGGAGGGGTTCAACCAGGGACTTGTACATTGTGAAAAAAGGGTTAGCTTGTTGAGAGGGCTTGCAAGTCAGGGGGAGGATTTGTGGTGCTCTTATGTCTTCTTTATGAGAGTGTCAAAGAGTGACAGGGGTACTTGTATGATAACTTCCTAACTCACGAAATTATTAAGGTTTGGACAAACCGGGAATCGCTCGGACATTCAGAGCAGTTGGCGCCCACACCTACTATTTGGGTAAACTCCTCGCTCCGGAATCTACTGGTCATCCATCCTCCGCCTTGAACTTCAGATTTGCTCCCATGAGAAGAAACTGTTCCTCTATAGGAAGTTGGCGAGTATTTATGATTGTTCCTCACAGTCACGGTAAGATCGACTATTCCAATGCCGCACTGTATTATGGAGTACGGTGTCCTACGCCAAAAAGCCAAAATAACACAATCCCAGCAACCCACATCGGGATTATCTCCAGCCCATTCCACCCACACTGGTCTGCCACCTCCCCCATCGGAAGCCGGCAGGAGGCCCATTTCATCTTCAGGTGTTTGCCACAACAAGAGAATCCCATGTCACCCTGTTACCGAGTGCTGGGGGGTCTAACTGTAAGGCACCACCATGCCAAACCCGGGTAGGTCTCAATCGATTTTGTTTTTAATTTTTTTTAATTTTTCTTTTCGTCTCTCCGAGGGCTAGTAGTAACTAGAAGTGGGGTAGCCATCTCGAAAAGAGAGTCTATTGGGGCGTCGTGAGCTCTACTCTCGTGCGGAAGGGTGGGAATAGGTGATCCTTAATCTAACAGCCGGATGGAAGTCTGTACCGTGTTAGAGGAGACGGCAGCTGTCGATAACCACACGTGTCGACCATTCTACCCGCTCGTCTCCGTCCTAGTTCTAATGCTAACACTAAGCAGCTTCGTCGAGAGATGTAGGTTGTTCCCACGGCGGAGAAGGGGATGGTATCACAGTACGCCGGTATCCATTCAGCGCACCCACTCACCCTTCATCGGTCTTTCCGAAATGTAAATTTCGGGGGGAAAACCCCCCTCCTTTGATTTCAGCTGGGCCCTGGAGTGTGATAACGGATAGAGCAATGGCCCTGTACAAATAAACCAGACGCCCACGTTTCGAATTGCTCCGGTTTCCGCTAGTATCGTATGTTTCTAGTTCTTGTTGGAAAGGGTTTTGATAGTATGACCCTAGGATATAGAACCCTTAGAACTGCCCTTCCATGGTATTCAACGGCTTGAACTAAGGATATAAAACGCCTTTGGGAAGCCCGCACATCTTTCCAACACACGATCTCCACACTTCCCCTCGTCTCCTCCTTCTCCCACTTAACCCCTCCTATAACTTCCTCCTCCCGTTTCCTCTTTTTCTTCCTTCCCTCAACTCATACGCCGGTCTTTCCTACTCCAGAAGCAAGGCTGCAAGCAGCTTACCTCACCGCATTCTTTCCCTCGCCTTGTCTGAGACGCCCTTTTTTGTTGCTTTTATATTTTGGTTCCCCGGCCCAACACCATCCCCTTTCTCGAACGTGATGTTTGGTAGATCCTCTTTTGTTTCCGGCTCCGTTGCCGTCGTGTTAGCGCTCATTACACTTGTCTCGCAGGCGAATGCTTTCTGGCGCTTGCCATGCTTAAACACAATTCTGGTTGAGAGGAATGATCCTATCGTCAATCCGGGTACCGTCTCGGGGCACCTACACACCATTATGGGCGGCAATGGGTTCGATTTTACTATGGACTACGAGAAGGCTCGGGCTTCGACTTGCTCTTCCTGTACGGTCAAGCAGGACCTTAGTAATTACTGGATTCCTAGCCTTTTCTAGTGAGTACTTCTCAGCGGTATATACGGTATATACGTTGTCTTTGATTGGATGAGTGCTAAGAGGTTGGTTTCTTATTTTCTTATAGTCGGGCTAAGAACGGGTCTTTCTTTCCAGTTGAGCAGATTGGTGGTGCCACCATCTATTATCTGTAAGTTTCTTTGGATGAATATGACGAGACATTCTGTTCTAAAATTAGTCAGACAACGTCGTGACCCCCCCGAGGAGAAGTTGAAGGCTTTCCCCCCTGGTTTCCGTATGGTCACAGGGGACCCATGGCTTCGCCATAATAATATTGTTAGTGGACAAGGAGACGCTTTTACCTACATCTGCCTCGACTACAGCGGTCGCTCAAAGGGATTGAAGGATAGATATAACGAATTCCCTGACCGCAACTGTCCTAGGTGCTTACATTTCCCTTTGCGATATATCACGATATCATGCTAACATTGTCTCCAGCGGTCTTCGTGTCCAAATCTTCTTCCCGTCGTGCTGGAACGGCAAGGACCTCGATTCCCCCGACCACAAATCCCATATGGCATACCCTACCAACGTCAACTTTGGTAAATGCCCCACCTCCCACCCTGTGAGGTTTATATCCATCTTTTACGAAGTCATCTTCAACACCAACGCTTTCAAAGACCAATGGTACGACAACAAACAGCCATTTATCCTATCCAACGGCGATCCAACCGGGTACAGTTTGCACGGCGATTTTGTTAACGGATGGGACGTTAACGTTCTCCAGAAAGCGATAGACACATGTAATTCGGCGTCTGGAGTCGTGGAGGAGTGTGGTGTGTTTAAGTTTTTTGAAAGGGATCGGTCCCAGGACTGTATGGTGCCCCCGAGGGTTGAGGAGCAGACCACGGGGTGGTTGGAGAAGCTTCCAGGATGCAATCCCGTTCAGCCCGGTCCCGCACGCGCTATTCAACATGCCAACTGTGGCGCTCAGGAGGATATTGGCGCGCCTATGAAGTACTATACTGACGTTTCTGCTAAGAATTGGGAGTATGTTGGATGTGTCATGTATGTCTATCAATTTCCGTCCATCGGCCCCCCCGTGTACTGGCAATTGCGACGGCCACAATGCTGACTGGGTGGGATAACAGGGACAACTTAAATTCCCGCACTTTCCCGGAGAGGGTGGACTTCAACGACCTCACGGTTGAGAAGTGCATAGACTACTGTGTGAGTAAAGGCTTCGGTTTTGCCGGTATGGAGTACAGCAGAGAGTGCTATTGCGGAAAGTCTGCTCCCCCACAGGACCGCATGGGGTACTCCAGGTGTACCACCCCCTGCGCCGGGGACAGCAAGCAGTACTGCGGCGCTGCTCAGAGGCTCTCGACATATAAGGCTAAGGGACCAGGTTCTGGTACCTCCGACACCCCATAAGGATCCACCGCTACCACCACCACTACACCGCCACAGACCTTTTGGGGACCAAGTAGCTGTGAGGGAGGTTTTGCGGTTTTCGCTTCTTTGTGTAGTATAATTTTGCGGTAGCGTCTTTTTTTCCCATTTCCCGCCTTTTTGTGGCATTCCGGGTTTGTTTATTTCATACTCTCTTAGGGTTTGGCCGGCCTTACTTATAAATAATATGCGCGTACACACCTATTTCACTTTTTCAGCTACAGTATATCAACCTCCCAATGTGTTTCTCCCGATGTGCGTGCCTACGCGGGTAAATCTAGGGTGAGGTCCTTTCTCTTAGCTAAGGATGCATGACCAGAAGGAAGGCCAGCGAGATAAACCTTTCGGATGGTATAGTGGTGCAAACGGGAAGGCTGCCTGCATGTATGGACTACCGTAATTACCTGAACCAAAAACTCATTCATTGATTTTACTTACCCATCTAGGTAACCGACACCGGGCGAAGTTCGAATAAGGAAAGAACAGCCCTGTGTAGTCCTACTAACTGCTCTCCATTGTAGAACCCACCCGTATTTACTACTTGTTCGCTACTCGTTCTTGAGACAAATTGCCTAATGCAGTGATTATTACAACGAGTGATCCCATGTGACTACCCCACCCGTTTCTCTTCAGGTATCATACTCGTGGCGCCCGGCTTGAGGGTTGGGCGCAATGGACTAAACGAGGTTATCACAAGTTCGCGAATGCCTTGTAATTGTACTCTCCTGCTCCTGTTATGCACTTACGGATGTACGCGTGTCCGAGGCGCTTGGCCGAGCATTTAGATTGTCCCTCCAAATATAGTCTTGCTCCCATCCAAATGTACCCCTCTTCATCACTCATATGCGATTGCGCCTTTGCGCACGAAGGGGCCTTTTTTTTCCCCCTTCGTTAGATATCAGTAGCCATCGTTCCTAAATTTCTCTTTCTCTTCTCTTGAAGACGTATCCGTTCCGATTGTTCGTTCGACCTTTAACAAATTGGTAATGTTATTATGAAATTTAGTCTCTTGCGGAAACCCCCAGATCTATATGTGGATGGGATGGCTTGGATAAGTATAAAAAAAATCCCCTCTTGGTTTTCCGTGGCGTGCCTAGCTAGAACAGTAGTTAATATGTCAAGAACTGATTAGTTCCTGAGCAATTAGTGGGAGTCCGGGAGTTTAATTCCCCCTCACACCGAGTTATTATTGAACAATCCATCACGTAGGGAAATTCTTGCCCTATGGGGGAACTGGGAGATTAAGGACTTTGGTATTTCTCGATAGGGCTGTAGGGCGAATCGGATCTGCTATGAGGTGTTAGAAACCGATTCTAGGCCATACTCCTAGTATCATGCGGGTTCGGTCCTGAAAGCTGACCGGGTCAAAAGATAACTGGCAGAGTAAGATGAGCTCTTGTACCTAGGTGGACCACCCTTTTTTCATTAGTTGGGTTGGTGAGCCTTAATCTGGACTTTAGATCAGGTTCACGGAAGAGGCCTCAGGAATAGTGGGGAGGCGGTAGATGACATAGCGAGCAAGCAGCTAACAATAGGTACCCTAGCGGGTGATATGACATGAACTAGGACCCTCCTTCCTGGAGTATGGATAGCCCAACGTGATACTAAGAAGTGTACTGCCGGCTCTTCGAGAGGGAGGGATAGTATGGCCATACTACTACCTAGGACTGAGATGGCAGGGTTGAGATAACGTAGCTGAGAGTGTCTTCGGGCTGGTATAGTGAGCTGTTGGGCGGGAAGGTATCATACTTAGGGACCAAAATTGTCCCGAACACGCTGAAAGCTCACAAACCGCTACTACCTCCTCTATATATCATATGTACAAGTACTGGGGACTTGCGGTTTCGCATCTAGAGTCAAACCCTAGCGATCTGGCTTATCCGGACCCGTAATTACGTCACATACAGGGTCTTTCCGCAAAGCCTCTATTAAGTTCCATTTTCTGTCCGGCATATGATATAAGGTGGCCTCTATTCCGTCGATGCCGACCCTAGATACCGCCACCACCTTCCCACTCGGGCGAGATCTCATGACAAGACTAGTAACAAGGAAAACTAACCTAGAAATCTTCCGCCTTCTCCTCCTTCCAGTTTCCGACCCCCCCCCCCCCCACCTTCGAAGGGCTACCTATCACCCACAGCGACTCCAATCATCTGCCCAAAAAAAGATCGTTAGAGAGACTTCATAAGTGGCTAAATCAAGTTCAATTGGAATATAAAAAAGAGGAGGAGCAGAGTACCATCCACCACACCATCATTTATCACGCCGCAGCCCACAAAGCGCCCCAGTCTATGTGATGTCACGTTATGCGGAAAATCAGGTGCACATATTATACGCCACCCGGTAGCGTTGATGGCAAAGGCACAAGTGATAATGCAAGATCAAGGCAGCGCAGTGGCGCAGGAGAATCTGCCAGTGCGGAAGCAAGAAAGCAAGGGCTGGGAACAAATTGGGTTTTCTAGAACATGTTAGAACCTTTGCTCCTAGTGTTCCCGAGGGTGCTGGTAGTGGTTCAGCGTGGATCATTGGCGGGGGGAGTTGTTCTTGGCCGGGGGTCGTATAGGTTGGTATAATAGGGAGGGAACCCACTTATTGGTTAACACCGTTGTCCTGGAAGAATTCCTTGTGAGTTGCAAGATATTGCAAAGCTTAGAGTAGTCCCCCCGGGTAATGGTCAATGGTAGCTACTGTGTTAGTTTCGTACCTTTGTGAGCGCGTTGATAGTATGGTGCTGCGATATGTGGAATAGAACTACTGGGAGAATTTACTCTAGGGTTGACCACATGTCAAGTTAATGGCACAGGTATCCGATGATTCGCCACTACCCCACGAAGAACGCGATGTGAGCAACACCCCGCATCCTATTTATATGTCGTAAGGCAAGGCCTATATACGATACTGTAAGCCCCGAACAATCTGACTAACCCTGAAGTATTGCATACATTATCACTCGGGCCTGCAGGTCTGGACTTCCTCCATCAGCCCCCACATCTTTGCTCACGTGTCATTCATTAATATTCCGGCCAGGCTGTATAACCGCATCTGACTATGATACATGCTCTCATATCGCAATCAAGCCCGGTGGGTTGGATGATGGCGGCATTGGGGCCACTTCGGCTACCGTCCACCACCAAAGGCTTACTAACTTAAGAAGTGCCGGTATATAGCTGCAAATTTTTCTTTGACAAGGTTGCTAACGCAACATCTCCCAGTCCATAACCTTTTCCATTACTACCCCGCTATTAGTCGGTTTGATCCTCAGTACTGAAAGCACGAGACGTGATGTGCACACTTCTAGTCGAACCGACGCTGGGTCATGGGTCAGAATGTGTGACCCGCTTATGGGCATACGCCCGTGTTTAGAGATTGTTATTAGCCCCCCCGCCTCCGCCTGAAGGAACGAGCCCCAGCGACGTTCAGGGCCCGTCAATGAACTCCATGTTCGTAAACACATTAGTTAATTAGTATTCCCAGTTCTAGGGGGGGGGGGGGGGCCCAGTGTAAAGGTAAATAGGTACGTAAATGCGAGAGCCGCACCATGAGGCTACCATGGCTACTGTGCTTTTAAGCACGATCGGGAAGGTAGACCTGCCCCCCCAATAGCTAATCTCCCCATGCGTCGTGCAGAAGCGCTTTTGCGGTACCTCTAGGATGAAAAACGGGGCACAGAATCATCAACTAACATAAAACACGGTATTTAGCCATCGAACCGTAGATATAATACCACCATGAACAATAATGCCTCAAAGAAGCTTTCCAATATTAATTGTCATACTGCACCTCCCCTCATAAAGTATTCTACACTCCCACTACGGGCAAACATCTCCAAGGACGTAGCCCCAGCTTGAATGTCTCAAGGCCAAACTCAGTACCGCATAGGCAATTGACAGTCGCCTGCCCGTGACCAGTAGGGCAAACAAGCGAAATGGGGCTACCCCGTCCGGCGATAGGGCCTGGCAGAATGCCCATAAGCACTCAAAGGTCATCACACCCACTGTATCACAGTTTAGCCGGAAGGCGAGTCTTTAAACCGAGGGAATCTGAGAGACTGGTAAGGTAGCCGGGAACGGGTTATTGCAGATTTACCGGCAGCGCTGTGAGGGCGGGAGAAAATCCATGAGCAGAGGAAGCGGGGAGATGAGGAGCATTACGCCCCCCGAGGTATGACTGCATCAGTCATCACTCGCATGAGTATATATGAGCTAGGTTTGGGCTGGTAGAATCCCAACGCAATAGCCTAGAAAGAGAGGGGGGAGCCATAGCGTACGTAACGCGGCTGGAGTGACATGACTGCGGGTATTTGTCAAGTCCAGAAATACCACAGAGGTGTTCCCCGATCTTTTTTCTGGTCTGACCATAGTAGAAAACGCAGAACCGCTCTTGAGAAACCTGTCCTTTCAGGTGATCAAGTACCTACATTACAAACTCCCAGTGGCCAGAACCCGCAAGATCGAGACCTGCACCAATTACAGCACATGTTTACGGACCAGGAAATCTAGTCTGGCCCGACCGATAGCATACTTCCCGGTGCCCCTGCTGCTCGATAATTCCGCGCCCGGTACTAATAGCAACTTCTTGTGCTTGTATTGCCAAAGCCAGATGCAGGCTGGTGGCTATATTTTAAGCACCCTCCGAAAACTGTAGTCTGATTAGCCGAATTCTGCTCAGACGTGAGCGAGAGTGCTGGAAGGAGGAGGGGGCTAAGGAGAATGGAGATACAGAATTTCCTGAACGTCCGTAGCCTACCGGCCCAGCTCAACCGAGCGCATAGAAAATTTGAGAGTAATGAGACGACCCCGGGTGTGCCGAGGTGTATAGTAGAAAAGGTAACCGGGAGTGAAGGGGTTGGTTCATTTTTTTTTCTTTCTTCCTCTTGCGCTTGAAGGGTTGGGCACCAGTCTGGGTGTCTACGATCGGGGGGCAGATAGCACCATATTTGTTATCGCATCGGATCTGGCAGGGCGATGGGATATAGCTCAATAGACTTTACCAGTAGAAGAAGCACTTTTTCTTTCCGCCCCCTTCTCTCCTCATCCCTTTCCCCCTGTTTTGCTTACCTTTCCCACTTATCTCTTAAAGTTTCAGTAACACCGCTGTAATTTGTCAAAATAATTAAATTTAGTGGTCTGAAAACCAATTGCTGTCGGAGCGCAGTACTCGTACAGCACCTTAGTGTGCCAGTAAAAACCGGAAACTAATACCATACAAATTTCTGTGGAGACAAGGGTTATGTTTCCGATTTTATGGGTATACCCGAGCACAGCACTTGTATCGTATTACCTTGTAGCAGCTGTACACGTACGAGTACTGTACAGCCCTCAGAGAAGCCATCTCCCCTTCATGCTCAGGCATGGCAAATACAGCGGGGGAGGGGGGGTAAAGGCATCAGCGCAGTGCCATGTCAGGCGTTCTCACGATCCTCCACCCTACCCATCTCCCTTTACGCTTCAATCCGAGTACTCGCAGATGCACAGCTCCCATAATTGCTTTTCATCCAAGGTTGACCCGACCGTTGCTGCCGCCGAGGCATAGTTTTTGGGAATTCAGGTCTCAAAACTTTATTTTAAGCCGTTGCGTCCCTGCGTGTCATGCGCCGAGACCTCCCACATCCCGATTGAGCTACCCGGACCAAGCATTCGCTGGTTGTCCATATGTCTCTGCCCCAAACTTCAGAGAAAGATTCTCCGAATAACTTATTGGTGCCCTGCAGTAGATTAAACTGCCATATCCGCATCCCATCATCAGGAACCATGACGGCACCTTATGCCTGGTTGCGCCGAGGCGGTCAGTCTATTGTTCCACGGGCGGGAGCTGTGTCATTTTTAGTGAGAGGACATGCCTGGGTGGACATCGAGTAAAGGTATGACAGGCATGATACCTTGAAGTGCAGGATATTAAAGTATAGCAAAAGGGCTTCTTACAGTAGACCAATTGACAAACTCCCATTTCTTTATCCTCACTTTAGAGAGTTTGTCAAGCTATCCCTCTCCGCGTAAGGAAGAGAGATTTGTCACTACGGTGAAGGAGAGGTCGGGCGCTTGTCCGCACTATGCTGGACCATACAAAGGCACTCTCTTAGCTACTCAGTCCTGTTTTTTTTCGGGTAGATGCCGGAGGAGAAATTCCCTCGGAATAAATATGAAATAGAAAAGTGGGAAAAAAACGCTTTCCACAAGGCTACTCTTCAATGAACTTTGCTCACTTAACCCGTTAGGGGAACAGGGAACATTTGCAAATAAAGAGTCCTTAGAAAGACTGACGTTAGCAAAATTATCCTGGCCAGTCGTAAATCCGATAGTGTTAAATCCCCTTCCGCTTCCCGCAGGCTTCCGGATTCCGATTTGTTTTATTCCATATGGAGGGTACCTGAGTTAAGATAGAAATGCTACTGTCATCCATAGTTAAAGTACT